TTAGTTATTGTCTTACTTATTTGGTATACCTATAAAATTCCTTACATGTCGATATTAAATTGCACGAGTAATTCCGATTTTATAATTTAACTCAGGCCAGTTATGTGTAAGAATCTGTGCAAATTTGTACCAATGTACTCACTCTGTAATATAAACTAAAATGGGGTAAAACATAATAAGCCTTTAGGTTATAGGTTACAGTGTGACAGGGTTATCGGAGATGAAGTCAGATAGGTCTAAAAAAGTGTAACATTTTATAATCATGAATCGAAAAAATATTTGATTTTAACATTAGTAAATAAAACATTACATTATTGGTTAATATGTTTGATTTTACGTTGTAAACATTATGAAAATACGTATTATTATAAGAATTAATTACAAAAAAACATTTTTCGAGTATTTTAACCTCACATTAATTTATCTAATGGTCTAGACTTTAAATATTTTTTTTTCATAATCCTTCCTAAAATGTAAATAAAATTAAAATATGTTCGTAATTCGTGGTTTCAAAATTGTCGTCCTCGGAATAGGCAAATAGAAAATTCAAAATTTTATCGATATAGAAAAATTCTTGCATTACTAAATAATGTGAGCCGCCTCCTATACTTTTTGTACTTTCTCTTATTAGGTAACGCGAAGTGCGTTTCAATTTTATTATGAAAATATGTCAGTGTCTTCTTTTTTAGTTGACATGTCTTGAATTTTATCTATTCGAACTTGAATAAATAATATTGTGTAGTTTTGAAATTTTTTAAATCTGAATTTGAGCCGCCAGCCATATTGGGCGTATTATTTGTTTAACGAACACTATTTGACCTGTTTACCTAGAATCTACAAACGATGAAGATCATAATAAAACCATCAGGTAAACAAAAAATTGTGAATATTGGGAAGAACTAAGAGAAAATCTCAAAAAATTAGGTTTACTCTAAAAATTTAAATTAAAATACGTAAAATTTAAGACGGAGAGAAAAAAATTCATTTATTTTAGCAAAATCCAAACATAGAAAACACGTAATAAAAAATATATTTTGCACTTTTTCAAAAATGTAAAAACATTTAAAACGGCCCATTTACAATCAGATTTTCCTCGCTACAAAAGTCTCAAGGCACACATGACCAAACACACAGAGATGGCCGCACGCAACCGCATGAGATTTCAGTTGGCTGTGGTCTACTATCAGCGTTTGTTATGGCGTCTTCCTATTGGTTGTCTAAAGAACAATGTTTTGCAATTGGTGTAGCAGTTTGCAATGGGAACGCTGATTTTTAGCCCGAAAATGAGCGTCAAAGGCTCTTTTTGGCCCATAACCCTTCTGTGATGCCACAAAGACAGCTATCACACATACACAAAGCAATGAATATCAAAAAAATCTCAGGACTGGTCGAAAAACTCACCAAGATAGAGAGAGGCCAGATAATTCTTAAAAGGACCATCACCAAAACTCACCGAGCATCTACTAAGCTCGAGCTGGAGACGGGAAAAAGGCTGAAAAAACCTGCATATATCACGAGATTTACTAACTATCAGGAGCTGAAGAGGAAACTAAACATCGATCTTATGACAAGACGTGACCAAACCTTAAAGGAGGTCACGGAAACATTTAGAAGAGCACAGAGAAAAGGCACAACAGTAAGAGATGGAACAAATACGATGCAATACTGGTGGAAAAGGGAAATCGAAGAGAAAGGGCGGGACTGTAACAGAAAGAGGAAGGAAATGATCAGGCATCCATGGAAGGAAACACAGGAAAAATGGCAGGTACGATGGGAAAACGGAAGGGAAGTGGCAGCGTGGACTAAGAAGCTCATGCAGTATCGACCCGTGATTGAAGTGCAAACACAGAAGGGTAAACTACTTTTTAACACAAGCTATGACAGGGCATCGTAGCTTTAAAACCTTCACCTTTAGAATAGGAAAGTCACTAGACGAGTCCTGCGAATAGATGAGTTGCAGATAGGCAACAACTGGAAGTCGAACTAGAGGGCCCGCTGGTGGAGGAGTCTATGGAAAACGTGTTAAGCTGCGAAAAAAGATGGAAAGCAATACACGGCTTCATAAAAAATATAATGATTACAAAGGAAAATGAAGAAAGGAGGAGACCACAAGAGATATAATAAAGACAGCTCTATAACCAGAGGAATGTCTACACGACGGTACCCGGCTATATGTAGCTTAGTAGAAGAACAGGGGGGTTTTAGTCGGAGTTGCGCCCGGCACTACCTGCTGCATAGATTCCAGCAGCGGGTGCCAAGCGGTTTCTCCCTCCCAAAAAAACAATCTACTAAGCCGGAATACTAGGTACAGGGCATTGTAGGAATAATAAAGATGTGCATAACATCGGCCTGGCAGCAGAAGAGACCTTGTACTATTCTATTACAAAGAAGAGGAAACTGCAGTACACGTATTGTGCTACAGCGAAGGTCTATCAAGATTGAGATTCCTCATACATGGAGAAGAAAAACCAAGGGCAATTAGCTACACTGGAGAGCTACTTCATAGTCAAAGTACTAAACAAAGTACTCTACCCAATGACTAAAAGACATCCACAATGGATCTGAACAGATCTAAAAACAGTCGAGGTGGGGGTCTATATATCCTATACAAGTGCTAAACAAATCTAATCCAATCATCTCCTCAACTGTCAAAAGTCAATACTAATTAAGAAGTATAAGATGAAAAATTCTGAGGAAATTGGAAAATCCTGATGACAAGGTCAGAAACAGAGAAAAATCAGAAATAACTTTGTGAATTTCGGACATATAAATCAAATAATTCTGGGTAAATCAGGAAAAAAAAACGTTATAAATTAGAAATTGAAAATATGCAGAAATATAGATAAAATTAGAAAAAATTCTGAAGAAAAAATATTACAGCAAAATCAGGAACAAATAGAATTTCAAAGAAACAGAAAAAAAATGAAAATGTCAGGTAGAATTCTCAATATCAGTTAAATTCTGGAGAAATCGGGAAAAAATGAAAAAACCATAAAAATTCTGAATAAAACCACAAAGAATCAAAAAGAATGGCACATAAAATAGAAAGAATGCCGATAAAATCAAAAATTATTTTGTGAAAGAATTTGGGATGTACGACAAAAAATAGTGTAAAATTTGATGAGGGATAAAACTTCATTAACTTTTCTGGTATATGAAGAACTTAATGGCATAAAATTAGATAAATGAAACGGCTACATTGTAAGTTAACTGTGGTAATAATGTTTTTGAAACCGAATTGAGTATTGCTTTCCAAATAAATACTTGCAATGAACCACTCATTATCCGTGTTTTCATAATCTTTAAGACTTATTTATCCGACGAGCTTGTAAATAAACATTCTATTCTTTTTGCAAAATTTATAGTGGATTCCAAAATCGTTTTATTGCTTTCTTGACGATTTAAACATTCTAAATATACATCTATTAACTGTTTAGTGTGGTTTTAAAGCAACTGTGTATTTATACTGTGCGAAATTATTTGAAATTGTTGGTTTTATCAGCTGATGGTTGATATATTGATTACTGTTGACTTTATAAGCACCATTTCCATAATAAAATAATCATAAAAACTTCCTGATTGTTTAAGGGCCTCAATATTTGTTTCTTAATTTCTTTAAATTAATTTTCTTAGCATTTTTCCTTTAGAAGAAGATACTTATGTCTAGACTGCAGAAAGTTCCAGTTCTTATTAAATTTTTACACAATTACCTGGTTTTTATGTAACAACTCGGTACAAAAACATTGGTTACATAAATCCCAATCTTAAGAAACTGCATTGCTTATCTTCACTAGTATATATTTATTAATCTGTGCCTCAGATGTGGCCAAGATTTGCTACACCAAGAAAAATAAATAATAATCAAGATATACATGACAAATCAAGAGTTAATTAATTAATAAAAAATTAATCAATAGAAATCAAAAAGAATTAAATTCATTTTAATTCCTTTAATAATAAAGAAATAATCAAAGTATTTTAAAATTGAGGAAACCCCTAGAAGAATGCAGGAAAAATTATGTTGATATTAACAAGAATTGTGAAGAAATTAAAAAATCCATAAATACTAAAAATTATGTGAAGCTGATATTATAAAACTATTAAAAGATTTTATTACAATTTTGACACATTTCTCATTTGTGATATTATTTTATATTTACACATTATGAAAAAGTTAGAATATATGTGATATTTTAAGTTTAAACGGTTATTATACTGGATGATTTTTAAAAAGACCCACTATGAATATCTCAACCGTTATACGTCATTCTCCTCCTCTCCCTTCAGTAATACATTTTAAATAGGGATAGTACCAAGAATGACATCATTAAAAAGGTAGTTTTTTTGGAAAATTTAGCAGTATGACTGTTAACTGTGTTACTTTTGATTTTAGCGTCCTCTAGCAGGATAAAATATTACATATTGTATAGTGTGACACTTCATTTGAGCAAGGGCGGCCCCATCAGGAGGGGGGATATGGGGGACATTACCCCCAAGATGAAAATTCCTACGATTTATGGGCCTCTTATTCAAAAAAATATGCTAAAAAAGGAATGGCATTTGAGTCATTCAAAATTGTCGTTTTGGTTGATTGCGATCAAAGTTTGTATTTCTTGACGTTAGAGCTCTGTAATTCAATTATTTCAGTTCATGTTTCATTCATCCAATTATGTTTTACGTTGTGCATTAAACTAGCTTTCAAACTAAGCGTCACACTTTACCATACGTAACAGTTATTTAGAGGGCGCTAAAACAAAAGTAACGTTTTACCATTTAAATTGTATTGGTTAAGAGTGACGAATAGTTTGAAGCATAACAGTTAGAGAGAGAGATAGAAAGATGCCTTCCTTTCTATAAAAATTGCCGTGTTTTGGGATTTTTAATGACAGTTCTACACTCTACATTAACAGACAGATATTCAGGGTGATTAATTTTTTTTTAAATCACCCTGTTTATAGTAAAGTGATATAATTATTTATATGTTTTTGTTTTTGTTACAGAATGAATATAACGCTGCAGATGTAATTGTAATGACAATAATACGCTGTCTGGCTGTACTATACGTTTATTATCAATTTTGTAAATTACAAAAATTGGGCTCAAAATATATACTAGGTGAGTAACAATAAATCTATTTTTACAATTCTACATTCTTCAAATAAGGATAGTTGATTAGTACTAGAAATTTTTATGCCATAACTATATCTACCATAAAACTATTTTTTAGGCAGGTATAACGTTTAAATAACCATTGTTGTGGTTGGTAAGCATGCATAACATTTGAAAGAAAGTAAAGTGAAATTATATTATTCAATGTCATGGTCTCTAAGTAACAAACATGGAGAAAGTAAATAATGTACCAATAATGGGTTTTTACTATTATTGTTACTATTATTAATAATATTAGATTAGGCAGTTAAAAAATATATCGTACACAAAATGAAAAAACCTTGTAAATCTTGGATGTTTATCTGGTTCTAAATAAGTTTTTATTTAAATCAGTTGAATATCAGTAACAAAAAAATACTTTTACTTAAAATTTCATCGACAATGGGTTAAATACGAGTGTTGTTCGATTTGTACTCGAATAAAATATCATAGGACATAGACATCTTTTAGGACCATACACTAAATCGATTTACAAGTTTCCATAAACTATTGCCATATACTCTGATAGCCTTAAGGCTGGTTTTCTCACTAGAAATTAAATCGTCACTGGGGAAGACCGCATAAAAGTCCTGAAAGAACTAAATAGTGAAGAAGGGTAACCTGAGAAAAAAGGAAAAGGCTTCTACGGGGCAGTTAAGACATATATGCAACAGTGGATTCAAAAAAAGATATAGTACTGAGAGAGGCCAAAGAGTTTATTAAAGAACCATTGGCAAAATTCAAAAACAAAAATTACTAAGTCTGCTTACCAAACAGTCATCTGAGAAGGCACATGAGTATCATCAATCGAGCAGAAGAAGCCACACTATGCAGGTTCTGCATCTGATTAGAGTTTCTTGCTCTAGGTGAAGAAAAGTCAAAAGCATGTAACTAGCCATCTATCGAGCCACTGTCAAGGCAACTAAGTTTAGAAAAAAGACAATGTTGTCTAAATTACAATAGATCTATAAAGGTCGCGGAGGACAAGGACAATAAGGGACCTTCTACAACAATTCTTATATTGTAATTTGTAAAATGTAAAATGTTTACTTATTTGTAATAATACCTACAAAGTTGCCATACAAAGACAAATACGAGGGGCTTTGCAAAGTTATGAAGAGCATCCTCGACAACAAAGTTGAAAAGGTTGTTAGTTTTCAATCGTCTCGTAAAATATCCATGCTGTATTGTATAATACGGTTGGATAGCAAACATGAAACATATCATGAAAGCTCAGATTCTCCATGAGTTACATGGCAGGCAAGAAACACTTGGAAATGAACCCTGACCATTCGATCAATGAAAAAACTAAGACAGAAGACCGAGGTCGACAAAAATGATAAAGGAGTAAAGATATGATTTCGTTCGCGTCTCGCCGCGACGTCCAGATGGCAACAGTTTCGTTGATGCCGCTCGTGGCGGAGACGCAAGAGCCCTCCGTAGACGGCCACGTCTTGACTGCCCAAAAACAAGTCGAGTCGCGAACTCTATTCAGTTTTTACAATATTTGTAGAATGCTTCTTCAAATCTTCACAAATTAGATTCAAAACAAAGTCAAATTTATTATTAGTGAGCTTGAAATATTAGAATCTAGATGGGTTTTGTAAAGTCTTTCTTAGCTCCTAGGCCTGTAGAATTCGTTAACAAACAAAGATTATTTATGAAACGAGGCAAAAATTTAATTGTTTTGAAAATATTGGTTTCATCAGATGCAAAATTGTATATATTTTAAAGAGGGATATTTTGAGAAGCAATAAAGCGATTTATATAACGTAATTTGTGTTCCGCTTTACATTTTCCGCGATGCTCTTCGTACATATTTTACAGAATTTTAATATCTGCAATTTCTTATTTTCCGATGTTTTCCAGGCATAGCAGGTCTATTCACCGTATTTTCGAGCTTCATATTTACGTCAACGGTATTAAACATCTTACGTATCAACGTTGTGGATCTCAAGTAAGTTTATAAATAGAAAAAAAAAATAAAGAACAGATTTTTATTAAAATGTATTTTTAGAGATGCACTGTTCTTTTTCCTTCTGTTGATCGATTTGTCAAAAGCTGCTATGCTCGCTCAATTCGCTATGAATGCCTCTAATCAGAACGAAGTAAAAAATAATATTGCCAAAGGTATGGCCCTTTTAGGACCAACGATCACGCTGGATACTATTGTCGAAACGCTAGTTATTGGAGTCGGGACACTTTCTGGTAAGTAGTTGAGGGTACTAATTGAAAATTTTGAAAAAAAAATATACCTTGCTATTTGAAAAGACTGCATATCATAGCCGTAACTAATTAAACTTTATTTTCTAAAATGGGTAACAAGAAAATTGTTTATAAAAGTCTGATAGGAAGTACCAAAGTTTAGACGAAGGTCTTCTGCATTTTTAAATACTATAAAATGTAAACATCAATCACTCTGTTTAGTAATATTGACACTGTTAAAGTTCTTCTTGTTCGCAAACAGCGTTGCCAACCCTAAATCTTTGTATTCAAATTTGAACACTTTTAGATGGTGTTGAAGTGTTGAATTATTTTCGAACTTTTTGAAGAACTCTTTTTGTATACTTTTTGATTTCTTAAAAGATTACTTCCATATTCTGTATACTTCGTTACAAGATCAATACTTAAGTAACATCTAATGTCTTAAAAGGTATTATGCACACAAAAAACTTATTAAAAACCAAAAGCAAGTGTTACAATATTGAACATAATACAAATTAATATCAAAAAACTTTTAGCAAACAGGTAAAAAATATAAATATTTTCTGATTACATTTTTAGAAAAGACTTATATGCTATATCCGAAATTGGACAAAAAATTATAACGTCATATTTAAATTATCAGTGCGATGATTTTTGCAGCCAATCTAATGAAATTTAAGTTTAGGGGGGGGCATGCCTTTAGCCATTCCCTTTTTAGCATATTTTTTTGAATAAAAGGCCCATAAAGCGGAAGAATTTTTATCTCGGGGGGGGGGGGGGAGAGGACATGGCCCCCATAGCCCACCTCCACTGGAGCCGCCCTTGCATTATACACAAAGAAATGTGTCCAATTTCCATAGCCACCTATACATCTAAATTTTTAAGATATAAACGTCAACGTCAATTCAGAGACAAAATCATTATCAAATTAAGTATTTGTTAATATTTTTCGGGAAAACATTTATGAAATCAATAGAAAACATGTAAAGAATGTCAGTTTACCAAATACTAAGGGTATGGTCCGTTATTAACCGAAACATCGGTTACTCGAGCTCTGTGAAGCTGGCCCCCCCCCCCCCCCCCCCCCCCCCGAAATTCGAAAATTTTTGTTTTAGAACCGGCATACGTTTGACCACCTTATTAATCATGTTTGACCACACACTAACTTTTTTTGACCACCCTCAGAAACCTAAATATTTAAAAAAATATTAATGGCCGAGTGCCCGCTGGCCCCCCGAAGTTAATATTTTTTAAAACTGACTGCACCATAGGATTAACCAATTTATTTTTGACCATGTTTGACTACCCCTTAGATTTTTTAACACCCCTTAAAATAATTTAAAGGGGGTAAATTAAAAGAGTTCTGGGATGAATTTCAACTTTGAAAGATAGATTAATAGTCAGAAAGGCACAATAGGATCCAAAAACGTTTAAAATTATGTATCGCCGTTTGATTACCCCCTAAAATATCTTAAAAGACACCAGAGGGGTTAAAAATTCAAAGAAAACATTTCTCAACCCAATTTCTAGTTAAAAAAAATGGCCAATCGACATAAGGACATAATAAATATCCATAAAGGTTTAAAATTATGTTTTGACATTTGACCACCTCCTAAAATAAATAATTTTAGTGTTTCTAAGTAGTGTGAAAATTCGAAAAATACAATTTGGAAAGGGCATTTTGACTTGGAAAAATGGTAAAAAGACATAAGTACACAATAAAGATCCATACTAGTTTAGAATTAAGTTTTGACGTTTGACCACACCCTAAAATAATTTTAATGTCTCCAAGTAGTGTGAAAATTCGAAAAATAAAAAATGGAAATCGAATGTCGGCTTTTAGGGGGTGATCAAACGTCAAAACATAATTTTAAACCTTTATGAATATTTATTATGTCCTTATGTCGATTGACCATTTTTGTGAACTAGAAATTGGATTGGGAAATGTTTCCTTCGGATTTTTAACCCCTCTGCGGTCTTTTAAGATATTTTAGGGGGTGATCAAACGGCGATACATAATTTTAAACGTTTTTGGATCCTATTGTGCCTTTCTGACTATTAATCTATCTTTCAAAGTTGAAATTCATCCCAGAACTCTTTTAATTTACCCCCTTTAAATTATTTTAAGGGGTGTTAAAAAAATCTAAGGGGTGGTCAAACATGGTCAAAAATTGGTTAATCTTATGGTGCAGTCAGTTTTAAAAAATATTAACTTCGGGGGGGCAGTGGTCACTCAAACATTAATATTTTTTAAATATTTAGGTTTCTGAGGGTGGTCAAAAAAAGTTAGTGGGTGGTCAAACATGGTCAATAGGTGGTCAAACGTATGCCGCTTCTAAAACTAAAATTTTCGAATTTCGGGGGGCCAGCTTCACAGAGATGGTTACTCGGTCTAAAACTAACCGCTCTGCTTGATATTCCTGAGAAATCGGTTAAATTAGGGATGCGGTTACCTGAAAATGGTGACTCAAACGTCAAACCAAGAAATTAGTTTTTTGAGGAACCGCTGTCAAAAAATCCTGTTTACTTGCGTTTAGTAGTCGGTTAATAGGACCATACGCTAAATAATTGTAGACAATGGACAAATGACGTTTATCTCCAAGGATTTACATGCGGGTAAATTTAAAGATGTTTTGAATGGTTTTAACTAACGTTATATTTTACTTTTTAGGGGTACATCGTCTTGAAATGCTATCATGCTTTGCGTGCCTATCAGTATTAGTCAATTACATCGTTTTTATGACATTCTATCCAGCCTGTCTTTCTTTAATATTAGAGGTAATTATTTTCATTAATTTAACACTACTACGTAAAACACAATCATTGAAAATGATATTAAAAGAGTAATTTTTATATTTAGCTGTCTCGGAACACTTCCATGTATGGCAAAAATAGCATTTTATCGAGAGCATTTCGTGAAGAGGACCACAAATCGAACCCTGTTGTACAACGCGTTAAGCTTATAATGTCTGCTGGATTAATGATCGTACACGCACATAGGTAAGAGATTTTCAAATGTTTCCCTCTAGGTAACACGTTTGAACTATGTCAGTTAAGTTTTCTGAGATAATACGCGTTATATTTGTTAAGATTATTCAACGAATATTTTATTTCTTTTAAATTATATTTATAAAATCTATTATTCATAACGGTTGATTACACTGTATTTTTCATTCATAAAAAAGGCCAGTCTCGTAAAATATATTACTAGTACGAAAAATGGCATTTTTTGCACAAATGATAACACAGGTTATTTCATTTATAGTCTATTGATTTTATTTGGGTTTTCTGCAGTCAAATTAAAGATTATTTTGAAATTTGGGAATTTGAGTAGCAAAATTTATTTGAACGAAATTGGTAAATTTAATTTTTTGAGTCTAACGGTGAAGAAATTGTTTTATAACACAAGCTGTGATAAAAAATGAGCTGTTTTATTCACGTTGCCTACTTAATTCTAAGAAAAATAGACTGCGTTCAACAGTTGTTTGAATTGGAGTTGTGTGGTTTTCAAGTTATAGGGAATAGTCGAAATTTAAATATCAATGAATGGATCTGTAAATAGCTATTTAATATTTACGAGCTCTTGACCTTTTTTAACTTATTTTTACCATAATATATTGTTATTTGGAGAGATCTTAACAATGATAACGTATGAGGTAATAGTTCGAGTATGTTTACCTTATCTTTTAAAAGTGTTAGATACGTTATTTGAAGAAACTTCCTTCCTTCTAGTAGGTGGCCATTCAGGGAAGACGATACAGATGATATCGGCACATTGGTCGTTGAACAACGTATGACTTTAAATCGCACCGAAGAAAATGCTCTACATGGATATATAATGAAGTAAGTTTACAATTATTTTATTATTTTTATTAAAAATACTCCAAATCTTACCAAGCTTAATAACAAAAATATATTAAAAAAAGACACCAGATATTTCTTTTTAATGTAATTTAATTCTAATTTTTTATTATATGAAGTGTCTATTATTATCATCATTATTTCCTAAAGTGGGGTAGTTTCATTTTTATTACTTTTCTAGTAGAAGGTATTCAGTCTTTAGGTTTGCTGTTTTTAGATTGTGTCCGAATTTGTTTTAACCGTATGATCATTGGTATGTTATTTTTATACATACGTATAAGTCGATCATCAGAGACTTTTAATTTATTTCGTATCTTTAAACTTTTACATATTAGATTATGGTGATATCCAAATCTACATTTATTTTCGGTTACTATTTTATATTCTTTATAGAACAATGTACCTATGACACCAAATACATTTTGTATCATAGTAACTAGGCAATAATTTTACTTTTTAATAATATGAAACTTGTCCATCAGTTTTTACTTTAAAGTTCCCCACTTATCCCCATTACATTATTGTTTTTTTTAAATTGTTCATTTATTCTTCGCTTATTTACATAATTTACGCCTAACGTAATGGTGGGTGAGGTTTTCCTCATCTGTAAGTCAAATGGCACCATCGATCATCTCTAAGTCGCCAGGGAAATAATAATTATAATATAGAGTACTACTACTATAGTATTATGAACTTTTTTTTGGTACACTGGTACCAAACAAGACTTAATTCATAATTAAATAAAAATGCCGACATCTTTAGACAAGACAAGACATGATTAAGAAAAAAACCATAGTAATTAATTAATCTATAGGAACCCAAAAATTAATGAAAAATCAAAAATGTTTAAGTTTTATACAAAAAACGAATAATCTGCACCGGTAGATGTGTAGTAGTGTTTATCTGCCTGACTCTAGGGATTGTTTGAACTGTATCTTTAAAATATTTATCGGGAACTAATAGGTTTCTTCGGGTTTTTTTTTAAATTCGAAACAGACCGTCCAAGATCCAATTGAACAGCTAAATAGCAAATTATTAGTCGCATACAACTTTTAAATTGTTCACTGGTCAACTAGTCATCTCAAAGTATTTGAAAAACCCGAACAAGCCTAACATATACGAACCACGCGCCTATACAGGACTGAAATCACTCTCAAACTTTAACACGTTGACAGCCTACTCGCATTGTGCGTTCTTGGCTAGTTTATTTACTTGCCAGATTCGTGCAGCTACTAAATTAGTAGTATATCAGTGAAAATAAGGTTAGCTTCTGGGAAGAGAATAAAAATCAATGCTTGCTTATATGAACAGAAAATGTATTAATAAAATAACAAAAAGTGTATTCAAAATCAACAAGCAAAGCTGTATTTTTATTCTTTGTACGTTTTGTTATACAAGCGAACTACGAGATAATTCGTAAGATCTTGTTTAAAAAAAAAAAAACACTTTCTATGATTTTTGATGATTACTATTATACTATATAATTAGAGTTTTTAATAATATATTATTAAAAATTGGCTTTTTAGACCGGAATCCTGAATATTACCTTGGCAGTCAACGTGTTAACATCAACAGGAAACAAAATAAAATTATACAGACAAATACGATAACTGCATATAACCGGATAGTAATACAATTCGGTTTCATTAATGAACAAATTTTTAAACGTGAATTAACGTATTATACGATTAATAATTTAGAATGTGTAAACAATTATTTTATTTACATTTTTTAATCTTGAAAACAGGTTAATTCCAACATATATTTTTAAATTTTGATAAATTATTACTTAATAATCAATTTTTTTAGATGGCTGACTTTGAGTGCTGACCATATAGTAATCCTCATTCTGTTGCTGGCTCTAGTCGTCAAATTTATATTTTTTGAAAACAAAGAAGATTTTACGGAGAAAATAAAAGCGTCCATGTCAGAAAACCTGGACTCCTCAGACAAAACCGAATTCTTGAAGCTGAATCAACAGCTGAAAAGTAAATATTTGCCCGAAACTCCAGTTTTCAAACATTCCGAAACGTTCTTTTTGGGCAGAAGATACAGCGACGATAAATCTGATTCTTCAAATGGTAATTATTCATATTTTGGTCCAGGGTCAGTAGAATGTATAATTAAACTAACTTTTATTAATTACAGAGGTGGAATTTGAGGATAAGTCAGTTCAAACAATCTACTGCCAGTTAGATGCTGAAAAATTGTCTGATGTTCCTCATGATGAAGAAAGTTGCAGAAGTTTGGATGAGTGCTTAGCTATCTACAACAATTCAGATTTGGGTGCTGTTTCTCTGACAGACGAAGAAGTGGTGCTTCTAGTCCAACACAAACACATCCCCGGTCATCAGATAGAAAAAGCTGTGGACAATCCAGAGAGAGGTGTTAAAATAAGAAGGAAACTTTTGTCGAATGAAGCTAAACTCAATAATATTTTGGTGGACCTGCCTTTCAAAAATTACGACTATAGCAAGGTAACTATATTAGTTTTTTGGTCTATTAAAACATATTTTCAGTGTTTCAATGTATTTCAGCCCCATTACCGTTGATTGGTTTCCACTCTTTCCTACCGGTATTTACCGGTCATTTTATTTTAACAGTATTATGTCCTTATCTGATAGGCCCTGTCAGCTACAAACCTTGATCATTTGTGTTAGCACTGGCATATAGTGAAACTCATCATTATCATTGGTACACCTTCCCACATAGCTACTTTTTGAATGTTCCTCTTTCAAATATACAATTATTACAAATTATACAAATATGTGTTATGATTATCGACTTAATCTTAGCATCGTAAATATTATATTTTATCAATGAATGACTATATCTCTGTTATCTCTGATCATAATCTATTATTCGTCTTAGTATCCATCTTTAACAAGTTCTTAAATATTTCTCTTATTAGGTTATGGGGGCTTGTTGTGAAAACGTCATTGGTTACATACCAATTCCGGTAGGATATGCAGGACCTCTTCTACTTGACAATCAAGAGCTATACGTACCTATGGCCACGACTGAGGGATGCTTGGTAGCCAGTACAAACAGGGGTTGCAGAGCATTAAAACAGGGATGTCTTACTAGTAGAATAGTTGGAGATGGAATGACTAGGGGACCTGTAGTAAGATTTCCTTCATTGCCAAAAGCAAGGTGAGTAGATGTAAAATGTCACCCCCAATATCGATAAAAAATTAATTTTGATGATAGACGGACAACATTTTTAAAGTTTAAAATTCATAAAATACAACATTAGTGTCTATTATATTTTAAAAAATTTTATTTTGCGTTTACAATTTATGAAATCGAATTGAAATTTATTAGGTGGTAAAAATTTGTTACTTTTTTAGTGCCGCAATGAAGTGGATAGAAAAACCAGAAAATTTCGCGTTAATGAAGGAACAATTCGATTCCAGTAGCAGATTCGCAAGGCTTACGAGAATCTTAATTAGAATTGCCGGAAGATACCTCTTTATTAGATTCGTCGCCAAAACTGGGGGACGCTATGGGAATGAATATGTTATCAAAAGGCACTGAAATTTCACTTAAATATGTACAGAACGAATTTCCCGACATGGAAATCCTTAGTCTCAGTGGGAACTTTTGTACTGATAAGAAACCGGCTGCTGTAAATTGGTGAGTTGGTTTTGATAATATTACTAATCATTTTTTTTTGCTGTTAATCAATATTTTTTTTCTAACACCTCATTTGAAAAATGTACTTTTCCTCCCACGTTTCAGGATGAAAAGTGGCACTTTTCCTCCCAAATTTTAGCAATTAAACAACATTTTCCATACGTAAAACATTTAAAAGCAGTTTCATCATATTAAAAACGACATGTTTGAACTTTACCTAATTGTTTTTCGTTTTTCAGGATTGAAGGTCGGGGAAAATCAGTGGTATGTGAAGCGGTAATTCCATCTAAAATAGTAACGACAGTATTAAAAACAACTGTCACCGCCCTAGTAGACGTGAACTATTCGAAAAACATGATTGGTTCAGCAATAGCAGGCAGCATAGGTGGATTCAACGCTCACGCGGCAAACATAGTCACCGCAGTATTCTTAGCCACTGGCCAGGATCCCGCCCAAAATATAAGCAGCAGCAACTGCATGACCCTAATGGAACCTAGCGGTGCATCTGGAGAAGATTTATACATATCTTGTACCATGCCGTCTATGGAAATTGGAACAGTAGGTGGAGGAACTGTCTTGCCTCCACAAGCAGCTTGTCTAGAAGTGTTGGGAGTCAAAGGCGCTAATAAAGAAAATCCCGGTGAAAATGCTAGTCAACTAGCTAGAATAGTCTGCGGCCTTGTCCTAGCAGGTGAACTATCCTTAATGGCTGCTTTAGCAGCGGGCCATCTCGTCCGCAGCCACCTCAGACACAACCGGTCGACCGCGCTCTTAGGTGAGAATACGAACTTTGATTCTTTAAAGAAAGAAAATTTCCTTACACCGCCTTGCAAAGATTACTGACAGCGACTTTGGAAACTTATACAGATTTGAAAGACGTCTCTAAACAAGGCTAACGGGTGTTAATCCGGACTTTTACGATTCTAATGCAGCATGTTTGTTGTTTGTGCCACATAGCTCTAGAAGATGTCTGACATGTGTCTCGTTTGTTTTTGTATCATTGGTGGAAATTGTGAAAAAAATTACGTTAATTTAGTTAATACAATATCGTTTCAAAAGTGTTGACCTCTGCCTTCAAAGGATAATTTAAACAAACTTAAAAGGCAAAACACTCTTAAATTTCGATTTATAATAATATATTGATTGCACACTTAATTGTGGTTGATGTTGCACTGATTTATAAATACTGAAATTAAGAAATTTGCTACATAACTGTATGTTGGAACACTGCAACTAGATTAAAAATGTTGATGCATTTTGATAGCAAGTTAATTTTATTCTTTGCATGTACAGAACTTGACACATTTGAAACATAGTAAATCAATTTTTAAAATAGAAGTAGAATAACTATTAGTTTTGCAAAAGGTAGGTAAATAATTTGGATACGTTGTAGTTAGGTAGGTACTTGTCACCTTTAAATTTCATTTTAATTAAAATTATCTACATATTTATATAAAAGGTTTTTTTCACATTTTCTCAAAAATCCAATTAAAATAATGGTCTGTGATGGTCGATTGTGCTTTTTGAAAATATGTTAATACTTTTAAAATGTGCTTCGTTGTACAAATGAGAAGAGAAAATATTCATAAATTATAGTTATACAGTGGTATAAGCAGGGTGGTCCTACAAGAAATAGAGATACCATAATAATTTTATTAGACTTTTGCATTTCGACTGACGTTTCCAGTATTTCAAATGGAAAATTATTAGTTAACCTTAAAAGATTAACTAAAAGTGGACTATTTTAACAGTTATAATGGGTGTGCTCAAATTTCATTTCTGAATTAAACATCTAAAGAAGGCAGCAGAAATATGTTTGTGTAAACTCTTCCCTAGTTCTTGTAAGACCATTCAACTATAAGTTATAGGAGGTAGTTTAGTAATAATTGTAATTATTTAATTTCTGTAAATAAACTTTTTTAATATATACTGTTTAATTTAAAAAATATATAGCGTTTTTTCGTTTTTTCCTATGGTTTTTATGTTCACAATTTAATGATTACTGTTATATACCTTATATAACTTGTTCTATTGTGAACAAATGGTAAACATAATTCATATATGATCCATTCACAAACTTGGATTACTACTTGCTTGAAAGGTACCATTACAGTTTTGTGCCACTTAACACACCCAGAGCGAAGGAGTTATGCGGTAACGCATTTGACTAGCAATAGGCAAATGCTGGGTCAGTATAACATCCTCTCAAATACCTACCACCATTCCTTCAACCCCATCCCCTGAGACCCGATCCTTGATCCCTCAAATGCAGCTGAAAAGGCTAGGTATGACTATAGCGGCCCGCTCCCAACTGGGAAAATGAAATATACATCCTTTACCATCAGTGTTGCTACCACTTAATACACATGAGAGAAAGAGGAGCCGAAATATTGTAACTCTAAATACATGCTTCACTGACATGAAAAATAGATAGAAATCCCTTATAACGAACTATCGGAAAGATAAAGGAGTGCCTTATCGACATAAAAGAGTAGAGATATTTGAATCCATATTATGTACTTATTCTCAGAACATCTTACAAAAGAGATGTTTGTCAGATCGAATGTGCTGCCTGATTTAAGTCCCATCTGAGGTCAGAGACGAATCCAAAATGGACCAACAATCAATCTGGTTTATATGTAGATATCACAACGGCAGCGTATATAATAATATGTTCCTGTTTGACTGCAAAATATAAAACGAAATATTAAATAATTTCTGTTTTAAATATTTATTAGTTATTTTCATATTATGTAGCCGTTGTGTATGTCTATACTATAAAAAATTACATAAGTACCTATGTAGATAAAAAGAAAAATGTTTAGGTATGCATCATTATAATGCATACCTAAACAATTGATTTTGTATTAAAATTTCTTTAAATTGCTTACCAAATATTAATGAGTTCACTTTTTCTTATCTAGACTGATAAAAACCGTACCGAACTTATGTTTAACTGATTTTATTTAATGTTTTAAGAAATTCGCGATTTTTGCGTCACCTTAAAAAAAAATATTTATTTGATCTAGGAACTTTTTATACCGCCGCCATCTTGTGACGAGTAGTTATGTTCGATATTATTTTAATTATATAATAGATGGCACTGCAGGTGTGAGAAATACAGCGACAGATTAGTGCTCAGATTCTCAAGTACTTTATTTGCTGCGTTTGAAAAGTACATCGTTTTGCTTTTTTACTCGATACCGCCCCTTTTGCTTCGTTTGTCGTATTGATATGATTTGGTCGATTTTTACGTGACCAAAAAATCTACTCGCTTTGCTCGATGAGGTACATTTCAAACGTAGGCATTCCAACGACCTGTCAAACTCCTGACAAGTGGGAACATGGAGGTACCTCCATGAGTGGGAACCTCCGTGGGAACTGACATTTAGATATGGCAACCCTGTGGGCCTGTTGTCATTGACAGGTTCAATGATACAAATATAGTTATATAGATTGCTTAAAGCGGGTTGTTTGCGAGCAGCCATAATGCCTGGCAAGTGTTCATTAATTTGAATCTGTTTAGCAAAAATGTGTTTTAAAACCAATTTCCAGCCGTTGAATATTAAAAAAATAAAAAATAATTGCCTACATTTTTACTTCAAGGCTCAGGTTTATTTTTAAAAACATGGATAATCAATCTATATAACTGTCTATAGCATTGACCCTATCAAACCATCCAGTGTTGTCATATTATAGCCTGTCATTTCAAACGGGCAGCTATTTTGTTTGGAAGGCCTAATAATAACTATCATTCAACGTCGATAGATGGCTTCAATACTGAAAAATAAATTTCTTTCTACATTTAATTTTGGTTAATAGATTTCTGTAAATCTTTCTTTGTAGATTTCTGTATTTTTTAGCTCCGTTCTGTCATTCGTTAGTAAATTTCGTATATAAAATGTGGTAACCCTGCCTGCGAGTGTCAACATGTAAAGACAAGTGACAAGTAGTGAAGCAAACTTGGAAACTTGTAACCTTTTTGTTTTGTTGTCACTTTTTTTATAAATATATTTTTTTTAATTATTTTATAAGACATGGATCAGGATAACAAACCAAAAGGTAAGATATAATCAAATTTTAAAGATAAAAGATGATTTAAATGCTTGCAGTCGATCCAGGATGGAATGATCCACCAATGTTAAATTACAATCCTTCTAATCCACCTCCAAAATCAAGAATAGGAAATAAAAGAGTAGCTTTCCCTTTAAATGGAACTATTAGCCCTGCCTCAGCAACCCCAGAATTACATCCTTCAGCACCTCCTTTACCTGTGCCTGATTTTACAAATGAACACACAAAAGAACATTTAGAGAAGTTATTTTCTTCAGACAAGTCGAGGAAAAATTTCCATCAAATTTGGGATAGTGACTTACCTGACGAATTTAAAAAATCACTTAGATTGATGGCAGAATGTTTGGTAAAAAATAATAGACTTGGTGCTGAAATTCACAAACAAGAACTTTTAACAGTACACAAAAAACTGTGTGAAAATTGGTTAAAAGATGTTAAATTCTGATGTGTTGTGAATAAAAATTATGTTTTATTTTTTGTAACGTTATTTATTTGTGCTTTTTTTGTTTTACAATATATAATAGTCAGTATGAACAATATTGTGCCCTTTTTTTGTTAGGAAAAGAAGCATTGCTGGTGTTTTCAGTTGCACTAGTAAGTAAACCTAATTAAAAAATGATATGCTGATGTAATGTAGGCAAATTAGTATATTCTTAAAAATTAGTTATGTATATAGCAGGTTCATAAATGTCATGTTAATATTGATACAAGTAACTCATTGGCCTATTAATATTGCTAACACTTTTGACGATTTTGATTGATTAAAACTGCAAGTTTTTTTGTAGTACTAAGAGGACAATTTAAAACCTGATTAGATTAAAATTAAGTCCAAAGGCATCACTGAAGACAATCTTTAAAAAACTAACAAGAAAAAGCCATTTAGAGCACACGTTAATATGAAATTTAAGTAATAAAAAAGGCCAAGGAATCATTTCATTATAGACACCACATTTAGGAACACCCTGCATATATATATATATATATTTACAGGATACATGTGTAAGTAAATATGTTAACTTAAAATGTGTTATGTAGGCTAATTTATTATTATTTTTTTTTTTTTTCAGTATTACTATGAATGAAATGAGAATAAATATGGATAAGTCATTCATACATTTTTCTAATGCAATAGCTTTGTATAGTATTTTATTTTAATGATTTGCTTTATACAGAAAGCTAAACTATTTAGGCTGGTTCTGTTCAGTTATTATTATTTTTATTTTGTTTGGATCTAGGGAATGTGTTTTATCTTAGTTTCCAAAATGTGATGATTACTATTTATGAAATATTGCTAATAAAAAGTATTTTTTATTCATATAAAATATGGCAGTTAAAACTATTGTTAAAATAAGTTAGTAGTCTAGATTTAACAATGTGCTACTTTTTTTCAAAAGCTACAATTAAGGAACCCAAGTGCTTACTTACAATAAGAATTTTTACAGTCTTGGATTTTTGGAGATAAAGTTTTAAAGTATATTTATAATTATTACAATTTATTTACAGAAAAGCTCAATCCACTGGACATAATATTTGCAATGGCAAGACGAATTTGTGTTTCTTGAGATCAAGTAGCTTGAACTTAATGTATGTATTGAGAATATTCTCATGACTAATAAATATTTGAGAAAAATATTGGAAAAAACTGGTTTATCATATTTTCATGTTCAATTCAATCTTTTTTAAAGCCATTATTTCAATATTTAGTAAAAAATTAACATATGAGCTTTAGTTTTCTAAATTCATTTGTGAGGTTTGGGAAATTTGTAAAATATATATACTTAAGTACTTTTTTTAAATAAATAAGCAATGATTTCTTAATTGAGCCGAATACAAAAGGATAGTAGACTACTAAAATTAGGCAGCTAGTTTCAAGCTTATAATAAGATAAACAATTTATAATTTTTTCTCTATATAGCAACAAAAAATAATTATATTATCATAAATTACAAATTTGTGGTTTTTATTGTAGTTTTACTAGAGTCTATGGAATTTAATGTCTTGCAAACAACTGTTTGCTGAGTTATAATATTGGATATACATAATTTACCAAATTGCCCAAATATATGTTTGCAAAATTAATATAACACTACATAACTATAATTTTGAGCATATAGGTTTCTAGATTATCTTATTTCATATAGGCATATATTATTGCTTTAAACATCTTCAATGAAGTTTGTTTTTATATTATTTTCAAACAGTAACTCATATTGTTTTATGACAAATATAACAAGCTGTTATATAAATATTCAAAAATCTCTATAAAAAAAAATTGTCACAGAACTATAAACCACAGGGTTTTCAGTTCGCGTTTGCCCACTGTATAGGAAACTATATATATGAGGTACTTTTATCACATTTCTGGTTCACAGTTCTGCAATTAAATTAATTTGTCTTAAAGTCATCAAGTTTAAAGCTTTTTTTAAAACACACCAACATTAGAGTGACCATTTTTATTGTTGTCCTAATTGTTTTAAATTATACTCAATTGTTCATGTACTCTATAATACTTACTAAAATTCAAGAATGTGAGAAAAATTTTAAATTATGGTGGAATTTCAAAATTATTAATTTAAAGACATATCATGTGTAATAAAAGGGCAACAGCGATGTGTTAAGGAATTTTGAAAAACTTTCAAAAGTAAAATTAAACAATTTCCTTTTATGAAATTAAGAAAAGTAGGTATTAATTAATAGACAAGAAAGACATTTAACATATTATTTTTTGTAACAATTTAGTATCACATACTATTTAGAATCTTTATTAAGAAAGGTGCACTTGTGTGTATGTGTGTCCTTTAAAATTAAGTAAATCTAGAAGCTGTTAGATAAAACAATTATAAGAATCGCTTCTAGACTGTTTCAATTGCCATTCAACCCGATAGAATAAGAAACGTAGTTTTTATGTTCATTTTTATAAATTATTCAACATTGTTTTTTAAGAAAAAATATTTTATCCATCACTAAAATGTATGTAATTTAAACCAGTATTTTTTACTTTAAATTTTGTCTAATATTCCTTTTAATAAATTTTGGAAACTGCAAAAGAACATCTAATTTTTACTAATTCGCATTATGCAGTCATTCAACCTAAGTTAGTTTAAAAATAAGATTTTCATGTGTTATTTCACACTTTTCGAATTCTCTCAGGTTGAAAATCAACAGGTCTGGTATACCTTAGTGTGCACATTGGTGTTGTGAAAACGTTTAATATCTTAATGGACCACAGTTGAGGCAAAACAGTTTTAGTACTCTACAAAAATATAAAAGAAATATGTACAATCTAATAATGGAAAACTATAAAAAAAACTACTTCATCAGACGATGACACTGCGCCTGTTTGTTTTCTGATCAGGCGCGTATTGTTCGAGGTCCTCTGGCTGGGTGTTCAATGCCGAATAGTCAATGGGAAACATTATTGTTGATAATGTTGTTACAGGAGCGCCTAGAAGGTAATGGCCTGGTCCATTCGGATTTCTTCCAAGTAGATAGTTCGCGAAACATAGTCTATACGATTTATAGTGCAAGGGATGGTCGCCATTCTAAAATTAAATGGCTTATATTTAACTGTCTACCACAGTTTTCCTATAAATGTTCACCAAATTTTGGACATTATATACAATGTGGTTCAAAAATAAGGGTACCTTTTTCAAAACAATATTAAGGGAGGCACAACCCTCTAAAGGATTGCAAAGAGTAAACATGGGCAGAAAAATATGTTGACCATTATTAAACACACACTATTCTTTTCTTAAAACAGACATGTCTATTCCATTTATGAAAAAAACAAGTCCATATTCAAATAATAAATTCCAAATAATAAAAGTGAAAACAACCAGTTAAATAATGAGTTAAAAATCCAATGGAAATTAATCTCTTAAAGATATTCTTTAGCAAATCATATGTAGTCCTTCAGAAGCTAAATTGTGGTCAAACAGTTGAGAGTTATACCCGCTTTTGATTAGCATCAAGAATAGAAAGATATGTCTAAAAAAATTTCTCTTAAAATATTGTATAAACTTGTTTTTGTGATAATATTTGAAATTCGTTACAAAAGATATAAAATTATACTCATATCAATAAATATTGACCTTTTAATTTTAGAAACCATGAATTACAATATATTATACAAAAAAAAAACTTACCGAAGTCATTGCTTGATAGGCATGATCGAGTATTTGTCCTACTTTCACAGCATCTAGACCAAGTACAGAAGAATAGAATGAGCTTAGTTCGTCTCTAGTTATTACCCCAGTCGCTGAAAATTTAAACTTTGGGGATAAAACATTCCACCAACTGCAAATAGCAATCAAAAGACCTTTTTTACAAGTTTCTTAGAATCAGAATATGAGTTAATAATAATAATAATAAATGGCCTTTATTTGTACATACCAAAAATACAAAAAATATGTAGAAATGTACATTTGCCTGGGCGAGATTTAGCCTAAGGCTATTCTTAGAAATGTAAATGATATCAAAAGTTGATGTCCATATACATAGAGTATAAGGTATATAAATTATTAAGAAATTATCCTTCTTGATGCATTTCTAATTAAAACAAATTACGTATTTGTCTGCACTGCCTATATTTCCCAATAACTGTACAATTTCGAGTACCAATATGTGTAGAAGGCTAAAACGTATTTTTGGGGTATATCACACACCATCTGCTTTGGCTTTTTCAAGAGCGAAAATAAAATGAAAATATTTTTTGTGATAAATAACAGAATTATTTACAACTTTAATATCTTTATCTATTATTTTATCAAATAATCCACTAAATTACTGCCAATAGCAAGCTTTGAATAAGTTTAAAATTTGCCACAAAATATCTATCAACTAAATGGTTTATTTTTTTTATATACACTCACCACTCCTATTTATAACTTGGAAGAGAACTTTAACAAAAAATTGAAGCCAAATAGGAAAATCAGATAGATTTTTAGCTCCATCCAGTAATTCACCCCATTTGTGCAACCATCCATCCTTTGTAATATACGTCAAATTATTGACTGTGAAACCTATAGAAAAACTATATTAGATGATAAACATACCTAATATATTGTTTTCTTACAAACTGGTTTCTTTTACATATCAATCTTTTTCTAATAAAAAGAATGGTTTTATATATATGTGGTTGTGGTTTGTTATCCAGTTTGATGTAGTACAAAGACCTACCTAATTTTTCATGTGATATGTTAGTTAAAAACGTTTCAATGAACCCTCGTTCTATCTCTCGAAGTATATTAAATTCTGAAGATGTCAAAGACCAGTCTGCAAAATGTCGCAATCTCTATCCAAAGCGAAAGCATGAAAGGGATACACAAATTAAATCTAAACTAATCAACTGTAGTACCTGTAGAGTATTTTATGATAATTAGGTTTACCTCCATTAAATGTTCAAAATCATCTTCACTAATAAGATTGTCCTGATCGTGGTCTAATAGACATGTAAAAAAATGTGAGAATTTGTTGCTTTGTGTAAGACTTAGCTGATATCCATTGTTGTCCTCTGAGTTTTCACCAGAATCGACGCTAAATCGGTCTACCCAAGTGGCTGCAAATAATTATTTATATACTAAAGAGCAAACCTCCAAATTGCACATATTAAAGTTAGGGGATTAAAAATTATACATAAAATGCAGGCTTATTATTATTCCACTTAAGCAAACAAGACATCACATGCTTCTAACCACAACATTGATCTAGGTGAAGGTCAGTAGAAAGGATCTGAACAAAGATAATGCCAATCCAATATTATTAAACACCTGTGCAGCTTCCAAATCGACATCACCAATTTTATATACAGATCTATAAAAGCTCAAAACATTGCACACGTTTGATTGTGGAAAATTGAAATCACACCAATTAATAATTTCGTGTTGCAATTTATTTTAGGTAAAGGTGTCAATTGGCATACAGAATACTGAGAATCTTGGAAGCAATTAATAAAAATAGATTGGGCTAATGAATGTGATATCGCTGGTGAACTCCAAAAGATATTTTTCTTGACAAAGTGCAATGACTATGATTAGTAAGGATAAGACATTCCACCACCTGCAGGTAGCATGGTAGCAATCAAAAGACCTTTTTTACAAGTTTCTTAGAAGCCGAATATGACTGTTAAAATCCTTAGAAATGTCATTGTAAATGATGTCAAAAGTTGCTGTCCATATACATACAGTATAAGGTATATAAAATGTTAAGAAATTATCCCTTTAATGGTTTATTTGTAGAAAATTACAGACTTGGTTCTGTATTTTTATAACAGGTTTTTTCTTAATATTGGTTTGAAAATAATTTAAAAATAATATGCCCCTATGATCGATAAATAATATATTAAGGTAAGGAATATACCTAATTAATTGAATAGTTAAGAAGAAAAAGGATTAAAATATGAATTATAAATAAATAATTAAGTATATTATCGATTAATTAAATCAGTAATTACAATATGAATCATTAAGCTGTTGAAATTAAAATTTAAGTTTTCATAATGTTATAAAAAATCTAATAATAAAAATTGGAAATTCAATATTAGAGAAAAACAGCACATTTTACCTAATTACTGAAAAATAGATTCTAAATCTAAGTAGTAGGGTATAGGTACTCAATTAAATATTAATAAAAAAATAACTCATTCTCTTGTAAATAATTTGCTTCTATTTATAATACATCTCCTAGAGTAGGTATCATAGATTTTGTTTTTCTGTACCTTGAGACTTGAAATAAAAAAGGTAGGAAGTACTTAAAAGCACTTCTAAAAATATTACCTCTTGAAAACCACCACTTACTATTTTTCTTAAATGGCAACTCTGTATTCTTTTACGGATTTTGAAAGTATTCTTACTTCAGAAAGCACATATAAATAGAATTTGTCCTAAGTTAATTTTAAATAAAAACAGCAATGCAATATTGAGAATGGACACACCAAATAAGCATTACCTTATTTACACATACAGTTAGGTATTCTGTAAAAGAGAGTGCTAAGAGCTAAGTAAACATGCCAACTTACTCCACACATGTACACTCCAGCCACAGCTTTCAGAGTGACTATCAGACTTCTCATTTTCCTCTGGTTTTTTAATACCATCCGCTTCAATCTCTGACAACGTCCTCCAACGTTTCAGTAAATCTTTCGTTTTGTCTTTGGTTTTATCACATGCTGATCTCCAATTTGCTATTATTTTATTAGGCACTTTCAACGAAGCATCATGTATTTTTTGATTGTCACCTTCATGTTCTTGGTGTTGATGTAATTCAGATTTAAATTGTTTTGAGTTTTTCTCTTGCTTTAAGCTACCACCGCTTAGGCTGGATTTATCGAGGCTTTTGGTACTTTTGAGGCTTGTTTGTGATGTTCCTAGGTCTTTAATAATACTGTCCTTACTTGATTTACGCGATTCAGTAAGACTTTGTTCCATTGCTTATATGATTATTCTGTTATACACCGACATCACTTATTTTTAGGTGTAATTGCCCTATGACGATAATCACTTTATTTGTGTGGTACATTTAAAAATTGTAAATAGAACTTGTATAATGTCAGAAATTTTAAATAAAGTGCTTGTTTCGATTATATTCTTCATATCACAATTTTTTAAATGTAATGTATTAATTAACTATAGGTATGCAAAAATACAAAAAAACTACATTGATTTGAGAAAGGGTAGCACTTCCTTCTTTGATAGGGTAGCAATCACAATTCACCACCACAGAGCAGTAATTTAAATTACCACGGGTTACAGGTTTAGGTACAAACATTGAAAATTGAAACAGGTAAAATTGTAAAAATAGAAAACAATTAACTTGTTCAAATATGTTTAATCGGCTGTTAATAGATGGAGCTGTAGTCGGTGATATACTGAAAATGAAGAACACTGCAATTTTTTTAACATCTACAATTAATTTATAGATGTCACTACAGACGATTTCTTTTTTGAAAAAGTTCGATCCAAAGCAATCCCTATGACCAATCCAGAGGCGGATTTCCCGTAAGGAACGTTAGACAGATACGTACCTAGGGGCGTGCAAAGAAAAAGGGTGCAATCGCAACATTCGAAACGCTATAAGTTTTAAATAAAAAAATACTTAATCCAGAACATTAATTACGAGTATTAAAACTATGTGTGGCGACGGAGCAGTGACTATGTCATTTGGCTTTCATGCAGAAGTCCTGGGTTCAATCCTAGGATTGGATTACTAATTAAATTAAATATATTTTTTCAAGTTTATTTTATTATATAAATTAGTAAAAGTAATAAATACTTTTTAAATTAGTTTCATCTTAATAACCTAAATTAATGTTTAAAATTTTTAGATTTTCTTTTTACCATAGGTAATAATTTTTTATCCCGCTAGAGGGCACTCAAATTAAAAGGAACGCAATGAACAGTCATATTGCTGAATTCCCCATAAAATTACCTTTCTGACGATGTGTCATTCTTGGTATTGGTTAGACTGACGTAGGGGAGAGGAATGATATATGACAGTTGAAGGTGTTCCCCTTGAAATAAAAATAGACCTGCTTTTGCGTTCGTTACAAAAAAAAAAATTCTACTTCAAGATATTCTGATATACGGCCGGTCGCCACCCTTAATGAATCACCCAGTACATAATATTAAAATTATATTGAATAATCTAAAATGTATCGATCTACATCATCAAATAATTTCTTATAACATAAAATATATTTAAATTCCGTTACAAGTGCTATTAATTTAATTAAAATATTGCATTTTCTATGTTAAAATCAAATACTTGTAATGCTAAAGTAATGTTTATTAAAATAGTTAATCCTTCATTGCAATGTAGAAAACTAGAATAATAACTAGAAATACCTACGCAACGTAAATAAGTAGTTATAGTATTTACCCTATACTTCACTATGTTTCCTTTGTTTATAATATTTATGCAACATAAATTATGTTTATAATAATATAAATACAAAATACGTCTTAAAAATAAGGATATAATAATAATAATAAGTTTATTTCGAAAACCATGAATACAAAGTATATAATTATTTTACAATTTAGTAGAAATAAACAAGAAAGGGAACATTTTGTAATGCCTAACTACTATGATTTTCATAATAAAAGTAACTTTGCGAGCTTAGGAAAATCCTGTCTGCTGCTGCCGATACTTATTAAGGCTATTTTGTTTTAAGAGTATAAATGTATAATTAGCGGTATACTGTAATACATCTTATTATAATTTATATAATAAAACGAAAAAAAGAAAAAAAAATTAAAATAAAAAAAATACATAGGTATCAGATTTTGAAAATAAATTTAGTTGCAAACCCAGGTAAAATTGTCGAAAATGTTTTTTTTTATTTTTATCTATATATATTTTTTTATTATAAATCTTTATAATTTATTATATAAATCAGGAAAATATATCTGCATCTACTTACTTCTTACTGTTATTATTTTGGGTTGAACAATTTCACTGCTTCACGGCACAACGCTTTCCTCAAATGCATTTAAACAAATGATATGGATGCGAGTCCGAGCCCTAGTGACGGTTCGAATAGGAAATTTCTTGTTTTTATATCACGTGCATCTCATAAACACGCATTAAAAAGTAATTGTACTTATAAATGTAATTGGAAAGGTAATTGTACTTATGACAAGTAATTGTATTTAGACAATTTAAATAATATAAATTAATATAATTACAAAGAACAATTTCCTCACAGATTTTACTGCAATTACAATTCCAAATTACTTTGAGAGAAAAAAGTACTTAAATACAATTACAAATTACATGAAAAAAAATGTAGTTGTAATTATTAATTACTTTTGTACTGGGAATTACCCAGCTCTGTTGTCAACACTCCGGCTATGGCATCGTGTTCAAACTTCGTCTTCGAGCGATATAGCCATCATATCGACTCTTGTTGCACAAACTACTACTATTCCTGCACCTACAGTCGTTGGGAAAAATTGGGAAGGTGCATGATACCCAATACAAAATCTGTGAATAATTTAAGTAACAAATCCATACGAGATAAATTTAACCATTACGAAGAAATAGCGAAACACTCGAAATTTTTTTACTATTTTAATTTATGTCCTAAACAGAATAAAATACTATATTAGGACATCAATGGGCGAAGAATGTAATTGCTTAGCAATACTTAATATAATATAGATATCATAAATTGATTTTGAAACTTTCATTGAAGAATTGTAATGTGAGCCATTTCCGACCAATTCGGTAATGCTCCAATCTTCTAAGTCTTGTTTACGTCTTTTTACGACCCCCACTTTTTCTTAAAACCAGGAATATTTGACGAAGGGGGATAAACCTCCTTTACCCAGAGGGCGCCTATGGATACAGCCAGTACGAATCATTTATTCTGAAATATACTAGAACCTTTATAGGAGAAAATTCTAGAAAATGGTGAGAGCGCTACAATGGAAAATAGAGTCGAAAAATTTGGTGGATGTTTCGGAAACGCCTTCGCATTTATATAAAATATGCGTTTGCAGTTATGAACAGTCAATTGAAGTCAAATCATAGCAGTGAGAACATCAATAAAGTGAATGTATTATAAATTAGTATAAGTAAATTGTTAAATAAATTAGAAGTGTGGAATATAAATGGTTTTTGAGTACAAATTAATTAATTAGTACGTGGTGTAAATAAATTATAAATAAACTGTTTTAAATAAATAAATAATCGTTACATTGGTGTCAGAAGTGGTATCGTAAAAAAGGCCTAAACAAGGCAGAGCCACTTAAAAGATTGGAGCATGACCGAATTGATCGGAAATGGCACATATTACATTATCTATTTATTGGGTATCTAAATCAAACTGTAAGAAACAAATTAAAATATCATGTTAATCAAGTAATGTATAATTTCAGTGCAGGTTGATTTTTAATTTAGAGAATGAGAGTAATTTTTTAATAGTATTATCTGTATATTTTTATACGTTTTTATGTTTTGGAGCACCCAACATAATTTTAAAAAATCGGCGCCCATGGAATAGTACGTGTTTAAATAGAATCCGACAAATTAAGTGATAAAAGAAATGAATTTAAAAAAGTGTTTAAAAAAGCAAATTTTTTTAAGAACACTATTTGACCGAATAGGTATATATTTGATATCATTTTAACTCTTAATTGGCAAGCAATAAGTAGGTACGTAATAAATTCTTAATTTCGTTTCAAAATGCTGTTTAACGAGGAAGCAAAAACTGTAAAAATAATACTCGCCATCATAAACGTTTACGGTTCCAAAGGTTTAAAACTGAAAAATTTAGAACAAGAATTTAAAAATTATTGCGGTTTTCCGCTTCCGTACAAACAATTTGGGAATAATAATTTGAGATCGTGGTTGCTAACATTACCCGATATTTACTTGGTAAACGATGAGAACGATGAAGAAACATTATTTCAACACAGTGAAAAGTCGTATCATATAAGACAACTAATTTATAAACAGAAATCTAATCAAGAAAAAACAAGCCAGGGTACTCGGTATGGTAATTTTCCTAATAATAAAAGAAATAATTTTAAAAATTACAAAAATGGGAAATCATTGTATAAACAACATATCAACAACAATATTTCACACATTCATCAGTCAATCAATACTGTTGCTATTAATGAAACTGATAGATTTCGGGAATTCAATAAACTGGTAAGTGTCTTTTTTATAATTATGTTCGACTTACTTTACTATGAGTTCTCACCTCACTCGTAACGAGTGTTCTAGAAACTACGGAAATATACATCACAGGCTCTCATAAAATGTGTTTTTTTTAGGAATCTATGTTACCTTTGTTCTACAATCATCAAGCATTAGGTGATGATTTTCTTTTAGACATTGCAGACACAAAATTTGGATATTATGTTCCTGATCAAGGTAATAATATAAAAAGTAATTTAAAAAAAAATCGACTCCAAAAAAAATGTCATCAGATCTTGACCAAATTTATATCGGACCACCCCTGAGATACCCCCTATATATAATTAATAATAAAAATATTTATTCAGTGTTAGGTACTTTGGACGTTTACATTCGTCAAAAAAATGGGTGGTCCAACCAAAACGCACAATTTTAATTGTAAATAAAACAAAAAGTTTTCAGAGAATTATCTTAATATTTTTTATTATGATAGAAGGATATATGAAAATTATGTGTGAAAACAAAATATCGGCCAAATACTTGCCACGGTTTCGGTGGCATACCTCTATCCGATGGTCCATATTTTCAATGACTCTAAAACATAATTGATAACGGACTTCTTGTGGCCAGAAATTGAGGATAGGGACCTGGACGATGTGGTTTCAACAGGATGGTACCACTTGCCACACAGCCAACGAAACAATGGCTCTTTTGCGCGAGAAATTCATCGGCCGTGTTATCTCACGTCGTGGCGATGTTAATTGGCCACCAGGATTATGTAATTTGACACCGTTGGACTTCTTTCTTTGGGGATACTTATAAAAGAAAAAGTGTACGTCAATAAGCCAAGAACTAAAGGATGAGATAATTCGGCACATTAACGACATTGAACCTCAATTATGTCTCAGTCATTGAAAATATGGACCATCGGATAGAGGTATGCCACCGAAGCCGTGGTGAGCATTTTTTGGTTGATATTTTGTTTCAGACATAATTGTCATATATCCTTCTATCATAATAAAAACTATTAAGATAATTATTTTTCTTTTATTTACAATTAATATCGTGTATTTTGGTTGGACCACCCAAAAAGAAAAAAATAGAAAACATAAATTTTATTATTGCTGAACATACATAATAATAATCAGACGAATTGAGAACCTCCTCCTTTTTTAAAGTCAGTTGAAAATATATTTACTCATAGAATTTTTTTAAATATACACCTAAAGCCGTACTGTGAGGATTTTTTTTTTATTCAAAATATATATTTTTGTTCCGCTTTCCTTCCTTATTTTAGGTAGTCAAGAATGTGGCCTTTGTTGTTCAGACCAAACTATTTCAGAGTTAGCAATGAAAATAAAAAATGCAAAATATTTGGCACCAAGAGTAGTTGTTATGATTGGCCTCACAGATTTACTTATGGTGAGTTATTAATCTTTTTTTACAGATTAATATGAATCTATAGGTCTGTAATAATTAAGAGTGATTTTACATTTTTGGCAAATAAGTTTACAGAATTTTTTTTAGGGTAAAAACGTAAATGACATGATAGTAGACCTCCGAATGTTAGTAAATGAGCTAAAAAATAAAAACACCAGAGCTACATTAGTTACTCTCGTACCAACACCCAAAATGGCAAGTTTAAATGACAGATATTTGACTCGTATGCAAATCTTTAACAATGCTATTCTGGACTATAGCTTGTATTGTAAGTTTAGTTTTTAAAATAGAAAGTTTTTTTTTTTTTCGTTTATGTAAAATATTTGTTTCTTCATTATAGCTACAGAGTTGAAATGCAATGTGATTGACATGTATTCTATATTTCAAGAAGAAGAAAATAAATTTCAGAGAAATAAGTAAGTCTTGCTTCAACAAAACATGACTAAATTGATGTCAGTAGTAACCCTAGAATAATGTCACTAACTTATTTGACAACTAATATTGTATGAGTCACTAAAAACAGTCACCCCTTAATAAACCATTTATTTTAAAACTGACAATTTAATCATTTATTCTATAAATTAGTGTTCCTCATCTATGTATTTTGTTTTTAGTGATAGACTGACCAAGCTTACTAGAAAGGACAAATACAAGGTATTTTCAGATTTTGGTAGGAAAATTTTCATAAGTAATCTGAAAACTTGTTTGATTGAACAGTTGGTAGCTGGACACTAGCAAAAATTCATTTATAATATATTGAAATTTTCACTGTTACTTACATATCTAATTTGTAGTGTGTTTATTCTATTTTTATGGTATAGTTTAAGTAATAAATTATTTAAATGTCATTATAATAAAATGGAAATATTTAATAACTTTGCATGATAGAATACACATATTTATTATTATTGTTGTTAGTCAAAGGTACATACCTAAACAAAGTTTATAATATTTCTACATTGTATAAATTACACTATTATTTAAATAGTTTTAATATCAAATTCTTAATTTTAGAAATATTAGTATTTAAATTGTAGTATGTAAGTAATTTGACAGAGTAGAGCATTTGTGATAATAGGTTAATTTTTTTTAGATTAAGAATTAATTAATATTTAGTATATTGTATGTTAAAATCTGTTATTTACTGGTAATGTCTATTAAGTAATATATTTATAATAAATTATTTTCTAGTATTTTTAATAATCACAATTCAATTTTTTTTTATTAATAAAAACAGGCATCATTAGAATAATGATACTCAATATTGACTAATCCTGGTTTCAAATTTAAAACTCATAATGAAAATAATTGTACGTATTTTTTGTCAGTGCTATGTGAATAAATATTTATAATAATCTCTCCTACAAATAAATATATGTCAATGGCACTCAAAGATTCAAAAATAAAATAGAAATGTATTTTCTTAAAAAATATGTATTTATGTAAAATAAAAAACAAAAGAATATAAAGTACTCATCTACATGTAAATTTTCCTCAGATCAGATGGTGATGTAATCATATTACATTGGGGGCATAATTTTTTTACACCTAAAGTTTGTAGCCAGCATTCTTCACAATGCACATGCCAACAACATACTGAAATAACTGGAGTCTTGTATCTTTCCATGCATATCAAACATTTGTACACTTCTTCTTTGTTAGATTCCCTGCTTTCTAATTCTCTAATTCTATTTTTTAATACTTCTAAAATAGGATCACCCTTGGTTTCAATAGATTCAAATTCAGTCCTTTCAGGAGATATTCGTTTTGGATCACTCCCTGTAACTGCTTTACGTAAAGCAATGTTTTCTGGATTTTCACAAGGGAGTATCACATCATTTTCAGAATATTGAGGCGATCCAAATAAATGAGAATCATCTCCATCAACATTTAAGTCTTCATCATCTTCCGCCATACTAACAGAAGTTCCTAAACTAGAAACACCACCTTGCAGTAAGCTTGTAGCACGTACACGTGATTGTCCTGCCCACTCATACTCTTCAAATGCTTCTACATCAATGTTTTCATCACTTTCACTACCATTTGCCTCAGATCTTCTAAGACACAATTCTACATGTAAAGTTAAGTCCTCAGTCACCTCCTTGTTACACACTGGACATGTTTCCTCAGCTCTTCTTTTTCTAGTTTTTGTTCTTTGTCTATTTTGCCTATTTGTACGAATTTTTTGAAATGTTTCCCAATTTTTATCACCACTACTATCAGAAGATCCATTTGATGAACTACTAGGGGTATTTTTACCATTCACTTTAAGTTTAGAGGCTTGTAATTTATTAAGTCTTTCTATTTCTGAATCTAAGTGCAAATGCACTTCAGATTCTCTCAAAGTTATGCTGCATACAGGACAGCATGTAGGATCACTTTGTCTTTTCTTAAATCTACAGCTTCTAATACCATCTTCAAACTGGCAACTACTACTAGGTACAATTTCATTGTCTCCAGAAAAATCCATTATGTTCCATTAAATATGACTATGTCCACATCCAGAAGCGCTTGATTCAAATTTTTAACGAATGAGTTTTCCATAAAAGTATAGTAAAAGAAAGATGTTTCTTGATTTTTCTACAAACATTATTATCTGTGAGGTTATTATATTAAAAACCGTCTAGTTTTAAATGCATTTCAGTTAAAATCACATACTGAGGTTTTTTAACAATAGACAGTTTGAATGCACTTCCGAATTTTGCGAATTGTTATGCATTTTGTATTTACTTAGTCAATTTATTTATTTACAAAAACAAACATCCTTTTTAAATAAATTTATCAATAACAGTTTAGTTTGACACCACTTTGACACAGAACAAATCAAAATGTCGGGGTTATAATTAATTGACAATGACAGTTGACAAATGAGTGACATTTTTGTGAACATCACCAAAGTGCTGAGTTCGGCAATTTTAACTCCTTTTAGAATTAACACCTTCATTTTATTTAAACATTGAGAGAGATCTCTGAAATGTTTTGTAATAAAATAAATGTCGCAGAACATTTCTGCTATGAATATACTCCACCTTTACTTCCTCTGTTAAAATAGGGATATCTTCACTTCAGGTACCAATTTTTTATTAAAGAATATCTCGAAAATATGCCACAAAATAATTTGTTTTGTAGGTTGGCAACAATGAATATCGATTAGTTATTTTTATTTATTTATTTAAAAAGTGTTCTGTCAAGAAAATATCAAATTCAATAAAACTATTTAAAAATTATTAGCTATAAATAATCAATCTTCAGTGTTAGAAAAAATTCTTTTTATTCAGTATTGAAAATGTCATTTAATACAGATTCTGATTTAGAGACGAAAGTGCGTAAATGTAAGTAACATAAAAGAATAAAATTTATATTTATTTAATAGTTATATATTGTAGCAACTGAACGAATATCGGAGAATATGCATATAGTAGCAAATGAGCCTTCACTTGCTTTTTATAGACTACAGGAACATGTTAGAAAAGCTTTGAATCCAATGGTAGAACGTAGGGTAGATGTAAATAAACTTCACACGGAATTGCAGGGTCGTTGTTATGATATTGAATATGCAGTGGGGTAAGGAATTTCTTACTAATAAGTTTATAATCTAAACCTGCACTGAAGTAATTTTGTATGCCAACCTATATATGTATCTTTTGTTTCACTAGTGTTCCTGAAATTCTATTTATTTCTTTTTTGTAGGGCATTAAAAAGTATGGCAAAAGCTGAAGATAGTTTTAAAAACATTCAAGATAACCTAAAGAATGCAATTTTTCTCAAACAACAACTCAAATATGAAGAGTCTAGAAGAAAAAAATCTGATACTAATTCTGTATATAAACGATTATCTGCTCATATTACTTTGGATCTACCTGAATTACCAGAATTGTCTGATGTAGTTAGAGAGACAGCTAATCGTGTTGAACACATGATGTCTAAAGCAACACATTCTAGTAGTTAAAAGTAGTAAAATAATGTTTAAATTGTGTTAATCTGTGTAATTTATTTTTATTTTGGTTGAATAAATTTTATATCTAATATTAAGTCATATCGTTTTAATTTTATTATAACAGAAATTAAAAACGGATCACGTAAGTTAGTTAAAAATTAATTGCCCTTTTTATTTTTATACTTCATGTTAAACTTATTTAAATGAAATGTAATCCTTTAGGTTGGTATCATTGTCTCTGGTATCATAGAGGTTGGTATCAGTGATTTGCAAGGTTGCCGTTTGGGTGGGAATTTTGGGTGGATATAATATTTTTGGGAATTTGCTCCCATCCAGGCTTCCATAATGATTTTTAGGCGAATTAATCTTGAATTTCTTTTTTTTAATAAATAGTTAATATTTATCTATTCATTAGGTCATTGATGTGTTAATCAAGACCTGACACATGAAATTATGTCATGTTTTGTTTTGAGATATGACATGTTTTATGTTTAAACATAAATGACGTGTTTTTGTGGTGTTGTGATTTGATAGTATTTCATGATTGGAGTCGTTTTATTAACTAATTAAACAGAGCAATTGATTATATTAAGGACGAGAGAAAATCTCAAAGTCCGTGTCAAAGCAAAATTAAGCAACCATTTTCCTTCTGAAAACAACTATACTCCTTTTACTAATACCGCAACAGACACTACATTATCGGGATTATGATGGACAAGTAATGTTATTTTTAACAGACACGTTATTTGTAAACAGCTTGTTATTTCTGTGTGTTTATAAAATAACAGACCTGTTAAAAATAGCACAGGTTGTCAATCATAATCCCCTATATCAAAAGAAAAAGAGCAGAGCTTGAACATAATTTTCAACACTCTAGTCTTGTTATTATTCCGCCTTGTTCTAGAGGTTCTGCAGCCAGCTTTGATTTTTCTTCCTATAAGTGCAGATTGAGTTACCATTTTTTACTCGTTGAGTACCTACACCTTTCTTATCCAGTTCTAATATATAAGAGTAAAGGTGTAACGCATCAAGTAGACTTAATTAGGTCATTGTCAAGATTGTCTATTTCTTGCTGATATGTCCTCATAAGGACGAAACCGGTCCAATTAAGATGTTCCTTGGGAAGCAAAATCAAAGCTATAGTGTTGAAAATTATTTTATCTCTGCTCTTTTCCTTTTGATATAATTCAATGCCTGTTGCGGTATTAGCCAAGGAAGAAAAGGGTTGAAAATTTTGCTGCGGTACGGACTTTGAGATTTTATTTGCCTTTGTTTCTCAGATAAATTTTAATTGGTCCTCAGCGTCGAGTGTATTTTGTTAACTAGTGCTGCGTTTGAAAAGTACCTCATTTTGCTTTTTTATCTCGATTTTGTTTTTTAAATTTCAAGCTCCGTTTGCTCCATTGATATGGTTTGCTCGATGTCACGTGACCAAAAAATTACTCGCTCTGCGCGAGGAGGTACATTTTAAACGGAGCTTATAACGCTTTTCTGGATTATAGTTGTATAGAAAATATTTTTTTTAGTGTAGGTGGAAAAGTGGGTAATTTTTAAAACCGTGGGTGGATAAAGGGGGAATTTTGGGATTAAGGGGCCTATTCAGTAACTCTGAACGACGTCGTTAATAGACGATAATCGTTCACAGACGACTTTTCTTATTCAGTAGACAACGATTGTCGTTGAAAATAGACAAATATGGTTGTAAAATTGTCGTTCATCAACGATAGCCAAAGAGCTGTCGTTAATAATATGAAGTGTCGTTATAGTGATTTTTGCATTCCCTCTCATTTTTTATTATGAATCAGGATATGTTCTAAATAATAAAAACACTTTTTTACAAATTTTACAACTAAATTGTCATATACCTAATACAGCAAGTAAAATTTGTAAGGAATTTTTTTCTAATTTATTTAATTATTTTAAAAATAAATCGGATTCAAAGTTAGGATTGCCCATTCAAGCATTTACTATTGGATTCTTATTAACAGTGCTGTTCCTAAAGTAGCACTGCGAAACAGTAACAAAACCTATGGAAGTACCTATACTTCTCCGTAACCTACAGAAATTTGGTTTGTCTTTCAAATCCAATAAAAAATACATCTTGTACTGTTCTCGAGTTGTTTTTTGTATTCTTTTGGAATAGTTCTCAGTTTTTTTTAATATATCCATACTCATTTTAATAAGCCCTACATACAATACGACCAGCAAAAATGGCCCGCGAGAAACAGAATTCCTACGAATCGAGAATCGACCCCCTGATCGTGTTGTAGGTTAAGAACAATAATTAATATATTCTGAAAAACAAATGAATATATCTACTGGTTGAATTTTTATTTTACGTTCCTAAAAAAATGTCAACTATACCGGGTGTTCAAATTAAAGGGTTACAGTTAAATACCGCCTTTTATAAAAAAAAAAACAAAGTTTTATAGTTTTTTGGGTGTTACTCAATAAGTAGAAATCCAATAAAAAAATGTTTTATTTAGAAGTTTCTTATTTTTTTATGAACTCTAAGAATACCTATGTAAAAAAATAGAGGGTTCCAATATGAAAAAAAATCCACCTCGATATAGCCATATTATAGTCAGCTATAAAAAAATTAATTTAGCCAAAATGTTTCCCCTAAAAAACTATAAAACTTTTGTCTGATACTTTTTTTTTATAAAATGCATATTTTTGGCGATATTTAACTGTAAAACTTTAATTTAAACACCCGGTATAATCATCAACATACGTTCTTTTATCACAAAACACTATATTATAATACCAACTTACTCGAAATCATCGTTCAGATTTGGTAACTAGAAACAACGTAACGACTTTGTTATTGAATAGAATTTCAAAAATTATCGTTATAAAAGTCGTTGGTTGAACTGTCGTTAGCATAAAGATGTCGTCCATGAACGATAAATTACTGAATAGGGCCCTAAGTGATGGGAAACTTTACATTTTCGATTCGGCAACACTGGATTTGAGTTAAAGAGATGTCAGAAGTGTCAGTACAGTTTACCATCTGTCAATTTTATCGATAATCAAAATACCAATTTTCTAATGATTTGAATAAATAATTAAATGTTGATCATTTTTCTAGTGCAAAAATCTTTGAAGCAGTATTTTTGTTAAAGGTAAACAAAACGGCAATATTTTTTTTAATTCATTGTAGGTTAGACATATTAGTTATAGTGTGCCTCACAAATGTTTATAAATTATTACCAATTAATTTATTACAACGGATATAAGTTAGTTTTATGTTCTTTTTTTTTAAATGTTAATTCTTTTGTATAATAGTAATTTAAATTTTGAAGTCACTAAATAGTAAATACACATGCGTTCAATAAGTTTGCAATTGACCAAACATTGCGACGTCGCAAAAAACGGCGCAAGACTTCAAATCTGTGTATATATTTTTAAATATCTAGACAATTATCGGGAAGAATTAAATAATGTATCTAAAATATATGATATATTTTATTAGAAACGTTTAAGTTGACTTGGAAAGGAACCAGTGTCATAGGTTGGCAGACTTTTTCTATTTTGTGCGCCGTTACTTCAAATATTGATTTTGGGCTGGACAAACGTCTGGTAGCCCAAAGAAAATTGTGTTCTCGCTATAAAACACGCAAGAAAACGGCAGCGTGTAAATATCTTTTACAAACTAATAAATACTCATTTATTTCTAATTGTAACTATGCCATCCATTTGGTTCTTGTATCAAGTGTGTTCAGTTAAATAGTTTTTGGTGTTTCTGACTATTGATTCATATTTAATGTAACAATTATATTGTTTTATAAGAGTGTCAGTGAATTAATGTTACCTGTTATCCTTTTGGATGTTTTAGAATATAATTATTACCAAGTCTCCTATTGGTAGTTGGTAAGATTACTTTATTTTACCAGACTATTACTAAAAACTAATTTTATCGCCTAAACTATGTTTTTAAAGTTCTTATATTTTGTGGATTATAATTTTTTTTCTTCTATTTTTTATGGTCCTAGAAAAGTTTTATTCGTAGGTTTACCTGAAGATTATTATGGCAGTTAAATTTAGAAATTTGAGAAAGTAGAAATGACCAGTTTGACTATAGCATTAGATAATATTGATGTTATTGAAAATACAGAACAAATTAGTAAATTATTTCCCAAGTGCAGACCAAGAAGTGATATTAACTTAAATCCTATAATAGCCTCTGGAAGAGACCATGAATGCATTGAAAATACAACTAATACTGTCATGAGTGTCGACAGTGATAATGATAGGTAACACTATACACTTTTTCACATTTTCAGCATTTATTTTAACAAATTTATACTTATAATTAATTTAAGTAATGTGCATAACAATAATAAATAATTTTCATCTAAAATTTTGACCAATTTTTACTTTGCTATTTTTTAAAATAAAAGTTTTTTATTAATTTGCAAATGAGGCAGCGAATTGCCTTTTATTTTAAATATATATTTTACTTAATAATTGATAAGTAAATAATTATGCACCTATTTTTTTCAAATATAAATTTAAATTGGTTGACCTTTGTTAAACTCAATTTTCATATAATTAAACAATTCTTGAAATATTTTCTTTTTGATTTTTTTTTTTCATTCTTTCATTTTAATCATCTACATCAATTCAGTTTTCAAGAAAAACATCAGAAATTAATAATGACTCATGCATGCATGATTCACTATCAAAATCTTGTCATCTTATAATTGATTTAAAACTACATCAGAGTCTATTTAAAAATAATTAATGTAGCCACTCTTTGCTAAAATATTAATTTTTCTCAATAAGAATTTTTAATACATTTCATTTAAACATTTAATTTATTTGTATTGTTTTATTATATTATTTTTGGTTAGTTTTAGATGTAAACAAAGTTTAACAATATTTTTTTTTTAAGTTATCACTCTTACAAGAAAACAGAGTAAACAGTTTAGTTTTAATAATATACCTACACTTGTTTAAAATCATATTAAAAATAATTTCACTTATGGTTGTATTTTGTTTTAATAATTTAAATCTTAATGTTTGTCAGATGGATAGCGGATAGTTCCTGTAATGTTAGTAGAGAAAATACAAGTCAACTGCACTCAACAGACGATGATGATATCATTATTGAACATAAACATACAGGGGGAACATATAAATTGCGTGACTCTAGGTATTTTGGTCTTATTTGAATTATTTCAAATTTATTTTTATTTTGCACTGGCATTTCTCAAATTACTAGTAGATACATTACTATTTATTGATCGTCTCATGCACGAAGCAAATCAATTATTTAGTTGAAAAGTTTGTAAATTTTATTATTTTGCATGCAAAGGTAGTGTATAAGTATATTTGAATGAATTTATTTATATTCGATTTTGGCTTTATTTTGATTGGCTAATTTTCAAAATTTTCTAAAATACCCTTTGTCTTGACAAAAGGATCGGCAGTTATTTAGAAAAAAATATTAGTCTATTCTTCAAAACATAATCTCCATTGTTAAAGCTTTTAATGAAAACCTATTTTTTTATAAACTTCTAAAAAACCATCTGCTTCGTATGAAACTACTAAAATCGCCATTTTCGATTCAAACTGTGATATTAAATCTTAAACGTGTTTAATAACTGGTGTGTGCAATGTCTGATTATAAATATATAACTCAAATGATTCTTGGTATCTGACATTTTGTTTGAAAGGGATTGTTACATTTTATTATCTTGCACAAACAAACAAATTTTATAAAAGACCTACCTTCGGGCTACAGTATTAATATTAAGAGTCATTCCACATCAAATCACCATGCATAAACCTTTGATATAATTTATTATCAACCTGAAATTCTTCAAGGGTTAACCAGATCAGATTACATTACTAATTTAATGTGTGTTCAGTGGTAAATATCTGCAGAATTAAATTAAGTATGACAATATAAATACCAGAAATAATAAGTAATATACTGTATACTCAATGAATATATACTTACTATTTTTTTTTTATTTGTGTCTCCAATTACAAAGATTACTTTATGTTTCAATGTCTGATAGAGCAAAGCTCTTAATAAGGCTATAGGCCACCAGATTATACAGGTATATTTTGCACCAAATATTGGTAAAGGCCACAGGAACTAGAGTAAGTACCCACACATATATAACAGGGTTTGCTAATGTCAGTTTCATGCAAGAACGCCAGCTAAAGTACCTGCTTAAGTTGAATGCATCATAGAGCAAAAGTGTTTGCTGAAGAACATGCTAATTGGAAAATGAACCATTTCAATCCGGAGACGCATAGGTAAGCGTTTTCTAGATTACACTGTGGAAGAAATAGTTCCATTTAGAGGAGAATCTATCATGGTTTAGAGTAAAAAACTTTCAGTCGGTTGCTAAGAGGGAGGTCTGTGGTGGCACGAAGTTTTAGAACCATTTGGTATCATTTGCAGATAATATGTCCCCAGAATTAATTCTGCAGCAATATAATATCCACCCACACTTCGCTAGAAGAGGGGGACCCATAACATATAGGTTATGGATTGGTGTGCATGCAGTCCAGACCTCAATACAGTCAAGCACCTCTGGGACACACTTGAAAGAAAATTAGCCACTCTGGGACCTTCAATACACTAAAGAATTTCAGGAAGAGTGTGAGCAACTGGTTAAAATTGTTTACATTTTTATTGACAGTATTCCCAGTTGTGCACAAGTTTTATTATTAATTTTTAACTTTTTTTCATTGAAACAATAAAAGCTTAACTGCACATTTCTGCATTTTTCTGTTTTTAATGTAAGCCCCACAAGCAAATATCAAATTGTTTTTGAACCCTTTTGGCCCCCCTTAGTTCATCTCTGTAGCTCAAGAGTGGTGACACTGGTGACGTGAAGTAATTGTAATGCAAAAAGCAACGGTTAGGGAAGACGTCAACCATAGTATCATGTAAACCACTATTTAGAAAAACTTAAAATCTTAACTCTATATAATGCAATGCATAATCAATGTAAAAAACAAAAGACACTTTCCTAATTTATAATTCAGCCTCTATTCATGAGCTCAAGAAATAGGGATATTTTGAATTATCCTCAACATTGTATTTAGTTACTAAGCAAGTACATATTAGTTTAAATACTTTTAAAATATATTTTTTCTACACCCACATGGATATTAGCTATTCTACGGCGACTACAAAACGAAAAAGTATACCATTGCATTCAACTGGACGAATATATTTCAAATCCATTCTACCAATCACAGTTTATATTTTGGTCACCCGACTATTATTTTTTTAAATAAGTGATAAGTGACAAATCTGTCAAACCAATTATTATCAGTATATTTTTTTAGATATTGAGATAAATATACGTTAAAATGAGTTATTCTTGTGTAGAACCGATAAATAATAGCATTTTTATTTCGTCTACATTTACAAATAAACCATAAACTTTAATAAAACTATAAGAAATTAATTTAATTACGAGTATTTAAAACCGAAAATACCGATCAAGGAGAAGCGACAGTAGCTGTCGGGGCCTTTGATATCGGATGGACCTTTTTCACAGCATGACTTTGATTAATACACAACTTAATATGCTAAGAAAACATGCTTATTTTCTACACTGAGCGAAATAGTTTGCCAAATTATCTGAAATCATTGTTATAGTCCATGCGCAAATGTTGTAATGTGATTTAATTAATAATCATGATATTTACTGTTCGTAGTCCTTTGGAAAAGTAAATAAACTTAATCCTTGGCCGGTTTTGGACGAACAAGAACGGTATGCACAAAAATATTCAGTTCCAGACATTGGGGTCTATTCTGTAAAAATTCCTTTATATTTAACGGCCTTTAAAAATATTGTCGGCCTTTAAACATATGTTCGTATTCGTTAATTTACTTCTGTCATTATTTAAACAGATTTCTTTAAGATAGTCCTCTAATGTATTTTAAAGATCCGTTTAAATAATGACAGAAGTAAAGAATAAAATATTTTTAAAGGCCGTTAAATATAAAGGAAATGTTACAGAATAGGCCCCATTCTATTACAACACAAAGAAACACCAAAAAACATCACTTAACAGCTCACAGACTAAACACAACTTGGACTGACTTTGACAGATAACATGATTTTGAGTGATACACAACTTATTTTCGCACATGCGCGTATGAAAACGGTACACCGAAAACACCAAGCTGTCGCTTCTCCTTGATCGGTATTCTCGGTTAAAAGTAAAATATGTGTGGCGATGAAGCAGATACTAGGGCGTTCAAGTTTATTTTATTTTATAAATTGATAAAAGTCATAAATTATTTTTTAAATTAGTTATTTTGGATTTTCGTTAGTGAGCCGTAGAAAAAATTTACTGTACAACTCGAGTGGATTGTACGTATCGCCTACGGCGTCGTGCTCAAACTTCGTCGTCGTGCTCAAACTTCGTCGTCGTGCTCAAACTTCGTCGTCGTGCGATATTGCCGTCATATCCACTCTAGTTGCACAAACTACTATTTCGTTACGAAAGAGGCACAGATAATGTAAAATATCACGAGTTTTGTGACTATAAGAATAAATAACCAGTTCTTGATAATATTACGTCTACGCTTAATAAGAAATTTAGCCTTTAAAAATATAGGTAACATGAAATTTTTTGTTTCAAATTGCTATTGTGCCAAAAGGACTTCACATCACGAGCTATGCATATCTCAAAATAAATTAATACATAATAAAGTTTTATTTACGTTTTCATGAAAAATATTGTCTGCGTGATTTATAAATGTGTCTAGCATGTAGCTCTATTGATTTTTAAAATTTTGTACATATCGATTTGTCTTAAAAAATAAAATAAGTTTTATGCATTAACAACTAGTTTTATAGATGTTAAAAATAAATTTTCGATATTCTGATAAAGTTGTAGTTTTATATTTGAGTTTAATTATCTTTTAATCAATAAGTAAAACATATTTTTCGACGATCACTATCCAAAGTAGGCTTCAGAATTCAAATATAACTGGAACGTTGAAGTTTTCCGCGATTTGTCATTATTTGACACAAATGTTACTTTGTCGCTTGCTTATTTTCTTTTGCAGTAAGTAAAAGTGTCAGTATTAAAGCTAATCGGTATTTCAAAACAAAATCTAGACCAATTATGAATATTTTAATTGAATATTTAACATTCAAAGCCATTTCCCTTAATATTTAAACGTTAATTGAAACATTAAAAATAGATTACCCCGTTTTCAACCTGTAACAGTTAAATACTTTTTATAAAAAAAAACATTTCAGACGAAAGTTTTATATTTTTTTGGGGTAAACATTTTAGCTAAAATCTTTTTTTATAGCCAACTTGTTTTTCGCACAGCAAAATTTTCAAGTAGGTGTTAATAAGTAAAAGTCCAATAAAAAAACTTTATCAACTTTGCCATTTGAGACCTAGCGAGCGACCGCGTTCAAATCCTTACGGGGGCAAATTTTTTTTTTTTTTTATTTTTTTTTTGTTTAGAAAATATGAAAATTGAATAAATACTATTATTATTGATTGTTTTTTTAAATTCATTTTATTTATTATAATATAAACCTCGTTTTACATTTCCGCATCAGCTGTCACATAATGTCAAACGCATCATTTCTATTTTGATTTATGTAATGTCCATATTAATAGTAAAATCGATATGATGAATAAATTATTAAAATTGATGTTTAAACTTAGATCCAAGATATTTATTTTTAACAATTATTAAAATAATTTTAAAATAACTACATACATCTCATTATTTTGGCTTTTTATTCTGTTTAAACTTAAAATCGAATTAAAAATGCATTTTACATAAGACCCATTAGCTCAGGTTGTAGGGTAGTTGCAATTTGAACTTTGGCTTACACGACCAGTCCACGGGACGGCGTTCAAAACTTGGTGGTTGCAGAATTTTTTTTGTTTTTATTTTTGTTTCGAAAAATATGAAAATTGAATAAATACAATTATTGTTGATTATTTTTTTAAATACATTTTAATTATTATAATAATAACCTGGTTTTACATTTTTTGATGAAATTATTTTGTGGTCGTAGGAAAAATATTGTACATCACTTGTGTGAAAAGTGATTTTCCACACTTGTGTGATAGTCACACTCGGCTTGTGCCTCGTGCGACAATATTTCCACACTAATATATACTATTTCACTCTAATCATAAATTAAAAGCTTTCAATTTGCACTTAAGTAGGCAACACTATATACACAACACACGCTTTGCTGGTCAAATTAGCGGTGTCTGTCAAATAAACATTATAGTAAAATTTGAATTTGGTAATAAATTAATACACAAATAATAACTTGTAAATGTGTGGTATTAATTTTAAATCCGAGTTTTATGAGTCGTTAATTTTGAACTTTATTTTTACTCTAAGCAATAAGAAACTGATGGGCAATTTGTGTAATGATATGCACATATTTGTTTAATCTGATGCTGCCCTCCTCAATTAATGCCGTATCTACAAAAAAATCAAAAAACGAGATTTTACATATATGGATTCCTATGTTATTATTCTATAATCTTAAAACCTGAAAATGCGGTATCTGAACAATTAATTGGTAAAAATTTAACTGCAGATACGGCATCACAGGTGTAGGTACCTCATAATGAACCCAGTGCACAATTTTTTTAGTATTACATATTTTGAGTTTTATTCTAATTACTATAGCACATTTTTTAATTAAATAAAAGAGAAAAGTAAGTAGTCAGAGCAATAAACTTCAAACCCCATTTTCTCAGATTTATGTTGTTTGTAGATACGGCCTTTTAATTGAGGAGGGCAGTATGGATACCTACATATTATCCCTTAATCCTTTATCATTTTAAATACATACTAATTCATTCAAGGGTATTAATAATATTACAAAATTTGATCAAGTCTCTTCCAAATATTTTATTTCTTTGAAACGCTAATAAAGGTAGGATTGTTTTGTTTTTATAAAAGACTCTGACAAGCATGCATTATTTCCGCTCTGGCTGTTACAAAGGGTGAGATTGCTTTTAAAACGACCATACGGTTTGTATGAGTAATCACAGTCATCCCTTGGGCCATATTCACGAACACGGAATAATTTTATAGAAACCGAATTAGATAAAAAAAATTAATTTGTCTTTTGCACGTGCTTGTGGAAAATTAATACTGGGTTTGACGGATACCACCAACAATTTTTGATTAAAATATTAGAAGGCTGCAATTTTAGCGCGCTCGGACGATTTTTCATTGTAGGTGTATTTAAAACAAATTTCTTATCGAACGGAGTTGTTGCTAGGATGATGTGGAGAATAATACTTAAATGTTAAAAATAATAAAAAAACATTCCTTTTTTTTCCTCTTTTAATAACAATAAAAACTAAAAAAAAAACATACACAATAATTTTATATAAATAAAAATTTCACCAACAAACAAAAAGATGGGGTTTCTGTTATTTTAAAAATTTTAAACTGTAATCCTCCCCATGTGTTTTTTAATGTTTTTAAATTTTGACTGCACCCGAAGATGGAAACAAAGTTTTCCGAAACATATGTAGTGCTGTGCTAACGATATAAAATAAAATTAAGGACCAAATACACCAAGGAAATTAATTTTGCTACGGTCAGGAAATTATCCTTATTGATATACACAATAAGTATCTCCTAGTGTTTAAATAAAATTATAGATACGTCCATGTACACAAATACAAAGGGCAACTATATTCTGAATACTTAGAATCCTACAACAATACGGAAAGACCCGAACAGAGCTCATTCTCTTTGATATCTAACAAATCCGGGATGAGTGAATGTTCTCTCTAGTGGAAGTCGGGTTTCTTAGTTATAATCTATAATAGTAATCTCTCCTAAATTCACTCCCTTTTATTACTCTTATGACTGACAGATGTTTGTGGTGCTTTAAATATTACAGATTATTAGAGACAAAAAAAACGGAAGATGTTTATATTTTTGTTAAATAACTATACATTTTTTGAATCCTTCATTTATCTCGACATCTTGTTAAAACGGTTTAGGCCATTAGTAAGCAGCGATTTTATAAAAAAATACTTATTTGTAAAGATGTATGTCCCGCTCCTAAATGACCAACAGCACGAGATTTGCCTTTTTAATAATCTATTCAATAGAAAGCCAATTTAGCGTTTGTAGCGTGCCATACCGATGAGGTTTTGAGATTGAGATTTTGCTTTCGTGTTTCTATTGCAATGTCCAGGTCTTACTAGAGTAATATAATTATATTCTTAGTTTTTTCTCAAAAATACCTACATTTAATATTTAATTAATAGCTTTTTTACCATGTTTTGTCTATTTATTAGATATTCGAAAGTTCTTTTATTTTATTTATCTAGCGTGTTCTTCTATAAACTGTTACTTATCTCTTTTGACTATCTATTTATTAGTATCTATATTTTTCTGTAAATTAAAAGTAGTTTCTGTACAACCTCTAAATTTTCTAGATCTCCTATTTGCTTTCTTATTATCTACCTATGGTTAAATTATACTCTGCTGCTATCGATCTTTCTATTATATTTTTTATTATGTGTAGTCTGTCAGTTGCTGCTAAATGCAGCTTGTTCATCTTGTAATTTATTATTTATAAGTCGATTTCCTATTACTCTACAGTAAATATTTTTAAACTGACCGATTATAATGAACAAATTGCTCTGTAGATATTACATAGCGCATGATCTTCCTTTTTAAATTTAAATTATTAGATTCCCCTCTGTTTTTCATGGTTCCTGGAGCATGTCACATGTCCCAATTTATTAGCTATTCACCTGATTATCATCTCTTCCCTCAACTGAAAACATCCAAAGAAAAATGTGGCTTTCCACGTCCTTTCGTATGTATTTCAATATGTCATTGGCAGCTGGTTCTGAACAATACATTTTTAAAATGATCATAAAATTTCGCGGTTTTAAAATCGCAATGCGCTGTAGAGGCGTGTTTTTATTTAACTACCGAAATCTGTCCAACTGAAAAATAGTCATACTGCTCACATAGCCATACATAAACTAGAAAACAGTCAAAAACACGTTGGATATTTCAAAGGTATTAAAAATCGTTGAAATTTGCTTATAAAAAACATATTTCAAATGATATTCCTTTTAAAGTTTCTATCCTAACCGTTTTTTTTTTCATAAACAATCTAGTATCGTTTAGTTAAAAATTTTTCTATCAAGATTTTAATGGTATAATATGTTTCTTAATGATAAATTAAGCCATGGACCAGATGTAATTCATTCATTCTTTCTGAAAAAATCTGATGTGTCCAACACATGGATTTCCTGCCTAGTTATTACAGGCTTTTTCCGGTTATTTTGTACAATCTACTGTATCACCCCTGTAAACGTTTTTTTATTCGGTAGGATCCAGTTAATAATTCCTTCCTTCCGGTGTCCCACAGAGCTCTCACTTAGGGCCCTTGTTGTTTTTACTATTCATCAATGACTTGATTTTGCACACTTTTTTACAATGTTCTATTGTTCTATTAATCAAAATAAGTTTTTGAAGCTTTGTGGATACAAATTGGGATTAAGACATGGCGAATATGATACTGAGGATTTAGAGTCATTGAATCGGAGTCGCTGGAATTTCGTAGGTCGACACTTATTTAAATTTATTTCTATACAATGGGGTTTTCTCGTAATACATTTTAAATAGGTTTGTTCCAACACGCGCGAAAATCGTAATATTACCGTACAAATCGTGCGCTCTACCCAAAAATTGTATACAGCGCATGTGTCACTAGCTTCTGTGAAAGGTTCAGGAAATGTCTTTAACATTATTGGTTACAAGCAGATTGTGATATTAATGGAGAAATTCATCAGGTGTAGTAATTTTTTTTTCTTGGCATTACTTACATTATTTGGCACTTTTTTTCTAAGTATTTTCAGAGCTTTTTTTACCCTTTTAGGCATTCCTCTGCCGGTATGGCTTGGGTTTTTCAAGCAATGCGAAAAGCTGGTGTTTCGATGATTTAAGAAGTGCTTCTGGTCGTTTTAACGTGCAAACAATATGGAGACGAGCGTTAGCATCCCCACTCGTTACGGCTTGACCAATCACTCTTTACAGCTTAACCAATCAATCATTTACCTTGGCTATTCGGGCATCATTTGTTATCATCCATTGATTTTTGAAGGTTAGCTGTATCGTGAAAAGAAAGGGTGACATAATCACCTTGTCGAAAGAGGCCAAAGACGGCTCTAGGCAAAACAAATGGCTTGGGCAAAATGTTGGAAGTATTTCAACAAATACTTTCATAAAAATAAGTGTTCTGGCCTTTATCTTGTTTTGACAGAAACACTATTACTAAACACATTATCTCCAATTATTTGTTTTCACTTTTGAGGTTCGGGGATAGTGTTAATAATTTGTAGAGGGATTTTTAAGATTTGTTTCAGAATTTTCAAATTATTCAATAACGTATTTCTCCTCTGAACTCAATCCGTGGATAAACTGTGTTTAGTGTTTTTTAAATGACCTATGTTTTGTCAGTGCTTTTTAAATTGCTTGTAAACAGTATGTTTATTTGATATTTTTTTTGCATTTTCTATCTGAACTACAATTTGTATCTGTGCATGAAAACAAAATCAAAAATCTGCATTGATACTCTTTATTCAATTCCATAAGTGACTAAAGGTAATAAATTGTATTGAAGATATATTTTTAAGTTCCTTTGTTCTCTTTAGATTTAAGAGTATTTGTACAGTGTGATAATTAAGTGTTGTCCCCTTACTAATAATAAGTAAAAACAAAAAGGATTGAATATAAAACATGACTTCTTGTACAATAGAATAAAAAAAGTAAAGTACTCATTCTGAAATTTACAGAGTGCGTCAACATTTTAAACAAACGCTCGGACCTTTTCAATGATGGGTCATACTTTGTACTTTCCCTAATTAAATTGTATTGGTTATAGTGTCGAAAGGAGGGGAATTGCCTATGAGCGTTTGTTGTAATGTTAATAATGGCTCTGGTACGTTTTCGTCGAGCTACTCTGTATACTTTTTCTTTTCGTGAAACCAAAAAAATATATATAATTAATATATTTAGGGGATAATAGCTAATAATTCCACTGAACGTAACAATTAATTAATTACAAAATCGAAATCTTTATTCAATATGTATAATTGTTTTATTTAGAATCATCGAAATCGCCGGTGGACGAGAAATATATTCACAGAGTCGAAGCAAAGCATTGAGAAAATCACGAAACTCCCTATTGGGCGAGGATGGGGAGAAAAAGAACCAGAAATCGCCAATGAGGCAGGGCGTGTGGGAGTTGCGTGCCAGGGGCGAAACGAAGAAATCTCAAAACTCCCGCGACTACACAGAGACAGTATTCTCATCCGAAGTCTGCTCTGTGGCTCACGAAAAAAATGCAGAAGTTGCTATAGAAAAGTCTAGTCCAGTCAATATGACATTTCCCGGTGAAGTAGTGGTTTTCGACGATATAGGCGAAACCTGGCACACTGAAGAAAATAAAAGAATTCAGAAAGAAAATTCCTCGCACACTGCCCCAAAAATATTCAATACAAGTGATACAGATAGCGATAAAGTTACCAAAGTTATAGGCAACCTGCCTATAGCCGTTTATGAAGGTTCTCCTAGGCGATATGGACAAAGACACATGGATTCGAATTGTTCGCACCCGCAGCTTCCTAGTGCACAAAGTTTACTGGCTTCTCCCAGTGTTTACCCACCTCGACCTGGATTTCCTCAAAGAGTTGTCAATACACCTAGTCCTGTAGAAAATGATCCTAACTTGAATATAGAAAATAATTCAAATGTAAGTATTATTTTATTAATTTATAATTTTACTTTTTGTCGTTTAATATTATAAATTTGCTATACTAAACGCCTCATTTTTAATATATCAGAGCCTAGTATAAGCTATAATTTAATCATTTTTAAAACTATCAAGTACTATGCCTTAGTACTTTATTTCTAATTGATTTAAATCAAATGAAACATTTTTTTAACAACAATAATTGGCATACAAAAGCAATTTTGGTGAATAAATTAGACTTTTTACTTATTTCTTCTACTGGTTATATCAAAAATAACGCCAAGATCTTTAATTTGTTTTACACTATCTAAAAGTTGACCATTGATTGAATAATCAAATATAGTGGGCTTTTGAGGACTATGGAATCTAATAAGGTGAGATTTCCCCACATTTAAATCCATGCCTTTGTATTTACACCAATCTGATAAATGATTAATATCAGACTGTAGATTAATTTCCAAAATTGTTGACAACCTGGAAAAGTTAAAAGACATCTGCACAAAGTAAGCAATTACTATGCTAAAAACAGTAAGTTACATCGTTGATGATAGGAATCTTGGTGAATTCTAGAAGTAACAGAGTAATCGTGATAATAGTGACGTTTTACTTTGACTATTTGTGATCTATTAAGAATATAGCTTTTAATCAATTGCAACAATAAGCCACCTACACCAAATCTACTTAGTTTATGAATAAACTCATGATTCACTCTATCGAAAGCCTTGGATAAGTCGGTTGGTATATACAGTATGGAGGGTTTCAGAATGAAAGCATAAGCAACCAAATTCAGTTCAGTTGACATGCAGGCGTGAAAGCCAAATTGTTGCAGAGTTATGAACTAGAGAAGTCATAAGTTAAGTAGTCCGTTATGATGCTTTCAAAGAGCATTGGAATTATAATAATTATAGAAATGGGGCTGTAGTTTTTCATGTCAAATTTTTTACCAGACTTGTATATTGGTGTAGAAACAAAATGAATGCGTGCTTCTTTTTCAGAAAAAATCTTTATCTCCAAACGCTACGACATCAACATTCGACTACTTGTACGAGTTTTCGGAAACTAGAAAAGTATTAGAAGAATTTTTTAAGTGTCCTCCGACAGATGAAGAAAATAGGCTGGAGGTGGAATTTCAAGATCTAGAATATGAACTGAGGCGACAAGCGGGTGATTCTGGGAACTCATATGTCGGACAAAGACTGGCTAAAACTCTGCCAGGAGAGAATGAGTTTTGTTTGAGGATAGATTCTCCTAGGAAATGTTTGAATAATACTAATATCTCAAATATGCAGGTAAGTCAAGATAAATTTAGTTCAAACATTTTCCAATATGGGAGGTTCATTTTGTGAATTATAAAAATTTATTTTTGTTCCAGGACCATGATATTACAGAGCATGAGAACAATTTTTTAGACCTATCAATCGGTACCGGATCAAGTGGGGATTTGGGTGAAACCGAAGTGGGTCTGCAAGTAGGACATAGTAGAAATTTTACCCTTTCTCCTGAAACAACAGACTGTGACTCTAATTGCGGAGATTTAGATAGTGAAGCGTCTTTAATGCTTATGGAAAATGAAATGGGACCTGCAGGTGGCCTCTTAGGTAAATATTTTTAAATAATATTATGGATATCCTCTATTTTAATCCCCATATATAGGGTGGGCGAATGAACTCAGCAGTGAGTGTAGCGCCGTTTGATTTTTTCGCCATGGCTTTCGACTATAGCCTGAGAGGTGTTAACCCTGCCTATAAGACTTGCCCCTCCCTGGAATTTTTTTGAGGCGCCCCTGGATAAATATAATATTTAAAAATGTTGCCAACATTTATGCCACTTGAATGTAGAGCATTTTGTACAAATTTATACTTATAGGGATTTTTCGAACCAAATAAAATGGTTTTTGTTTCATTTCGATATATTAATTAGATTCGGCACTACACTCCGCACTCTTTATATAATGCAAATCTGGCCCCTTCTTCTGACAATTTTAAATTAAAACATTCTTTTGAACTAAAAATATTCTAAAGCTTGTTTTTTTTAGGATCAAATACAGATTTAGTTATCCCTAGTGATTCATTACGCTTATACTCTAGTATGCCAGTGTTAGAAGATGGGTTGTCATCGGGACATGCCAGTGATACTGATAATAATAATCCAACAGTAATGCTCATGAAGCGACAAATAACAGAAATTGAACGAGAAATCAATCAAGGCATTTGCAAATCGACATCAACAAAAATTAACGAGAATGGTTTGTCGCCCAAAAATGAAATACGTAATTCATCTCCAATTGATATAAATGGTTGTGTTAGTAGTTTTGAAGAACCCATGACAATTTCTCAAACAGATTCTCTTGGTAAGATAATATATTTTGATCTATTTAATTTTAACAAAAAAAACTTTGCAGAAAAAACTCCACCGCCCCCAGCTCCAGCTCCACACCGGTTGATGCCGGGAGAAAAGGCGAACGATGTAGAAGCAGCTCTAAAAGACATTAGGTTAACATTACAGCGAACGAAAACGTTGCCACTCCAACGCCATCCTGAGGAAGACTGCGAAGAAACAGCGGCCAGTCCCATTTGGGTACCGAGGTATTATTGAAAATGAGGAAATTTGTTTTATTTTATATTGATAACAGTCATTTCAGGCAACGGGGACTGTCTACCACCAGCGGGGATTCCGAGAGGAAAGTCAATAGCGGCGGTGAAGAAGGTACAGTCCTTATATATTTGTCTTTAATTCTTAATAAACTTTAGCTGATTTTAGAATATAATTTGCCTAGTTTCATATACATATGGAAAATGTAATATATTTCATTATAACATTTAATTTGCATTTAAAAAGTATTGAATACCTAATCAATTTATCTTAAATTAAGAAGCTATTTAAAGAAATAGGCAAATAAGTTTTTTGTGCTAAATATATTAACTTATAGCCAAAAAAATGATACTGGAGCCAATTTAAAAAAAAAATAAATGTATTATTTGCAGAAGAAAATGACACAGATTTGGAAACTGATCGACTGCTAGGACAACAAAGAACTGATGACCAGGGTTTTTACGATGATAAGGTTAGACCGTTTTTTTATATTACATCGTTGTTAATTTTTTTTTGTAACCCAATGTTAACAGCATCTTTTTAAAAGTCAATATTAAATATAAATACTGAAAAGATTGTCCTAAATATTCGTTTTTATTTATTTGTAAAGGAATAGAAGTTATAAAAAAAAACAATTAAGTGCGGTCATTAATATGACATTATACAAAAGTCAAAAGTTAGAAAAAATCAATTACAAAAAATAAATCACATGATAATTAAAAGTTGTCTTGCTTATTGTAATTTTGTAATCATAATTGGAGTTGGCTGTTAAATTGAAATGTTTTGGGTTGGTACTTTAACCACGGAATTAACTACAACAAAAAAAAAAAGAAAAATAATTCATATAATATCAAAATAATTTACATAAAACTACAGAAATTGTTAAAAATGTCCATTTACGTCTAAACACAAACCAACTCTTCTTCACAATCCAGCAAAAACGTTATGCAACATTTGCAGTGAATTGTTGATCTCTTCACACTTGATTGCGTTTTCTCAGTTCTTCCAGATTATTAATAAAATAATTGACATTGAAAAAATCGAATTAAATCGCTATAGTTTCAAAATAATAGACAGTCGGAAAATTTCAAGAATGTGTAGTGGAATGCTGACATCTGTCATCGCTCCAAAATTTGTAGGGAGTTTCGGAGCTTACTGGGTAGGCGGGCAATTTCATGTTTTACAGATATACAACATATACAAAAATTATTTTCAAATTTTTTAAAGTGAGTTCTGTTATTCTTGGAACATTTCCAAACCACCTCTGAGGTATTACTCAGGCAGGTTACCATTTTTTTTAAAAGTTCGTTCGCTAGTAACCATATTATATCTCAATATCAAATAAACTCCCAGTGATCCGTAAATAATGACCCAGGTTTGGCAGGTCTTTATATTTTTATGTTTTTACATTCATATAAGGTACCTAAAAACTCAGATCAAAAAGTTTCATGGTACATCTAAAAAACTAAATATTTTCTGGCATCTTCTAGTAACTATTTGTGATATATTTGCATATTTTTATCATTATTTTTTTTATGATTTCTCATATGTTATTTTTAAATAGTCAAACAATTTTCTTCTTCTATATTACACTTAATGTATTTAAAAGAGTTCGGATAGCAAAAGCTGAAGCTCCTTTATGCAACCTTGTATAATTCTCTTGCTACATGTAATTATGTAAATATGTTGTCAAATTTGACAAACGTTTAATTTCAATTTCAAGCTAGGGGGTGGGTGGCTCAGTGGTAGAGTCTCTGCCTGTGGACCCACGGGTCCCAGGTTTGAATCCCACCGTTGGCCGGGATTTTTTCATTTAATTTAATTATTTAAAATTAATTCTGATGCCTTTGTAGGATTCCCCACCCGACCATTCACTGTTGGGTTCTAATTAACAGTGCTGCTCCTAAAGTGGCGCTGGAAAACAGTACAAAACCCTACACAGAACACAAGGCGAAATAACCTTAGCAGTTAAAGCCGATGACACAAAAAAAATGTAATTCTGTAGAAGAAGCTAAAGTAACAATCCAAAACATTTAAATTTCACAGCCAATTCCAATTTTCTCGATTGGCTCATTAGAAGAATTTTTTTAGGTAAAATAAGGACTAAATTAAAGAACGATCTTTTCAATATTAAGTAGAACTATAATAAAAATATTCTCTAACAAGTATAAATAAATTAATTGAAAATAACAAAAATAAACAAGCATGTCCCCTAACCTTTGATTTATATTGTTAGGGTTGGAGAAAACCTAAAACTCGGACTATAATGCCTCCGCTAAGCCTAGCAAATCCTAAACAAATTTTAAATACCATGGATGAAGGTACCCTTCCCCTAGTCCCTTCTGAAACTCAAATTTCTGATCCTTCTTCCCCGACAGCAGTATCCGAAAAAAGTCAATCGCCCCAAAGCCAAAAAGGATCAGTATCTTCGAATAAAGTCAAAAAGGTGTGAGACTGCGCATGAAATAGATTTAACATTTAGCATAGCTGAGGCTTTTAACTTTTTCACTCTTAACACTTCTCCATTTTGACATATTCTTTTTATTGACCCGAAAAATCTTTTGTAGACTAAAATGTAGTTACTAAAAAGTATGCATGCCGAATATTTTACCCCATAAACTAGTTTGGGTATATATTTTAAGAACAATTTAAGTTATTTTTTTTTGAGAATTTTCGTACAGCTCTTATTTTCGTATATTTAAAATAAATAAAAAAATAAATAAGGACTTTATTTATCGACATAACGGTTGATTACCCCTTTCCAAAATATACTTTTTATTAATTCATTTAAAGATCTGAATTTATAGATCAATATTAACGTGCTAACTGTTACACACACAGAAAGACGGGAAAATTTCATAAATTTGTCCGAATGAAACGTTAAAGGTTAGGGAATTTGACAATCTACATTCGGTACCAAGAACCTTGAGTATTCAGGTGCCTGGAAAAGCTTATGAAGACACGAATCTCAATGCCTAGTTATTCAAAGTATCTGTAACGTGTGTAGGGTGGGTTACCCCACGGCACTTAGGCATCATTAGGCCCATTGTGCATCCACCTGAGAAGATAGACATCTAGTTCGTGAGCCAGCCTACAGATTTAATGTAGTTGACAACGTCGCCAAGAGGTGCTTCTCTTATATCGGCCGGTGTTAGCCGATACTCTGAATAAAATTGTTATTGAAGTATCTATATAATAGGTATAGATCACCAACTACACGTGAGGTGGTGAGCTTTTCTCTGAATAGTACAAGAATAGATAGTGTTGTTGGTACAGCAGTTTACAAAAATATGTAAATTCTATGCTTAGGCCAGGAAAGCGATAGTTGAGGCAGCCGTTCTGTCGTTACTGTGGGTGTGTGTGTCGTTATGGTAACAATCTATACTAAATTCAGAATCAGATTTTGAAGAACAAATAATTGTAAGCTTATTTCATAAAAAGCTTACCAAGTACTTGTCTTCATATGTTTAAATGGTTCTTTTACTGTTTGAGATACTTGGCTCCAAATGTTGAAATGTTTTCTTTACTATTTGAGGTATTTATTTCCATATTTTTAAATGGTTCATTTACTATTTGAAGTACTTTGTGGTACTATTTAAATAAAAAGAGCAATCCCTTTCGTAACTTCGTCTTAATTTGATTTTCATATAGTCAGCGTGCGAGATGTCATATAAAAGTGTTGTTTCTTGAACTACCTTGATTAGTTTCTGATCCATGATAGACATCGACAACAGAACTAATCACTCTGTGGTCACTAGAGAAAATTGTAACCCGTGCATAAAACTTCGCAGCTGACGGAGTCACTGAAACAGAATCACTTCACTCTGCGTGTGAACATTCGCTGTTGTATTCATTTCTGTGTTTCACAAAAACTTACGGTGAGCCGCCTCATCTTACCAAACTGCGTCTCAACTTGCGCTCGGCCTTTAAAGTGCAAAATTTCTTACCGGTTTTATTAAAAAATAATCTTAACATTCCTTATAAGCTGATTGTCAACTTATAAATATCTTAAGTCGAAATATATACTATACTTTGTTATAATTGCATGTTGTAAGTAATGTTTCTAAATTAGGTTCTATTCAATTTGTTCGTTTATAATTTTAACTGAAACGCGTATGGCGCTGCATGATTTTATCAGTTCTTCTAGATAACAAGTTCGGATCCCTGGGTCATCACCTCCTATTGATGGTCGCTACTATTTAAAATGTATGTGCTTGTACTTGGAGCTGTTCTAGTTCGTCTTTACCAGCTGTATTATTAAACGATAATATAAATATCTGATAGTTTGAAATCTACAAGATACAAAACACGAAACCAATCTCCAATTGAATCAAAATAGAGCTACACTAAAATTCTCCATCTACAATCAAAAAAATTATTATTGTAAATACGGTTTCATGCTTTGGTGTTGGGATATGGTGTAACACTTTCCACTACATTATTATTTATTGTTAATAGACTATCATTTTATTTCATACCCAATCTAGTCAGTTAACAAAATTAAAAACTAACATTAATAGAAGGCAACTTTAAAATAGAAAGCTTAGAAATTTGTACATAGGCGTACTGTACTGTATAACATACATTTCAAACAAAAATTTTCTTAGTTTCAATGTTTATTTTCAGGAAAAAGATAACAAAAAGAAAGGCAGAAACAAAGAAGGTAAGTTTATTTTTAGTTTATAGTTATATGGTATAAAAATAAAAACTTTATTTAATTTGCGAAACGTTTTGGAATGTTATGGTAAGTTATTCGGAATGTGAAACAAGAGTGTTTTAAGCTGTTTATTATTCATGTTCACACAGTTTGAATGACCATTCCAAATCTATACATTCCTGTAAAATCAGTATTAATTAAACACTTTAAGACTAGATTGATGATTTTATTTTTTACACTGAAAATAGTTTGTTAATTAACTGCCATATTACTTTTAATGTTGCAGAATTATTTGTTGATTTTTTCACTATTCTGCTAACTTTATTACTAAATATGTATCGACAATATACAGTCTTACTCAAAAGTCACCTCCCCTCTTATATTTTGAACGGTTATGCTTAGACTATTAAAATTTGGATGGTAAAAATAAAGGGTTATAAGCTTCTTTCAGATAATTCTGCCTTTTCGGATTTCGATTTACGATATATGATATATTAAATTCACAATTTTCATACTCAGGTTTACGTCGCTTAAGGTACATTGAAAACTTCACTCACGCAGACCAACATATGGGCTTAGTATGCATCAATGGATTTCTCATATATACCGATGCTGCATAGAGGTATTTGAAGATTTGAGAACGAGCCTGATACAGCGTCTGGTCCGAAGTATGAAATAAATTGCTGTCTAGGCATCTCGACAATCAATGTCGTCATGACCTAGTGGTAAGGGCATTTGTTCCCTAACAAAGATGTCTGGGTTCGAATCCCGCGGCGACATGTTTTTTTAAATCTCCAAGTATTTGTTTTCAACTTTGGGGTTCGGGGATGGTCTTGATAATTCGTTGGGGGATTTTTGAGATTTGTTTCCGAATTTTCAATATTATTCTAAAACTTATTTCAGATAATTCTGACCTTTCTGATTTCGATTTGCGATCTACGATAAGTATATAAAATTCACAATTTTCAAAAGCCAGTTTTTTCAGTACTGTTTTAGAGATTTATTTTTAAATTGTTCAGGTAGAGAGTTATATATACTGACTATGTTGAATGAGAAAGAGGTCTCTTCTAGAGAGTTGTAAGATATGTAGGAGTATTATTTCTCAGCACTTAGTGTACAAAAGTAGCCATGTGCAGTTTTTGTTGATTAAACATATTATGCCACCCTAATTCGTTCAGTTTGTTTGATGAAAAAATAAGCCTTACACACGAGTTTTGAATTGTCTGTAGTTTATCCATCAAAAAAACACATTTCCAAACAAAATTAGTATACCTTTCAAACGAGGTGTCACTTGCCGTAAAGGCTCATTTAAAGTTATTGGTCGGTGGTTCTGTGACGTCATATATGACTATTACGTCACCTGTGACCACTAGTAGAGAAGCTTTACAACCGTTCATTTTCGTCTTCCAAATTTCATTAGTCTAAGTATAACTGTTCAAAATATACGAGGGGGGCAGAGGATTTTAGAATAGCTCTGTAAAAAAATCAGTCTAGTGTGAGTGATAAAAAATGTACCAAACTAATGTTTATTTTTTAGATTATTTCGTGCTACTATTATAGATTACCCACTGATGTTTTTATTAAATCTAACAATTTAATTGTAATTGTTTCTTATTCTCTTTTAATTCAATAATAGTTCAATGTTTGTATACATAAATAAAAAACTAGCCCATTATTTTTTCTATTTAAAAATTGTGAAAAACATGTTTTTAACAACCGCAGATTTATATGTTTTTAAAAACAATGTTTCAATATATTTTTAGGATTTTTGTATCATCAACAACTACAAACCTTTGGAGATCGAACGTATTTGTATCGAAAAAATATTCTAGCTGTAATTTAATCATTTCATATAAACATAAAAGCTTTTTATAATTAACTAAATATTTTATAAGCAAAATGGCTAAATGACCCTCTCTCTGTGGTGTTTTTTTATTGTCTTTTTCCTAATAAACTTTACTTTGAATTGATCTTATTGGACTCTCTGCCAACAGTCTTAATACGGACACCTGAGGACTTGGAAGACATTAAATATGTTTGGGATATCTGATAATTCCTATACCTCTGCCAGAGGTAAGAACTGTACAATAGGTGCAATAAGCCTACAGATTAAGTACTAGTAATCTTTACCTTACACGAACAGAAGAAAATGTCCACGCAGGACTCTTATGTTGCCTATCACCATGGTTACTGAAACACTGAAGCTCTTGGAGCTTAATCTGCAACCATTTGGAAGTCTTATTGCATGCTCAGTCATTACTCATGACTACTATCTAACAATGATCTGTGCCAACACCGATTTTGGCATAGCTATGAGTGACTGGTCTTAAAATAGTTATATACAAATCCGAAGACAAACAGCAATTTTTTTAAATATAATTATTTATGGAAAACACAAAAATAGGTCTGTATTGATTTGGAAACGACTCACCATAGTTCCATACTTTGAATGCATTGTTATCTGTATTTTTATTGGTGTATTTTTTTTTTTATTAAAACGAAAAGAAAAAGTTATTAGATCGCGTTGTTTTTTGCAGATGTTATTCAACGATCAGTACTCATAGAAGGAGTGTTATTTCGAGCAAGGTATTTGGGATCTACGCAGCTAGTTTGTGAAGGACAACCCACGAAAACTACAAGGATGATGCAGGCAGAAGAGGCGGTTTCAAGAATAAAGGTAAAGCATGGATCCTTTGTGTATAAAAGTGCACTTTTACTCCTTGCATACCACAAAATATTCCCAATTTATATCATTAATTGGTACATTTGAATTCAACAGCGGCAAAAAATCTTTTTCTAACAAAGAAAAATCAGAAATAGGTTGGGAAATTATTTTTTACCACATTATTGGATTTATTTTAAAATTTTACTTGTAGAATTTGATAAAAAAAAATTTAAATCTTGCTCAATGCAGGGTATTTCTATTTTCGATCTAAAATATACAGGGTGTTGGGTTAGTGCGTAATTGCTCAATATTTTAATTTGTGTTATAGACACGCGGACAAGTTATATGGATTTAAAAAAGGCATACTTTAAAAATATTTTTGGATATACAGGATGTTACGTATTGCCTGGCAAAAAAAATGTATTTTTTAAATGGAACTTGGAAGATTTTATTTCAGTTTAAAAATGGTCTGTATTCAACCCTGAAATATTTTTAAAATATATTACAGGATTGACAAGCAATTATGTTCAAATAAAATAATCATAATTTAGTTAGGTTAGCAATGATTTCAAAATAGTTTAAAATACAGACTTATAAGTGACAAAGCTAATGAATATTGATGATAGAACTGGTTTATTTTATACAGAGTGTTTGGAAACATGTCATAAATATAGATAATTTTAAGTTGAATTTACTCAATTTTTTTAAATGCAATACCCGTATTTTACCTATCCAAAGATATCAATATATTATCCTGTTGTATGTATACAGTGTATCCCATCAACAAAAGTTGACGACCATATTTTAAAATTATTCTTAAATATACATGGTAGTCCATAAATGAGGGGCGAACCAAACTTATACTTTTTAAAACCAAACACCCTATCTTGCATATTTGGTTATTTTCTCATCGTTATACGATTTTAATAGATTTATAGTTTCTAAAAATATTTTGAATTTTCATTCAGTTGCTATGCTATATAGGGTGTGTCTAAAAACGAGAATACGATATTCTAAATTTTTTTCAAATGCAATACCTCGTATGTTATACCACCTATTCATAAATTAATTTCTTTATTTTTTATTTTGTTTGGCATTCCCCATACCCAAACGCATGTTTTCTCAAGTTTTTAATGATGTATCTTGAAATTTTTTTCCTGTATATCCAAAAATATTTTTAAAATATAAACTTTTATTTGAAACTCGAGCAATTGGACAATTAGACACCCTGTATAATAATTCACATAAATTCCCTAATTACTTCATTGTCTTTCTTCTTTGTTGTCCATACAAGTGATATAAATGTTCTTTGTTCCATACCCTATTAATTGACGAAAAATTATGCTTAGAAGTGAAGTGAAGATAACTATTTATTTTGGATTTAAACTTCATGTTAGTCTTTAATTGATACTCTTAAGTTGTTTGTATGGAATTGTCCCTTAATCATCTCTGTAATTAGCAATACTTAAACAAAGTCATATGTCATGAATATAGAAACACCCTGCATAAAAAACTATTTGTTATTTAAAATTAAAAAATTGGATTATCCTACAATGTGCACTTGGTTCTTAATATTTTGTGATAAAAAGTAAGTTGGGTTAAATCACCAAATAAACAATAATCTATAAAAAAATTATTATTTTAATATATTTGTCACCAACAAAGTTGATTTTAAAAGAATGTCTTATACACGGAGTTGTATCTAACAATAAGCGCGGAAGCAAGTACAGTTTTTTGCTTTATTGATTTTTAAAAACTCTTTAAAATAACTACATATAAAGTGTAGAAACAGCTCTGGTTACATTAAAGTATAACATTACTAATTTTTAAAGCTAATTTAACATCTCTGATACACCCAAGAAATGTATAGAGATAGCGTATTTCAGTTTTCTTCAAAAATTTCTACTAATATTTTTAAATTAAAAATAAGTAAGAAAAATTACATATAAGTATTATTTTTTAAATCGTGTGTAAAATATTTTAAAAAATAAACCCTATAATTAATAAATTTTTATTAGGAAGTTAAAATATCAAGCAAAATCATTTATTGTCTTTCTCTACAAAATCTTCAATTCATTCAAATTAAATACATTATATACATGTCACATTTTTACATATTATTAATAATTTGTTTCTATGGAAATTTGAAAATAAATGAATTAAATACGTTTTGATTTCAAAGCAATCAATATTGCTGTAAAAGTTATAAGAATGCTGAAAACTGGAGGTCGCAGAAAACATTCTAAATCATCTTAAAATAATTTTAAATATTAATATAGTATTAATTAAACTAAACATAAAATAATCCTTAACATTGTGTAACAAATAAAATGTCTATAATTATGTACATACAAAAGCATGATCTTAGTGTGAGCCATGATTATATAGCATTTATGTGTAACCTAAACATACAGTGTGCTCCCCATCTCAAAATTTATTGTGGACAAGGCATGGAGGCATGTCTTAGCACGGCGCAAGTGTACTCCCTTTTTTTGGAATAACTTGGGTGTTTTTTTTCGAATATTACAGTGTCGTACCCCCCTTCCTCACTCTGGATTACTGTACCTAAATGGTGCACGCTTAAAATTCACCAAGTGCAGAAAGGGTTGATTCACTTCTCAATTTTAATACCTCAAAAAATATCATTCTCGCCTTATTTATTACTATTATTGTAACTTGACCCATTTCAATCTATTGTTATGAATTTTCTATTCCAATTAGAATATTTTTGCTACTTCTTAAAATAACCTTGGCCCCTAGTTATATGGGATAAAGTTTTCTTAATTATAATTTAATTTTTGCCTGGCTACTAGAAGAACATCCACGGCACTAACTCGGTGGCAGTACCAACTACTTTAAACCAGTAGGCTAGTTGACGATCTCCAATGTTCCAATTACTGGAAATGAGACATGTGCGTTGACAGTTACAGGCTTTATAAAAAAGGGTTGCTCGAGCCCTTTTTGTCCCATAATGTGGCTAGTTGCTGAAGAACTGAAGAAGAAATCACAACAGTGAAGAGAATGCCTCCCCCTGTTGGTATCGCTTTAAGTGGCTTGATTCAGAGAGGTGGTGATAACGCTCCTGCTATATCCAGAAATAAATCTTTTAACCCTGCAAAACAGTGCTTGAGTAACAATTATTTTGTTGTCAAATTTTAAATGAAAAAACTCGATAGTGTTTATTATAAGAATAAGCAAAATATTTTTTGGACCCTTTCTGCATTTGGACGTCCTTTTTTTGTTCTTTGGTTGGTTGCCTGTTACATGTTTTACCTGGACATCATTATGTCGCACTCCTTCTCTGACCATTGCTTTGGATGTTTCTCTGATCTGTATATAGATAATGCACCCATGGCCGTTACAGTACGTGAAGTATGGCCCTCTTTTATGTACTATATGTTGACACAAAACTAGAGTAGATACATCGGGTACGTAAATGATTAACGAACGGTAGTGTGACAGAGGTAAACCTTGCAGGGGGTATCCAACCAAATGATTCAATATGGACAATCCTATGAACCGAGCAGCCCTGTCAATTGTAGTATTGAGGAAGAGCTGCAACAACTGGGGCCCCAAGTTGGTGCGATTATTCAAAATTCCGATCAGCCTGAGATCACTGGTGAGATTTTCACTCTGTATTTATAGAAAAATATCTAATTTGTCTTTAAAAGGTTATACCAATAATCAAAGGTTATTTTCAAACTAATTAATTATGATGATATGGAAGTGTTTGTTTCCATTAAATCAATAAAAAAATTGTGGGTGATGTTGCTGTTCTTTTTGTTTGAGAGTACTCAGGATTGAGTTCCCAAGGTCCTCATTAATAATTTTGCTAACGAGCTTATTGGGAGATATTATATTTGGATACAGTTAGGAGTAGCTGAGAGTAAGTCGTTAATATCTAATAAAAATAATATTAGGACCAAAACCGATCCTAGAGGAATAGCAAAAGCCGCGATATGCGCCAACTTGAGAACGAACAAAATGTTTAATTTGGTCACTTCTCAAAATTTACAACTTTGAGTATAATGTATTAAGATCCAAGTGATCACCACAAAAAAACGGAACGAACTCAGCCCCGCTCTTCTATTTACTGCGCATATGACCTACTGCACTTAAAAATAAAACGGGATCAGAGGGGTGTTACCAAATTTTTTCCAACTAAACTATTGGTCATTATTTTGATTTCTAATTTCGGAATTTTTAAAGACATTTTTATCAAAATTATCAGAGTTTTTGCCTTCTAACTCTTAAAGAAGCAATAATTTTATGGAAAATAACCTTTAACATCATGTAAATTAAATAAATAAGTATGTGTTAAATCTTTTTTTATAAATACAATGATGAAAATTCATTGAACAGAAAATTTGCCAGAATTCAACGACAATCCGCTGGGAACAACAGGCTCTGTATTTCGTCTACATTTCCTTGGTTCTGTTGAAGTAGATGAGGAGGGGGGTAGAAAACGAAGAAAACGACTCAAGAAAAGTATGGTAGAAGTCGCTGTTACCAAGATTAAGGTCTGTTTTATGTTTTGATGTAGGTAGCCCTGTCGTCTTGCCCTTAAAACAGTATTATAGAAAAGTGCAAAATAAGATTGTCTTATTAAAACTTAAGTCGTCTTAAAAAATAAGTCACAATCTAAAGTTTTTTTGTTATATAACCAACCATACTAAAAAATGTTCTGCCTTTGCGACGTTTAGTAATACCGTTGCAATTCTACAAGGCTGTATAATGAGCCTCACCTCCTTTTACTTACAAAGAGGAGCATAAAATGTTTTAGTATTTAGTCAAAAGTTAGGATAATAGAGAATGTCCCTAGTCAGAAAAATCCATCTCATGTGCACATAGTATTTAGTGAATAAATTATTTCTGAATATTGTCCCCACTTTTATAAACCTATTTCGTAAAGTACAAGTAGCTATTTCATGTATGTAATATATTAATTTTAATCAAAAAAATTAACAGAAACAAAATTTAATTTGCTGAACGTTTACATACATGAAAAAATCTAACTCTAATTTGCTTTAACACTTACTAACCTATACTAACACATTATTTTTTTGCATTGCTGCTTCTGTGGAAACATAGGCTTTGGTAAGCATTACGAATATTCATAAAACTATATAGAACTAATTTAAAATTGTTCAATTCAGGCACCCGATGGTGAAAGTCAACCTAGTACGGAAGTTGATCTATTCATTTCCACAGAGAAAATAATGGTACTCAATACAGATTTAAAAGAAATAATGATGGACCACGCATTGAGAACTATATCTTACATAGCTGATATAGGAGATTTGGTGGTACTGATGGCCAGAAGGCGATTTGTACCCCACGAAATGGAGGATGCACCTAAAATCAATCGTACCCCAAAGATGATCTGTCATGTCTTTGAAAGTGAAGAAGCCCAGTTCATTGCCCAGTCTATCGGACAAGCTTTTCAAGTAGCATATATGGAATTTCTAAAAGCCAATGGAATTGAAGATCATTCATTCGTGAAAGAAATGGACTATCAAGAAGTGTTAAATTCACAAGAAATTTTCGGAGACGAGCTTCAGATGTTTGCGAAAAAAGAAATGCAAAAAGAGGTAATTATTGTTTTTTTTTTATGTAGTACTTACAGAAAATACAGAAATACAGAAAAACAACTGTAATAAGATTATTAAAAACGTAAAACTTTTAGCACTAAACTATTTCAATTAAATATATCATAGTCCAAATAAAATTTATTATAGTTTTTGCATAGCGATCCATAGACGTACTTGGTTCTGTACCTTTTTACTTTCAAAAGTATTGTGTGCCGAGTATGTGGGGTGGGAACCAATAATTGAACTCTTTCAATTAACTACCTATAGTTGATAGAAGAACCTATTAATTTTGCTTGGAATAGAAGTCATGCAAGTTTTCTTTTGCCAGATGGAAATATTCCACTTTCAAATGATTTTAAACATAAAGAAATGTATATTTGTTGCGACACCTATTTTGGGCAATTTGTAAAGCATTTTTATTTCTAGGTTGTGGTACCAAAGGCAAAAGGTGAAATTTTAGGAGTAGTAATAGTGGAATCTGGATGGGGCTCAATGTTGCCAACAGTTGTGATAGCAAACCTCGCTCCAGCTGGTGCTGCTGCAAGATGCGGGCAATTAAATATCGGCGATCAAATCATAGCAATCAATGGCGTCAGCTTAGTAGGACTTCCACTATCGACATGCCAAACCTACATCAAAAATTCAAAAAGTCAAACTGTAGTTAAATTAACCGTAGTACCTTGTGCACCTGTTGTTGAAGTGAAAATCAAGAGACCAGATACTAAATATCAACTTGGATTCAGTGTACAGAATGGAGTGGTAAGTTATTGTTATAAATAGGAAACATGAAGTAGGGAATACATTTATTTCTATTTTTAGATTTGCAGTTTACTCAGAGGCGGCATAGCAGAGCGAGGTGGCGTAAGAGTCGGGCATAGAATAATTGAAATTAATAACCAAAGTGTTGTCGCTGTACCTCATGAAAAGATTGTAAATTTATTGGCAACTTCAGTAGGTGAAGTAAGTAATTGTTTAAAATCCCTATAGTTTAAATTATGCCGAACATTATATATAAAGAGAATAAAAATTTTGTTTTTTTAGATTCTGATGAAAACAATGCCGACTTCCATGTTCCGTTTGCTTACTGGTCAAGAGAATCCTGTATACATCTAAGTTGATATTAAACGAGGTTCGAAAGTGCCTACTTGTAGTTGATATTGAACTGTCCCTGGGAATTGTTTTATTTAGATCGTGCTTGAGTCGCAGATCAATATATTTTTTATTGTTAGAATAAGTTCAACAGACTGAAGACAATACAAGCAAAGAACTGCGCTCTGCACAAATCCTTTTGCGCTGAGCTTTCGTGATAGACCATATCTCTGCTTTGTCGCGTAATTAGTTTCATCATTTTAGCTAATACAAAGAAACAAAAAAAAGCTGTTAGGTTTCATACATGCACTTTCAGAAACTGTTTTGCTCAAAAAAGAGTTGTGAAATGAAAACCGTTTGTCCAGTATGAAATTTTATTTTTTAAATAACAATCGTAGCTCATTCTATTGAAAATTCGACTGCACTAATGCTACAAATTTAAAAATAATTGGCTTCGCTGGAAGTTATGTATGAGAGCCAACAGGATTTTTGATATCCATCAGATTTTTATCTAAAATGACTGCAATTATATCTATTTATTCGTTATTGTGAATGTGAAAAGCATACCAAAGACTGGTTGGTTGGCTTTAAAGAATATTTCGTTGTAATTTACAATAAAATAAATTCTAGCTAAATAATTCTAAATAAGTTGTTTTATATCCATTTTGACAGATCTTTATTCTCTTATAGAACTACTCTACATTTTCCTGCAAGACATTATATGTTGCAATGTCAAAATCGTTCTATCAATGTCAAAATTATTCATCAAAAAAATAACATCACGTAAAAGCTTTAATAAATAATGTGGGGGCATGATTATCTGCTGGAAAAAGTAGAACCTTTTTAACGAATGATACAAGATTTATATTTAAGGAACATTAATAGTAAAAATAAATCTTACACCAATATCTGCCTTAAAATTATAGATTTAGAACGATTTAATTTTCATTTAAAATATTAATCGTAGAACTGGTGTGTATTATTTTTTAAGCTAATAAGATGGTTTTGAGCTACCATTCGTTAATTTATTCGAAAATTTAGATTACTAGTTGATAAAGTTTTTGATATAACAGGATATTTCTTGGTTTAAAGAAGTGGCATTTCTAAGCGCAAACGAATTGTGATAACTTTTTTCTTTAACTTCCCACCAGAAAGAACACTTAGCTGCTGCTACTACTACCTATAGTAAATCATAGTTTCAAATTTTTGCAAACGCTATTATTGCCACGTTTTTAATAGCTCCTTTGCGCTTTTAAAGAAATGACAATTCTTTTTAATAGAATTTATTTAGAATAGTAGTTAGATATTTCCGAGGGGTAAGTCAAAATGTGTACCTAATTCTTTGAAATTATCTCTACCGTAATTCTCCGGCAATTCCTTTAAATCTACAAATTCCTCGCAATTCCCTACCCTTGTACCACCTCTAGTTTACCCCTCGGTTATTTCAATAACTAGGTTATTAAAAACATTAGTTTCCTGTTCATTTATCGACTAGTTGTCTTTAAAAAAATCTGTCAAAATTGTTGTTGGTGCTGCATTTTTTATATAAACATTTTGTTAATTTAAAAATAATCCACCTAAAAAAAATTGAAATAAAAATATTTTTGAATCAATGAAATATATTTTTGGAATTTTGCATCACAAAATTGTATAACTTTTAAGATTTGTATTCAACATGGTCGAAACGGCGACCAATTTTGACTTGTAAAATAAAAAATTGCAGAAAACAGTAAAAATGCAAATCGTGGATTATTTTTGAATAAATATTACACATCTTTAAATGTTTAATTGCTGGGTTTAGGTAGCGTCACTAATTATTTTCAAGTATTTTTCTTCATTATTTCAGTTTTGTGAAACATTAATTTTTGCAAGAGGTAAGGTTACTGGTAATTTTATAAAAGTTACACCTCTACTAGTTGTGAAGATGCTTTAGATACCTATAGGGTGTCCTTGAAAATAGTGCATTCTTCTCGCGTACTGATACAGGTTGGTATTTAGAGTAGAACAATACATATACGGAATGGCTACTGTTTGATTTATCTTAGGTAAATTAAGCCGTATATTTTATACACTTGTCTATAATTACATTCCTAAAGGTTAGAGGGTGAAAAGGTAGTAGTCCCTGTGATCGACAATATATCGAAAAAAATCACAATATTTTTCTTTAAAAGATAAAAATACATGACATGGAATACATATCTAGTTAAACACAGAATGCTTATCCAACCAACGGTAGAATATACATGATGTCTTGAAGTAAAGCCACTTAAAATAACAGAACAAAAAATGCTAGGATTATGTGAAAAAAGTATCAAGGAAAATATATGGAAGTAATACTGCGAACGTTTTAACTCCAGTATATCCAATAATTGATTAACACAGATTTTATTGTTTATTAATAGACGCAAAGTCGTAAATTGCTCCGTTTCTTTATCAACATCGGATGGTTGTGAATCTTGAGAGGTAAAAAAATGCATCGGATGTGAATATTCAAACTTAGCATATGAAGTGAGTAATAATTAATATTTTTGATGAAATTTAACGAAATTAGAATCAAGTATAATACCTGAAGTTGTATAGAAGTCTAATAATTGCAATCAAATTTATAAATTTGAATATTTTTCTATGTACACTATAAAAATAAATGATATATAAAGGTATGCAGAATTCGTTACTCGACTGGTAGATAATAAACTAAGGGACTTTGCGGGAAAATGCATAACTCATAAAATAATTCTCTTAAGATTTTCCAAGCTTTCAGAAATTCATTTCCATTATCAGGGCTTTGCATCTAGTTGTCATAGAATACAGTTTAAAATCAAATATTTGTTATTAAAAAATCGTGAATTTTACATTCACCACGCGGTCTAGATATTTAAATTTAAAATTAACAGGAAAAAATTCTAAAAGGAAAATTATTTGATGGATGAAATTTTTAGGGCTCATTCTTGTTCCACAAAGCTATACCGCACGTAATTCATATGTCGTGATATTCTCGAACCAAAGACAAAGCCATCGCAACAAACATTTATGTTCCGGATAATACGTTGAATACTAATTAGACTATTTTTTATTATGGGTCATCGGTGACGAATAAATCTATAAATGGGTTGGAAATAATGATGTATTCTACCTATCGCTTTAAGGATTGCATTACTTTCAGTTCAAGGACACCTAAATTTTATTGTTAACCACACTAATATTCTTTATACAAAAATGAAATGGTGTATTAAACATTAAAATTTTTCACCCCTTATGTTAGATGAGTTTTAAAGTGGTAGTGCTACCAAATCCTTGCAATATTTAGAACTATTGTATTTATTAAATTACCAATACTGATGAAACTGTTGTAATCTGTTTCCAATACATTAGTAAAATATATACAATGTAGACGTAAATAAACAATATCAACTATTAAACCAATTAAAATTGGATACAACACAACCTTTCCCAAATAATTTGTATTTAGCTTTTTACCATAATAAAAAGTGTACATATTTCAAGATGGTGCTAGAAAACCAATTTTACGTCTACATTGTTTCTGTGTTCAAAAATATATATTATAAACAATTTTTCAAGAAATATTCCTACACCCAACCTTCAATTGTGCTGGCTCAAGAAAATATGGTAATATCTAGTCAGCATTATCTATTTTTTTGTATTTTATTGCAAATTATGTTTATTATTTTGTTATTTGTTTGATGTTCAAAAGTCAGTGATATTTCCATTTACTGTATGTAAACTCCCAGAACGGATAAGAAGTTGTATATAAAAATAGTTAACTGTTATTATAAATGGTATATAGTACTACCGAATCCTATTCGATATACTTAGATGAAAACGACAATGCTTACAGCCAAAATTTTCAGAAAATTTTAACAAAGAACTGTGCAACCTATATTTCACGTACATTCCAACAGAACAAAGATGTGTATTTTTATTTTCTATAACTTTATTTAATGATTTAAGCCCTTTTGAACTAAAATATTTCTGAAAACAATGTTCAAAATAAAATAAATAATTAGTTTTTAAACTTGCCTCATGAATAACAGCTCTTATTTATTATTAAGTTCAGTAAAATATTAGTCTTTGATTAATACTGTTACTCTCCATGGGCTCTATAAACGCTTTACAGTAACCTTCCCAAATATTCAATGATATAAACGAGATGAGTAACAGTTTTCTCAAATAGAGCCGAATAACTTTTTCTTTTTCTTCTGGGGTGCTGTCCCATTTTACTATAAACAACTAAACCATGACCAATTACTCCAACAGGTGTTAATGCTAGAACTTGCTCCAGATCAGAAGCTTTTAATGTAAAGAAAAAAGGACCTTTAAGTTCTGCTCTACCGTTTTTGAGGGGTGCAAAATTTAATTAACAAGTCTTTTGCTATATTTTTTTGAAAATTCTCGCTGTGGGTATCGTGGAAATATATGAATGCATTCATTGTGGACTCCTGCATAGGTGTCTCCTGATAAAAGTGATCTTTACTACAAAATTCAGAATCTATTAGGTAAAGTAAATAGTAAATAGTATTTTTATATTTCCCTGAGAATTTTATAGACCCTTTAGATGCCTGTAAGTGGAAAATAACACGATGACGAACAAATTTTTTCTCTCTTCTCTCCATATTACTAAAAACTTTATTGTTAAAAGAAATTGCTCCAGAGATACGGCGTAAAACGTAACATTGTTTTAATGGAAAATAATTGAGTATGATGAAAAGCTGCTACTTTTAATAAAAATCCGGATTCCAGACTGAAAAATCATTATTTACGATTTTCACTGTATAACTGAAGCAATTTTCCTTTATCTTATTTGTTGCTTCATATGTAAGGTAAAACATTTCCGAATACTAAAGTATTTTGTATTATGGAGTCTTTTAAGTGTATTAAATGTGAATAGTTTAATTTCAGTGTACAATCACATAGTTGTAATACTCCATAAAAACCTTGTTTTATATATTACAAATTTTATTAAGTATGTTTTATGTACAAAAATCCGTTTAGTTCGTTTTCATTTTTTCATTTTTTATGTATTAAAAACAAATACTTCAATCTATAATATTTTTCATTTCGAATACCTATTTAAAAAATAATCTAACCATATCAAAGCCTATGAACAGTTCCAGTAATCAATATTTATTTTAATTATATATTTAGCGTTCTTTTGTCTGTATAATAATAAAAACTTCATGTGTAATATTTACAAAATACAATATAAGAAATTTATTTGCTTGTTTCATTTCACTAAAGTTATAAAATTCATATAAACCATTTCCAAACATATTTCTTGAAGTTTTATTTAAATTTTTGCCACATTTATTTTAATTATCTTATTTTTCTAAAAAAAACTACTATAGGCAAATAACTGACCGAAATATAAGCGAGATCAAAAAAGAAATAACACATAAACAGAAAATACGTTCTACATGAAAAAGTATCCCATGTCAACAACTTATAACTTTAAAATGGCTAACGATAAACCTGAAATTTTCATCGATATGTTTTATTTTTCCACAGATTTAGTTCTAGCGATGCCAGAATTTATCATTCAGTGTTTTCTGAAATTCTTGCAAAACTTTTTATGCAAATATTGTGCTGTAAATTTGGTATCTATATGCAAAAAAATTGTACTTAAATGCCACTATCAAAAAATGGGGTTGCCGTTAAAAAAATTGGGATGAAGTCAATAATATTTCGAAGCCAAGAATCTACCATTACTCTATAACCATTAATTACGGACCACTCTGTATAATTGATAGTCGTAAAAAATATGTTAACCAACTTATCCAGCAGAATAAATATGAGACGTGAGCTGATTAAAGAGAGCAATTGGTTTAATCACGCCTTTTCGATAGGATAGGATATTGCATGTGTATATTTCGGTCCGCTTATGATTCTACAGGGTGTTTCAAAAAGGTATGTCATAAATTCTTCCTCAGATAGATTATCAAAAAATAAGTGGATTTGGCTATATTTACCTATATCAAAAACTGGCTCCCAACAAAGTTACAGGGCACTAAACTAACATTCAGAAAAACGTTTTTTTTTTTTTTTTTTTGTAAAAAGCTGTTGCGATTTTTTTTTTTTTTTTGACAATTTTGCCAGTGCTGTAGATTTGAAGGCCCAATATTCTAAAGAGAAAAAAAAAGCGACCCCATTAAAAAAAGTTGGAGGGTTGGGTACCTTTTAACCTCGTATACTGCTTGAAAAATTTGATATCTGATGACTGTATTTTAAGTTTTGGGTCATGCAGGACTTTTTATCAAAAAAAACTTTTTTTCCTAAAATCAATAATAAATTTTGTTTTCCATAAATATGGTTCCAACTTAAGTATATAGACACACTGTATATATCTACTTTATTACACATTCCTGGCAATATTGTACTGAGTATTGTATTATCGCAAAGATTTCATTTTGGATTATGGTTTTCCAATTTAAAACAAAAATATAGCAGTTTTGGCTTATCGCTGGTTGAAAATCAAGAGGGAATATAGAGGTGTAAGGGTCTACTTATACTCTCTTATTATTAGTATTTTATTTATTTATAATACAATACTCTACAGGTCATAAACCCAATTACAGAGCAGGAATTGACAGAATATAATTATTAATAAATCACAGATTTTTTATATGATAAAAAGAACTTGTATTTTGTAATAGGTAACAAATTAACAAAAATAACTAAGATAAAAAGTGGGATTTTATATCTGACAAATTGCAACTAAATATATCAAGTTCATTGACAATAGAATTTGTCACTGTACACATGGTATGGAGCGGAGATTTTTCCAGAACATTTGTGGGAGGTGTATTTATATAAAAAGTATTCGGGTGTCTGGAAGAAATTCTGGGAATGCAAATATTAAACTTTTCTAATAAGGTTGGGCAGTCAATAATACTTTTAATAATTTTATAAGTTACTACTACACTATAATAATCACGCCTTCTATCGAGACTGAAAAAGTTATGCTTTTGTAGTAATTCAGAGTGAGGTGTACCTATTAGAGGATAAATGCCATCAGTTTTCAGGCTTAGCAGTTTTAAAAATCGTCTTTGAATTGCTTCTATTCGATCTATATGATACTGATCAAAGTATTGTGATTAAGCATAAATATTAATGCTAATAATAATAATCATAAATCGAGTATAAATTAATGGCCCCATTACATTGTATGGATTCAACTTAATCCTTAATCAGGGCCGCCTAAAGCCAGGTGGGACCCCGAGACAATTTTATAAAAAAAAATTAAGCCCTTTCGATATCACATTTCTAAAAAAAAAAACAAAAACTTAGATCCTTTTTTAGTAAAATCCCAAAAAAAGTCCTCATCTTGTATTTTACATAAACCAGCGCTCCTCCCTTCTGTGGCGAACTTCTTGTGCCGCTGCCGAGCCTCCCCTTGTGCCCGGGAATTTGTCCCGCTAGCCCCCCTCTCGTCGGCCCTGATCATAATACTAATGCAAATTCTAATAATAAGGGAGTATAAGTAAGTGGACCTTACTCTTTGTTAATTGCTACTTCAATTAAAAAATTATGTGTCACAAGCATTTTTTGTGTACTATATATAAAATAAAGAATATTTAAATAACTCACATGCTTCAAGAAATTGTGAATTTGATAGGTTGTACTGATTCATTTTTTTGGACCTAACGGTCGACCACTATTCTATCAAAAATTATACATGAAAAACTGATAAAAAATAATATATATTTTTGTTTGGTAGGTAAAAATTAATCCGAATTAATAATAACAATTACTGACGAAAATATCATGCTAATATTGATAAAAACCAGAATTCTCGAATAAACGTTCCAAATGGATATTTAGATAATTGTTAGTCATTATTATGATTGTGAGAACAATGGAATCGTTGCCATTCTAGAAAATAATGTAAAATCAATCCTTTAGCATGAAAAAGTAATCAAAACAATTTTAGAGATAATAGGTATTTTTTAAAAGAACATAAGGATATAGGTACATTAATATTTATATTTTTTTGTGACTAATAATTAGAATGTTCTTTCTTACCTAAAGTCTAAATTTTTTTTTATTTTACTGTCATTAAGCAACACAAATATTAGAAAAAGAAAATCACAGGGATCTATTTTTTTCTTTACAATATCCTGGAAAGATGCACTGTTTGAGCAACTGACAAACTTAAATTAAATACTTCCAATAAAACACTAGGTCACTACATAAGAGTGGTCTGGTCCTGTGTGCATAAATCAGGAACCATAACTGGCAAGGGATTCTCTAAAAAGTCAGCTCATGTATGGATGGTGTGCAGTTATGACCAACATGTCTAATTTCATCAATTTTACCTATGCAATCTTTAAATGGATCACAATTAGACTTATTAAGGAGTCTTTAACAATACCCTTATAACACGTGATCAAATTCATTCATTATTTGGCTAAAATAACTTCAGCAGTACAGTCAGTAGCCCCAAAACAATGCCATTGACATATTTGAAAATTGGGTTGTTATAAAAAGGTAATTTTCATTCAGTTTCATGTTTTATCAGATCATGTGAAATACAGGTATTTTTTTAAGACTATACAATTTCTGATTGAATGAAATTTTGAATAAAATGAAATTTTTAATGTTAGTTTTTTTTTTAAAGGGAATATCTTTAACTTGCTTTGAATAAAATTAAATTATAAAGTATAAAATTTATTTATAAAAACTTTTACAAAATAAGAATACAGTTTGGCATTTTTGGCACACCTAGTTTAAGTGGTAACTTGACTCATGCACTTAAGTGATATTTGTTATCTATTTCAAGTTTTGTTTTCAAACAATGCCAATTATTCAACTTTTGTAAGGCTATATATTCATATAAAATTGTATATAAACGCAGTTTTAATGAAAATGAATGAGAGAAGAATTAACGATTTTAGTGTAAAGAATTTATTTGTAAAAAGCCTTACAGCCTTACAGCCTTATTTACAACAAACTACAAATCCATCTTTCAAGTGTAACTATGCACAGAACTGATGCTAAGTTGTACACAGTTGAAGCATAGAAAAATTATCCTTTATTCTTAACTCAATTATACATGAATGTTTTATTACTTGGTTAACACCAAAATTGAAATTAAGAGATCAGAGTATAAAAGGAGAAAGCATAAAGGATGTTTTGAACATAAAATTTAAACAGAAAAAATATACACCATAAATAACAATAATTTGTTATGAACCTTCAAAATGAAAAAAACTTAGGTAATTATCAATTTCAGAAAGTTCTTTTATTAGCGTAAGTTTTTATACAACTAGAGTAAGAAACATAAAAATTCTACTTTGACTGTTTGATAATTTAAATAAACATAATATATACTAAGAAAAAAGTAGAATGCTTTATGTTTTTTACCGATGTCCTGGTGGAGCACAGTTTAATTGTCCATTGCGTATCGTCGTGTCCATTCCTTTGCATTTCGAATAGCTTCCGATTCGTTTACTTTCCATAATTCAGCTACATCATTAGCTAAAGGATCATCTGGATTGGGAGCACTAAGTAAGGCTTGAATAGACAATAAGACAGTACGTATCTGTAAAGCTGGACTCCACTTGTCCTTAAGAATATCAAGGCATATTCTACCTAGTCTATCAATGTTAGGATGATATATTTTTGTTATGAATCTTACTTTAGGAGCAGACATTGGATAGTCTTCTGGGAGGAACAACTCAAGTTTAAACAGTCCCCCTTCGAATGGAGAATCTTCCGGACCTGTCACAATTACATGAAAATATCGAGCATTACTATCATCCGGCACAGCACTTATTCCTGGTACTGGTTCCTGCATTAAACGTTGGGTTTCTTTAATAATTCTGCGTGGAAGGGCTGCCATTTTTTGCTTATCAGTGTGGGTTATTTTATCTAATTTTTGGTATAAATAAATCACTCCACTAGAACATAAAAGGCTGTCTCAACAAATCTTCACTTTTTAAGATAATTTTATCTTCTCATTCTTTTTCTATTATCCCTTATTTATTTTTTAATAATAGCGGTAGATAACGAATTCCGACATATCTATCCACCGACGTTTTCATTCTGCGGCCGCAATCTATCTATACTGCGCATGAGTTGTATAAACGCGGGAATTTTAAAAAACAATACTATTTTCCTTTATATTTCTTTGAAAAAATAATAAAACCCTCAATAAAATATAAATTTATATCGTACTGATCAAATTGCTAATTAGTGTACTTTATTTAACATCAACAATTAAACAATAGTTAAAATAAACAACGAAAATACAAAAATTATTAAGGTTTACTAAAGAAGGGGGTTACGACAGTTTACGACTTTAAAAGAGTGGTTAAGACTCGTTAAAAGAGGATATACAGAACAATGTCTGTCGCTGACTATGCTTTCCTTAACCAATCATCAACATGTATTCTTGACAGGATAGTAGAATACATGTTGATGATTGGTTAAGGAAAGTGTAGCCTAGTCAGGCCAATGAACTGGAGTGGGGTAGAATGCTTGTCAATAGGCTTGAAATGCGACTCTATGGGCGAAGACAGGTTATTTTTCATCTCACTCGGGAGTATTTATAACAACCATTTTCTATTTCACTTTGTTATTGCCTGATCCACCAGCTTGTGGATTGAACAATAACAATGTGAAACAGAAAATGGTTATTATAAATACTCCCGAGTGAGATGAGAAATAAAAATGGCTGCGCCCATAGAGTCGCATCTTGTTCAATTGATAAAATATGCACATTAGCTTTCTACCCCACTCCAGTTCATTGAGTCAGGCGACAGACACCGTTCTGTGTATTCTGTAATACATACATTTTTGTGATTATTGGGAATTGAAAAGAGATAGATATACTAAACGGTATTAATTATAAAGCCAAATCTTAAGAAAAATACCATTTTAAAAGTAGACTGTAGTTAATACAGATTTATAAATCCTTTGACGCCATAATTATTAAATATTCTGTTGTAACTTAACAACATGCGCTTGAAAAAGGGAATGCGGGTGTAACAAGAACTTGACGAAAAGGATAAAGAAAAACAAACCTGTTAAAATAGCGTGAAAAAGTGTGAAAAAAATATGAAAGTTAAATGTTCGCTACGTATATCGTGAAAAAAATGCTTCAAAGAATTATTCTAGGAATTTCGCCTATCACCTATCGCCTATCACCACTTATCACTGAGTGCGTTCCAAAATCACGAACTTTTCTCTCTAGTTCTTAGGATGTTTGTTAGCAACATGGCAACACTGGTTCGTCTGATTTATTTATTTATTTATTTATACATTGTTCAACAGGTTAAACCCAATTACAGAACAGGAGTACATTTGAAAGAAAACAGTTTAACAAAAGGCATATAGATAATTAATCTAAAATTACAGTAAATAAATTCAAAATTATTTTAAACAATGTGTTTTTATGTTTTTAACACTGCAATTAAATATATCCAACTGTTCACTAATATTATTATAATTATTACACATGTTATATACAGGTGAAAACTTCAGAACGTTTGTCCGAGGAGTCGCTATGTAAAATGATTCAGTGTTTCGAGAGGTTGCGCGTGGGATTCTAAAATTAAGCATATGTAAAAGAGCTTCACAATTGATTTTAAAATTAACAACTTTGTAGAGGGTAATTATGGAGAAGTACTTTCGTCTTACGTCGAGACTTGTCAATCTGTGTCTAGTCAGTAAAGCATTTTGAGTAATACCAATCGGTGGATAAATTTGGTCTGCCCGAAAACTTAAGTATTTGAGGAAACGCCTTTGTGTGGACTCTATCCGACAAATGTGTATTTGATAATAAGGATCCCAAATAAACGAGGCATATTCGAGTTTAGATCGAACAAATGAGAAATACAATGATTTAATAGTATCTGTGTTTTTAAAATCACGGCCCACTCGTACTATGAATCCATACATACGATTTGCAGCTGTTGAGATGTTATCTATGTGGTATTTAAACGACAATACTGGGTCAAATGTAACCCCTAAATCCATAAAATTGTTGGGTTTAGAAAGCAAACGTCCATCAAGGACATAATCGAATTTAATTGGATGCGCTTTTAATGTGTATGACATTACGTTACATTTGACGGGATTCAGTGTAAGACCATTTTTGTTGCACCATTCAACAACTTTGTTCAAATTTTCCGACAACTGTTCACAGTCAGAAATATTTTCAATAGCTGAATATATTTTTAAGTCATCAGCATACAGCAAATAATCAACATTTATAGCGTCACCAATGTCGTTGATAAAAATATTAAATAACAGCGGACCCAAATTTGAACCTTGCGGTATACCAGAGGTGGCGCAATATTTGTTAGACTTGAATCCATTTAATTGAACATATTGTGTTCTTTGAGAGAGATACGATTGAAAAAGTGTGATCAAACTATTAGAAAGACCAAATGCGCAGAGTTTCTGTATCATAATATTATGATCAAGTCTATCAAATGCTTTTGTCATATCCGTATAGATGACGTCAGTTTGGACCCGATTATCAATATTTTCAGCTATTTGCTGTGTGATCACAGAAAGATTTGTTACTGTGGAACGCCCTTTAACAAAACCATGTTGCTGAGCTGAGATTGCATTACAAACATGTTGATAAATACTACGTTCCAGTAATATTTCTAGAATTTTGCAGAAATTGCAAATGATAGAAATCGGCCTATAATTTTTGATATCAGTACGTTCACCTTTTTTAAAAATTGGGCAGACTTTAGAACATTTCCACATCGAAGGAATTGTATTGGATTTAAGGCAGATATTTATCAAAATAGTTAGAGGGCGAGCTAATACTGCTGAACAATCTTTTAAAATGAACGCAGGAATATGATCCGGTCCTGTGGTACGTTTAGGTTTAATGTTTTTTAAAGCATCCTGGACCTGGGTTTCAGAAAAATGAGTTATATGAAGCTGAGATGGCTGGACGTCCTTTAATGATATGTTTGAACCCTTGGAAGCGACATAAGATTGTCCAAAATATTCCGCAAAGCTTTCTACTATTTCTGTTGGATTATTTAATGTTTTATTTTCAAAACTCATGGTGCTTGCAACTTTACCTTGGCATTGTTTATTATTAACGTATGCCCAAAATTTATTTGAATTTGCTGAGATTTCAAATTCAAGATTTACTATGTAATTTTTATAAGCTTCAGATACACAAGTTTTAATTTCAGCTCTGATGAGCTTAAATTCTTGAAGAGCTTGTATATTATTCTCATTCTGATATAAGCGATGAAGTTTAGACTTTTTCCGAAGTTTCTTAATAATAGAACCATTAAACCACGGAGGATATTTTCTTTTATTACTTACAGTATATTTAGGTATACACTGATCTAGTATATTGTATAATTTACCATAAAAGTACGTGCAGGCATCTTCAGCATCATAGAAAACCTCCAAAAAATCCCAATTCACAGTAGATAACATTTCATACAAGAGTGGAAAATTTGCTTTACGAAAATTGTAGCAATTCGTGTAAGAGGATTCAAGATTTTTCTTATGATGATGGACATGACAGCTGACGCTGACAGCATGTATGACAGTTTGAAATGTCAAACGAGCCCAGTAGGTGGAATTTTGGTTTATTATGGAATAATTTTTAATTATTGTTGTTAATGAGTGTGATTTTATTTTTGTTGCATAGTTTATTTAATGTTTGATGTTGAAACAATCAATAATTGAAATGATGCACCTCAATGCAGATATTTCAAGTGCTCTACAACTCCTGGAAGATATAAAACAAACAGTGGATAACATAGGAGACCCAAAACTTCAACTTAACACTAGCCAAGATCTAAATTTACTCATAAGTGTTCTAGAAAACCCCGTTTTTAGGAGTATAGTCACTGTACAGGATTCTGTCAGTGAATTAAATCAACAGTTAAGTCAGCATCCATCTATTTTACCTGTAGATTTTGATATAACAGCTGCAGGGGAGTTAGTTTTGAATGTACCACCAGCAGGAGAGCTGTACGATCCTGATTATACTGATGACTATCCTCCTGGTAGAGATTTTGATGAGCAAAGAGTGCCTTCTGCACCTATATCTCCTAGTTCACCCCAAGTGCCCCTTTTAAGTAACACAGATAACCAGTTGCTACTGGTCAACAGTCCGAAATTAAATAGTAGGCTGTGTAATTCTGAGGTATGTAAATCAGTATATATCGATGTTTTATATTTAATTAATTGTTTTATTTGTAGTCACTTAGAGTTTTGCAAAATAATCCTGGATTTGCTACCACCGATGATGATATTATTCATCGTTCTCCTTCAGTTGGTAGTAATAATTCAAAAACTGAACCAGATAACTTAATAAACAGTGAATGGTCACAGGTTGAAAGCATTGATCTTATCAATGATGGTACTGGTTTAGGTTTTGGAATATTAGGAATGCGAAATATGGGAGTTGTAGTAAAGACTATTCTACCTGGTGGGGTTGCTGATAGAGATGGTAGATTACAAAGTGGTGATCATATTTTACAGGTTTGATATTTTTCTATAATTTGTAATATATATGTACAAAGTGTTCATAAATGTCATGCCAATATTTGTTTATTATATGGGAAAACCCCATTATAGAAAACAAAAATATACAGTGTTTAGCCAAATATTTACATACTACAATAATACAAACCTATTGAGATCTATCTGTTTTTTTTAAAGAATATAGATTGCCAGAAAAATTGATATCCAACTCAATGGCCTTTCTGGCTATTGTTGACAAAGGACTAAAATAGCCATAATTTATTAATTGAAAGGGCACAATAAACAAGTCTTTGTTTCTCATACACCTTTGAGGAATACAGAACTGAATAAGCTGAAGCATGTTTTGCTGCAATTTAAATAATACAAGGTCAACAGTTAATCTATGAAATTCCAACCATTCTAAGTTCAATGATCTCTATATCCTCATACTCATATTCCCCATTTCTTAATCTCAATTTATATCCATAGTATCTTAAAAACTTATCTGAACAGCTTCAATTGAAGGGTATAATTCTGTGGTTTATTTTGATACTAAAAAACGTGCTCTACATTACTTTTTTATTGTTTTTTCAAAAAGCCCTTATTTAATAATATCCCAAATATTCTTTTGACGATTTTATATTAAACTTGTCAGGCTTATTTGTAGTACTAAGAAGATAATTTAAACCTGTTTAGATTTAAATTAAGTACCCTGGAGGGCAACCTTTAAAAAAGAGTAAATTTGAGAACAAGTTTATATTAACTTTTAGTCATAGAATAGGCCAGGAAATTAACTTCTTCAATATTGACATGACATTTTGGAATAACCTATATTATAGGTAGATATTTTTTTAATTAAAAATTTGTTTTACATATTTAATTGCGAACTAGTTTTGTTTTTATTATATTTTTTATTGCAATAAAAACCATATACTTAATGAATGTTGTTGAGTAAGATTTTCAGTTAATCTGTGGTGTATTACAGGGATTCCAATTCTTGGCCCTGGATTTTTGAAAAGAACTTTAACCTAACCAACAAAAATTTAGTTTATTTTGTCTTTAGGCAACTCTATGTAAGTTAAACTTACAATACTTTGCCTATGTAAATTATACTACTAAACCAATATAAATCCAAGACAAATGGTTGAGTAGATTTTTTGAGCACTGTTTTTATATAAATCAAGAATTTCTTTAGCTAGATCACACTCTTTAACATCCCATTTCATTCAACTAACTCATACAATTTTTTTATATCTAGAAGCATGAGTACAGTAAAAATGTACCGTTCCATAATTCATTTGATAATAAACAATTCAATACTGACAGAGTTGTGATGCTAGTTTGCAATTTAATTGTATTTTTTCTGTGTTTTAATATAATACATATAGTAAGCTTTTACCACCTAGTGGTGTAGGCAGGGGTCTCCAAACTTTTTAGTATGAGGACCACACTGACGACTTCTCCACTAAATTGCAAAGGCCAAGGTCCTTGCTAGCTCATCATACCAACATTTTGTAGTTTTGAATTACAGGCAAATTTTCATTCTGTGACAGCAGAAATTACAGAATACCAGATTTTACCCAAAGTGGCCAATAAAATGCAATAGTGACTAATGAAGTGATGAAAATGTTTTAAAACATGACTTTGCAAAGCTTAGATATGTGAGAAATTTTAAACAATAATTGTCAATTCCACAAGTTTGGAGATTGGAGAAAATAATTTACAAACAGTGATTCACAAAAAATGTTTCTAAAATAGGCCATGATCAACAAAGACTGATATGAATCATGCATGACTGACCCTTAAAAATAAGAATTGTAGACTCCAACATGTGTTAATTTTTTCAAAACCTACTTTAGAAATATATACATATAATAACAATAATTGTTAGTGGAAAGTTACAGCTACATAAATCTTGTTAATAATATTTATTAAGTTTAATTTCATCATGTGAATTACCCAAGGAGTTACCTATGTATATTACTTATTGTAATTTTTAGGAGAAATCTTATATCATTAATTACAGTTAACATGTTTAATTTAATTATACAGGGTGTTCCTAAACATCATGTACGTACGAAAGGGGCTAATTGTTACCGGCGTAAAAAAATATTTATGGTTTTATGTCTAGGAACCGATATATTTGATTGCGACTATTTTCTCTTTTGTATCCTACCAAGTTTAAAATAATAAAGTGGTATATTGTTAAATTAATTATTTTAATTGCAAATCTTAGTGGTAGATGAATGCAGTTTTTTGAATGCCTCCTAAAATAATTGCGACGCCACTAACATTTCGTCTATTTTCGGAAAATTAGTCACTAAAAATTGTTCGCTAAGTTCACACCGGTCTAATTGTTTGGCTTATTTCATGACTATGTTGAAATTTCAAGATTTTTTTTTGTATTTTCTTTATAGTTCATGCAGTTTTTGGTAAATTTAGCTCAAATTTGTAATCTAGGTTACGTTGTAGAGCTTATATCATTGAGCATGCCAAATGTTTGTGAGAATCTACTGGGTGATATTTTTTCAGGGGTCATGTCACCTTTTCTTCCCCTTAACTTTTTTTGCAGTGCATCACTGGTAGAATATAAAATTCAAAATGGATTTTCTATTTTGTTTAGAAACTTTTTGGTCTCTTGTAGTTTTTTTTTAGATCTGTGACTTTTATCGACTATATTATCTGTAATTCACTAAATAAAAGTAAAAATTTTAAAATGGTCTTGTAGCTCTGGCTTTATTGTGGATCATTTCTTGTTTTAATTAATTTTGACAGTACTCATTTTAATATGTAACGTGCGTGAAAAACAATCTTGAAATTTCAACACCCTGTAGATTGGTAAAGAAGCGTTTGCGGATATATGTTTATATGAATTTTTAGTAATGAATTAAACCAAAGAATTACCCTCTTAAATTCAAATTCTTTTATTTGTACTAGGGACAATATACAAAGTATATTGTGTTGTACACGTCAATATCCATAACTAAATATTACTTAAAGATAAAGCTAAAAATTAAAATAGATGATGCAAAAATACCAACTGCAAGATGTAGTATTGTTATTAATAATTAATTATTAATGTGCGAGCTAGGTCGACTTACCGTGTAAGAATGGCGTATTTACCAAGACTAGAGGAAAACTAGCAAAACCCATAGTGTCATAATTTGCAATTGGTAATTACATCAATCATACTGTTTACCACCACAGAAAATTAATACTGATAGGTAGAAAAAGAAGAAAAAAACTAAACTACTAAATAGCTAAAAAGAATCTTATTTCTAATCCTAACTTATTACATGAATTTGAAATATTTAAGATTGTAACATCATCTAGTGAGTAGGGCTCAATATCAATTAAGATATTTCTAATGGTTGACTTAAATCCGCCTACATTTTTAATATTTTTTATATAGCGTGGGAACATATAAAATTGTATGTATTTAAAATAGCATCCTTTTTCAAATAGTGTGGTTTTATGCGTTGGTACTACAAAACTATCTACTCCGCGTGTATTATGTGTATGACCAAAAATATGTTCTCTGAAGTAAACCTGATTTTCAATTACAAAATTTACACAAAAATATACATATGCCCCAACCACCGTCATCAGATTTGATTGTCGAAAAAACCCTCGACAGGAATCTATATTCTATTCTCAATACTCTTTTTTGTATCACAAAGACCTCGTAATTGTGAGAACCACCCCAGAAGATGATTCATAATGGAATAAAAGTGTCCGAAATAGGCAGATCTCAAAGTGTTTTGGTTTACAACTTTAGCTAATTCTTTCAGAGCAAAGCAACTCTTACTAAGCCTACCACAGAGATTGTCCACATGACAAGACCATCCCAAATTCTCATCTACTATCACACCAAGAAATTTTGCAGAGCTCACATAATTAATTTCTGTGTTGTTTAGATTTATAGCATTTTCATAATCCTTATTTCTGTTGTGTTTAAACAGGATACAATTTGTTTTGGACATATTTAATACTAATAAATTTTTTAGAAACCACTCTGCCGTTATTGATGATATGTGCATGGTATCTTGTTTCAGACTTTCATAATCGGTACTGGCTATTAAAATGTTAGTATCATCTGCATAATTTGTTAGTGTTACAGAAGACAAGTCTATCACATCTGATAGGTCATTAATGTAGAGGAGGAATAGCAAAGGATCTAAGATACTTCCTTGTGGTACACCCATATGTATCGATTCTTGTTCTGAGAAAAAGAGTCCACTATTTGTTTTCAGACAGACTTTTTGAGACTTGCATTCAGATATGATTTAAACCAATCATATGCAATTCCACGTCCGCCGATAACGTATAATTTTTTTAATAGTAATTGGTGGTTTACACAATCAAAGGCTTTTGACAAGTCTAGAAATAAACCATGCACAATACAGCCATTATCTAGGTGATGTAGACTGCGTTCTACAAAGGAAAAAATTGCTGTAGTTGTAGATTTTCCTCTTTGGAATCCATGTTGAGTAGAGGTAATAATTTCATTCATAGCAAGAAACTTAGTAAGACGTTTACTCATTGCAATTTCAAAATTTATTTTTTGAGAAGCTGGTTAGCAAACTTAATAGGTCTATAGTTTTCCATAAGGAATGAATCTCCTTTTTTTAGAATAGGTCTCACCACTGCAGATTTTAGTTTTAATGGGAAATCACCTTTCTGAAAGGAATTTTTATTATGTAACATAAAGACTCAAGAATATATGAAGCAACATTTTTAATAAGCACATTATAAATATCATCTTCACCTGCAGACAGCTTGTTTTTTAAATTTTTTATTTCCGATAGCTCTTCTATGGTCACATCTGCTAGATATATAGATTGTACATGATGTTTAAGAACACCCTATATATGTCAGTTATTGTATTTTTTAACAGGTTTGTTTGATTTACATAAATAAATAAGTACATTATTTATGAAACCCAAAATTGACATAAATTTTAAATGTAATCAAAATAAACTGTGGGTGCTGGATACCAGGCAGTGGTGCTCGCAGGACGTAGTTTGGAGACCCCTGGTGTTAGGTGTAATTTGTTACAATAAAGACGTTTTATTAGTAATATTATTGTTATTATTTAATTATTGCATGATTTTTCTCGTGAGTATTCTCGATTATGTACTCCTAAATAGTATTTTCGGTAGATAATCTAGAATGTCCTTATTATTTCCAGATTGGCGATGTTAATCTCCAAGAAATGAACTCTGAACAAGTAGCATCAGTATTAAGACAATCTGGTACTCACGTCAGACTCATAGTAGCCAGACCAGTAGATATATCATCAACCGAATATAAGTATTTGGGAAGTTCTGCACCTTTAGTTCCCACACGTTTACTACATGACTGCACTGAATTAGACAAATACTTAGTACAACACAAATACGCTCCAGTCTTTCAAAAAAATATTGACACTGAACTATTTCAAAGTGATTTGTCTATGCCTTATGGAATATCAGGACTATCAAGGGTCCCTGCTTCCCCTTCATTGCCATTGTTGAATCTAGATATGGTTGTTAAAATGCCAGAAATGGAAAAATTCACAGTAGAATTGAAGAAAGATATTAACGGTTTGGGTATAACAATTGCTGGTTATGTTTGTGAAAAAGAAGAATTGTCAGGAATTTTTGTGAAGAGTGTCAGTAAAGGTAGTGCAGCTGATATAAGTGGCAAAATCAAAGTCAACGATAGAATAGTAGAAGTTGATGGTCAATCACTGCAGGGCTATTCCAACTTGCAAGCTGTTGAAGTGCTGAGAAACTCCGGTAGTATAGTCAAGTTGTGTTTAGAGAGATATCTACATGGACCGAAATACGAGCAACTTCAACAAGCAATCGCAGCTAGTGAAATAAAACCGGCATCACCTCCTGATGTGCCACGGTAATAGAGAAGCTGTTTGTACCCTTTACTTAGTTGCCTTTTCAATACACACACCTCTTCCTCTCTCATACTAACCTTAGCTCTTACTCATACTAATCACGGTGTCTGGCTACAATTGTTGCTCATTTCTATTCTAAATATACCATATTTTATATAAATTTCAGATTCCTCAAGGAAGAAGGAATGCTAAATCTTAACAGCAGCTGCAGTAATAATCATGATTCTTCTCAGATGCATAAGGAACATTACAACAATGTTTTAACTAAACAAGAACACCTAATTCCGATAAATGAAGAGGCTCTCCAAAAGAAATGGCAAATTATAATGGGACCAGACACTGAAATAATCATAGCACAACTAACCAAGTTTGGAGAAAAAGGGGGGTTGGGTATAAGTTTAGAGGGTACAGTAGACGTAGAAGATGGACAAGAAGTTAGACCGCATCACTACATCCGTTCAATTTTACCAGAGGGTCCTGTAGGCAGAAATGGGACTTTGAAATCAGGAGATGAATTATTAGAAGTCAACAATCATAAGCTACTAGGTATGAATCACCATGAAGTAGTCAGCATTCTCAAAGATCTACCTATCAATGTCTGCATGGTTTGTGGCAGAAATCCTCTAAATCTACTAGCTCAGCGTGACGACTCCATAACAGATCGGGGATCTCTGAATAGGAGTTTACAAAATTTGCTTCCAGTTTCTGACAGACTCGTCAAAGCCAAATCGGACGGATCTTTAGCAAGCAGTATCACAATTTTAGGATCTTCAGATCAAGCTTTCACAAAAATGAAGTCTCGGTCATTAGAACCACTGACTGGGCTTGCAATGTGGAGTTCCGAACCGCAGATAATCGAATTAGTAAAAGGCGAACGTGGCTTGGGCTTTTCAATTTTAGACTATCAGGATCCTATAGATCCAAATGATACTGTTATTGTGATAAGGAGTTTAGTGCCAGGTGGCGTAGCACAATTAGATGGTAGGCTTATTCCAGGTGATAGACTTTTATTCGTTAATGACACATTGTTAGAAAATGCTTCCCTTGATCAAGCTGTGCAAGCTCTTAAAGGTGCACCCAAAGGAATTGTTAGGATAGGCGTAGCTAAACCATTGCCAATTCCAGATACAATAGGTCATAATTCTCTTATTGATATTGACTCAAACAGATATGTAACTGCAAATTCTATACTAAATTAGCAGTTTTTATCTTGAAAAGTTTTTTTTAAGAATTTACTACTTCTTATAATAGACTATCACTTCACACAAATATGGTTGTTCTTAACTTCAAAAAATCCTTTATATATGGCTGAACTTTAAAATGTTCTTTAATTCTTACTTGATTCGAGCAAGCAGGCTCTCCTGTGTACATTTGGTCACAAGTTTATTTATTATGGAGATAAATCTATGAAGTTTGAGTTAAGTTAAGAAGAAGTAAACTCTTATAATTTGTGATCATGGAAGCTGTATTTTTTATTTTTTGCTTTGTGTTTAAGATCAAAATATCAAAATTTCTGGCTGTTTCAAGTAAAACAAAACAAACGTATTATTAAAGCATATAGAATAACAACGTACAAGTTACATTCTATTTCTTTAAGATATTAGCTGCATTATGTGACATTTATCAAACGCAAAATAAAGCCACTAATAATTTGTATGTTGGTGTTTTTAGGGTAGCGAAAAATTTACATTTCTTATCATTAGTTAAGTTTGAATCAATAATTAAATTTGGCATTACTCTACACTACATTGAGGACCTCCTATTTCTTATAACATATCATTCCATTTTAAATAAATTCGTTTTCAATTTTCCGGAAATTGAATGTGTTTTATAGTACATATTGTACAGCAATAATTTTTCAAGATGTCTGAAAAAGTCATAGTTTTGATATAGTTAGATCTGATAAAACTTAATAGATATAATATAACAAAGTTAGTTTATTCGTTGTATATTTCTGTATAATTTTTCAAGGTAGCGAAGAATCTCGTTAATTTTAACAGTGGATTAGAAGTGTAGAAAAAATACATATTATTGCCTTGAAAAAATGTACACTGAATTACTTTTAAGTATTTAACAAAGTTATATTTTATTTACATTTTTAAATTTTATTTTTATATATCAAAATTTCGTTATTATTCTAAATAATATTAATTAAATTTCTATTATCTTTTACAATGTTTTTTATCATTATTTAAAATAAACTTTAAAATATTAAACTATATATATAAATACGATAGGCATAATGGTAAAAAAATAAACACCAATATTAATTTTCCCAATACTTTTTTTGGCATTCACTTTTGCCTACATGAATAGCAATAAGTCTTTAAATCTGCAAGTATCTCACAAACTGTATAAAGTTCATTACCCGTTATAATGAAGAAGTAACATTTCCTGTCGCTTTTTATGCTTTTACAGCAGAGAACAAACAATAAATTCTTCGATACATATTCGCAACGTAGTATTAATTGCATACATCGTGTACGTGCAGTTATATTTTAATTGACCAAATTACTATGTTCCACATACGCATTTTGAATCTGACAATCTTCGAATAGTATAATTTTTTGTGTTTTATGATTTTTAATAGAACCATGTGTTAAGCTGCATACTGACTTTATGCACTGAGTAAATTTTTCAACCATGTGTGCAATCGTCTTAACTCAGTAATATGCGCATTCAAGGTAACGCGACTTGACTCTACATAATTATTAAATATGCCATACCTACCTGTATTTTTGTACAGCAGTTCGTAGTTTCGCAAAAGTTTATACATATAGAAGTCTAGTTTTAGGAATCGGAAATTTTCAGGCAGTTGTATTGGTTTTCCTCACTGTAATGTGAAAATAAACCAGAAATAATATATTCAATATTTCTTGCAGGTTCTAAATTTGGTGTTGAAACTAATTTTAATTTGAATTATCTTCTTTGTTGATCCATGGTTAAAAAAAATAGGAAAATATTGTAATTTAGAATACTGTCCGCTTGTTTAAAGTTACACCAAAAACTACTTTGAACGGTTCAACTGTGAAATAATTTTTATGTTTAATGTTTTACTTAAATATGAAAAATCATAAAGACGCATTATACCTTACAATACTATACAGAAGGTGTTCTGATCACATTACTCTTAATATTTTTACATAGAGACTAAACTCTATTCCTCGTCAATTTTTTCCTAATCTGCCTAACACCTAAGTTTTAGAATCTGTGTCAGTAATCATCCCTGCTCTCCCTAAATAGACTTCTAAACTATATTACGAATAGTACTTAGGTTTTACCAAAGAAAACCTTTGAACAAGTTGCTTTAACAATACCAGTGGGTGGGTATCAATATCGAAATGATAGACTACTTGAAGAGGTAGATTAGTTTGATGTAGATGAGGAAATGTTAGCTAGTATTCAAGTATTGTACGTCCTTTATCTAAAAAAATAGCGTTGGGTGAATTTCATATTCACATATGGCATTTATACAAATATTTCAAAAACTAGGTGTTATTGATGTGTCCATTGGTTTAATATTGTACCTACCAAGCGAATATAAAGAAGAGATCTTAAGAAAATGCAAGATATCTCGAGTATATTACTAATTAGTTAGTTGATAATTGAATTAACATTATATAAAAATAGTATAAATAAATGAAACATTACTATTACAGACATATGCCCAACTGCAAATTTTTATGATTTATATGTTAGATGTATGCTAATAGAACACCAATATAACGTAATATCGCACTCGTAATATTATTTAAAAAACTGCATTATGCATTTTATATGACGGCCTAAATATTTTCTTTCAATTTATTTATAATGTAGACAATTAATAGCGAATTTGCAACGGCAAAAATTTAATAAGCCATCATATAAAAGGGAGACTTAAATATTTGTAAATATTGTAAAATTAAATCTAAATAAGATATATTATGAATCCGAAGCTACTGTTTAGATGTACATGATGTCTCAATAATACTGGATGCCCCAGTTTTATTACATGTTATTTTTATAGAAACCGATTTGGAATTACTTTGTAAACATTTAAAAGATTTAAAAACCCAATGTGAGGTACTTATGCAATGGATTGTAGTGCAATTTGTGTTTTAAATTAACTTATATTAAGTTATTAATTACATCACATATTGTAAGATAAATGTTATCCTTACATTCACTATATTATTAGATTTAAAATATAAAATTGATGGTTTTTATTACATATTTTATTTTATCGAAACAGGTATTAAGTTGCCTATCGGATTTTTGGATCTTTTATTTTCGTATGAATAAGTTTATATAGATGAATAAAGTCATTGTTATTAGTATTATTATTATTATGATTAGAAATTTTAAATAAAAGAATTTCATTTGAAGAGTGAATTACCATAAACAATTCATTTCTTTATTTATACCAATTATCGAATTGTTTTAAGATTTTATTTCCCTAATACGCTATATTAGTGATGACGAAATATGTTTTCCACTGACAATTACAGTGACTTATAAATAGAGGTTCATTAATATTTAATTTCTATTATTTACAAGATTGTATTCATTTAAACACTAAAAATAAAATTGGTTAAGTGCATACATCATTTTAAACTATTTTTGTACCACCTGCTAACAATATTAAAAAGAAAACTATGTCAAATTGAATGATACATCCGATGTGAGCTTGTGGAATTCTGTACCATACTGTAAAAAGTGATTTTTTGGTTGTTTTTCCTAGATTTTCACCTCGTTTGATGATTATTTAAATTCGCAGAATAATATATTTAATTATGTTCTCGAACCTTGTAATTTTTACCACACGTAACCAATACGTCTAGAGCCTTTATTTATTACATTCACATTTGAATCTAATCCTCAGTCACGTGATCAAAAATTCACATCTCTGTTGCATCCGATGTAGATAAACAAACGCAGCATAATATAGCGTATGAAGGTCGATATATATTATTGGGACATTCTGTATGTTCTCGGAGGGTTGTCCCTACCTGTTAGTTAATTTAATATCTACACTACTCGACTAAAAAAAGTGATTAGTTAACTTTAGGATTATTTAAATACTCTTGACAATAAATTTGTTTGAAACTGGTTTTTTTGTTTCATTTATTAATGTTTTGAAAATGTTGATTCGATATATCTGATTGTGGATAAAGGTACATACCTAAAGAGTGATCTACAAAAAGTGGCAAAAAGAAGAATAATAGAACGTTCTGACATGCGTGAATTTTTCCAAGGCCTAATTTAGAAACTTTTTGTGGCGCTCATTACATTCATTGTGGAAAGTTACTAAAAAATAAAAAGAACTTTAATTACTTTATCAATGATGTGTCATACTTGATACTCTCACTATTTAAATTGTATTGGGTAGAGTGACGTAGGAATGACGTATGACAGTTGAGGATATGATAGAAAGATGCCCTTTAATCAACATTTGACGGATCCGAGTCTTTGTCTAAAATGTTGACGTAGTTTCTGATAATTCGTCTGGCCACTCTGTATATTTTAAAATAAAAAATATTTTCTGAACACCCGTAGTAAACTTTGATAATTAAAAATTCCGCTACGTATTTTTGGACAGTTGAAATACTGCTTATGAATATCAAAAACATACATAAATAGTCCCTACTGTTCAACTAAGTATAGGTTTTGGTTTATCCGCGTAAATAGTTTGACAGGGATGTTTTTATACTTGGAATAATTCGCATTTTTTGTTCATTTAATGAAAGTTGCAACAAAAATATGTCTATAACTAGCGATAGCAACATAGAATCTACTTTCTACACCAGAGGTGCTCAAGCGGTCGATCATAAAATCTTTTCCGGTCTAGTTTGGTGCAAGGGCGACTCCAGGACGAATTTTCCGAGGGGGGGGGGGGGGCATAGCCATTCCCCTTTTAGCATTTTTTTTAAATAAAAAGCTTATAAATTGTAAGAATTTTCATCTCGGTAAAGGGGGGAAGGGCATGGCTCCCAAAGCTCGCCCCTGGAGCCACTCTTGGTTTGGTGACTAAACCTACATTAAATAATTAGCTACTCTTTATTAAAAGATCCCAACAAACAATGAATTGCCGGGATATTGCTGGACTTTTGCTGTAATTGAAGGGGAAATGAATGCGACAGCATTATATTGGTTGATGATGGCCTTATGAAGTAACTGTATTAGGTAAAAGTATAGTAAAAGTCAACATGCTTTTAACTGCCGCAGACCCATCCCCATTAGTCCAGGAGGGCTCCGTCCCGCGTTCATATATGGAAACACCAATGATCGCTTGTGTAATAATTGGCATGGTTATTGGAAAATATAAAGAATTTACCAAAAATTTTAAAAAAGAATTTTTAATGTTTTAAATTAATATTCAAAAGAAAACATGTAGGTTTTGTAAAAAATCTGATGTGTCCAACACATGACTTTCCTATCTAGTTATTATAGGCTTTTTCCGGTTATTTTGTACAACCTATTGCAGCACCTCTATAAATGTTTAGAGGATAAACTTAATATATACATTTTCCACATACATATACCTCGAAAACATTTTTCTATAGATATTCATTGAAAACGAAAATATTGAAAAATTTAAATTTAGCACTTTTTCTCCAATTTTTGCATTACGGTCCATTTTAGAAAAATCATGTATAAACAAAAATTATAGAGATCGATATCGCAAACAACTTTTAGTTTAACAATTTTCTTAAAAATCAGAATTTTGCACATTTTGTCAAATTTCTCGAATACGGGCCATTTCAGGAAAATTTGACACAAAGCAAAAATTATAGATAATAATATTAGAAGTAACTTTTATTTGAACAATTTTCTTCTCCAAACATAAATAATACATATATTCCATAAAATATAAAAACGGCCTCCCATAAAGTACCCCCAGATGTTCCGACTTTGTCCAAAATCTAATCATTTCACGTCAGGCGGAAATAAAACTTAAGTTTAAAATTTAATGTTTTTTCCTCTATCCGTTTTTGAGTTTTCTTCAAAATTCGAAATTTACACATTTTCTCAAATATCTCGAATACGGTCCATTTTAGAGGAATTATGTATAAAATAAAAATTATACAGAATTATATTACAAACAACTTTATTTGAACAATTTTTATAAAAAAAATTTTTTTTACATTTTATCAAATTTCTCGAATACGGACCATTTTAGGAAAATTTTGTACAGAACAAAAAATATTGACAATAATATTGGAAGTAACTTTTATAAGAAGAATTTTCTTCTCCAAACGTAAATAACATACATTCCATAAAATATAAAAATGACCACCTATAAAGTCCCCCCAGATGTTCCTTTTAAACACTCTTGCAAAGATAACAGGACATGTTCTGTTTTTGACTTTTTTTCTCAAAATTTTGACTTTTTTCTTAAAACTTTGACTTTTTTCTTCAAAATTTTGACTTTCTTTTCTCCAAATTTTGCCCCTTTTTTCAAAATTTTGACTTTCATTCTCTGAAAACTTTGAATTTATTTCTCTCAAAACTTTGACTTTATTTTCTCAAAATTTTGAATTTTTTTTTGCAAAATTTTAACTTTTTTAAAACTAAATTATTTTTTTGTGGAACTAATACGTCGTCGTAAAAATCTGATGAAAATGAAAAACTAAAATATTTATTCCAAATGAAATAAAAACCTTTAATCTACAAAGTAGTAGAGGACCAAAAATATTTAATGACAAAGTAAATAATTCACTATAAATTGCTTCTTATTATTTTGTAAATAGAAATAGCACTATATTCTCTTTTAATTCATAATCTATCAGATTTAAGCATTTGGATTGAGCCATAATTGCCCAGTGACATAAATAGATTAATTTTTCGCTAATTTTGTAACTAGTCGTAGAAATAATAGGGCATGTAACTCTCTTGTAATCGCTATTAATACACACTCATGAAGCACCCACCTTCGTACTTCAAGCTCGTGTATTAATAGCTCCCATTATTTACACATGATCGTTGCATAATGGGCTTATACCTTGGTTCCCAGATGATATGAAATATTAGATGATTATATTTTAACTAGTCCGCAATGATTTGATGACTTTTCAATGTCAAATTTTAATTATAAACATGAAATATTAAATTAAAAATATTTTAAATTGCTTTCTCGAAATAAAGGACGCCTCGCATATATGGAAAAATATTGCATTTTTGTGGGTAGTGATGAGTGTCGCAATAAGGGCTTGGGTCATAGGCTAGCTAGAGAGAGTAAGCAGGGCAGAGTTAATAGCAGTAAATCTGTATAGTTTTGGTGCAATTGCAGCGGCAGACGACAGGAGCAGAGCAACGCATTGCCGCGATCGTTAGGAAAATCGTAGTTTTGGCGTTCAGCGGCGTCAAAACATGTGGGGTTAAGGGGGATAACCAAAAGTAATATAACGGAAAAATGTAAATAAAATATATTTTTCTCCGATTGATATTAAATGTCACTTTTAGTGCCTATGCATTAAAAATCATTTTTACTGCCTAGGCATTAAAAATTTACTCTTTAATATTTTCTCTTTTGAAGTCTGGCTCTTCATGAATATCCGGCCAATAAAGTTATTCTATTAAATTAACTACAATATTACTTTAAGTATATTTGTATAAGAATTAAAGGTATATAGTTATAAAATATTAAAATTGAGTGAATTATATCCGTTATACCTAAAAGAGGTTTTTATGTTGGTTCCATTTTTTTAAACACACTGTATATAAGTAATCGGAGAAAAAATTATAAGTATGTTTCACATGACAGAGAAATAGATTTACTGCCTTGGTTAGTTTCATTACCTCTGCCTAGTTAAACAAATAACTATTTTTAGTTAGTTACTTGCTGCTTATAATACTGAATGGCACGTAAATGTTTTTTTTTTGAATTCCTTTTAACAATTATCAAAATAAATACTTTCGAAGGTTTACAAAAATTCAAGATTTCTTCGCCCTAAGATTTGTTATAATTGAAATTTACTGAAAATTTCACAAACATCAGACTAAAAATAAAGGTTTAAAAGGAATTAGGAATTTTCAAGATGTTCGGTTTGCTATTAACGCATTTAAAAATAAGGTATACAAACAACCTAACTCCAGAAGAATGTGCTTCAATTACCATCAGGGCCGCCGAGAGCCAGGTTGGGCCCCGCGACAACAATTTCATAAAAAAATTAACCTCTTCCAATATCACATTTCTAAAAAAAAAAAAAAAGTCTTCAAGCAAAAACTAAAAACTTCTCTTTGTGAAATCTCTGAAGAAAAAAAGTCCTCCCTTTCGTGCTTCTCGTGGTGAACTTCTAAAAAAAATAAAAAAAAGTCCTCACCTAAAGCTGCCGGGCCCCCCTTATGCCTCTGCCGGGCCCTGGGAATTAGTCCCGGCTACCCCCTCTTGTCGGCCCTGATTACCATTACCAACTACTTTGTTAAAAGTACTTCAAATACCAAGCATAGGTATTTGAAAAATAAAGCGTCAAGTACCAAATACTTATTGAAAAGTACCATCGTGCAATCAAATATGATCAAATATAAATATTTTGAAGCATGTTTTCAAAAATATAAAATACGTTCTTATTTTTTACTTTTTGTGTGACAGTTTTTCGAAAAAACGCTTAAAAATTGCTGTCTTTCCAACTTATCTCCAAAAGTAACCCCAGAAAAACAGAATGGATTTAATTTAAGAAATTGAAGACGTCTCTGCAAGCCACACTGCGTTTTACTCCTGAAGACGTCTCTGCTGCAATGCCTTGGCCGATAAGAACGGTTTTCCATCTAATATCTACGTCATAGGCGTCATTCACTTCTTCTATACTTCTCATTGGTCATCCATATCCGGCAATCGCCCTCATTGGTTAAAAACACCGGCGTAAGGCACTTCCTAACTGGTCAAAGTTGAGCGTCACTCTCAATCTAGCTGAATAACTTCTCTTCCGGTAGAGCTTTAGTACCTCTCAAACACAACACATCGTTCTGCGGTGTACACGATGGCTTGAGTGCTTAAGTAACAAATTTCTGAAGAAAAGTCTGTATATAGTGTAAAAAGTATGTAGTTTGTAAATGAATCATGTAATAAAATTAACATAGTTTTTCAATAGTGTTTTAAAATAAAGTGCAAATTAATACGACTTGTGGTGTATGTGCTTGCAATCTTGCATGAACGTGTTTGATTCTTCACCAATATAAATACGAATGTCAAGGATAATCGTTACTCAAAAGTAAAGTGAATCGATATTAGTATTGGCCAGTGACTGAATTTGTTTCCAGAATTTCGAAAAGAAAAGTAAAGTGAATCGATATTAGCGATTGCCAGTGTCGGTTTTAAAAACTGTTCTGCACAAATCTTCATTTGACATACTCAAAAGAATTCCTTTGAGTAACAACACTGTACAAAGACGTATTGATGAAATGAGCTCTGATGTTGAAAGTTTCTTGTCCGATTATCTACGAACAACTCATTTTCCTATTCAACTGGACGAGTCAACTTTACCTGGCAATGAAGCATTATTATTGGCATATGTTCGATATGTTATGGGCGAAGAAATTCATGAAGAGCTACTATTCGCGAAAACTTTGAAGACGGACACTAAAGGTGAATCAATATTTAATGTTTTGAGTGATTTAAAAAAAATCGATTCCATTCACAAACGTTATTTCGGTGGCAACAGATGGAGCTCCTGTCACGACGGTTATAACAATAATAATAGTGTAATAATTTATATATTTAAATTTAAATAAATACTTACAACACAAGGAAATATTCTATATTTCTTTTTACCACTCCGAATGGGACATTTTCTAAATAAAATTTGGGAGAATTGATTGGTTTTTTTTCGAGATTTAGACATTGGAAGTGATGTAGCTGTATTATTTTAAAAGTATACCTACACCCGAAAGGTTTTAATACTCCAACCTATTTTACAAAGTGCGTCAAATATAAAATAGTTATTTTTAAAAATAGGTAATTGAAGCATGATTGAAGACTTGAAAGTGCTTCAAGCACTTTATTGCAGTACTTTGGAAAAAATGCTTTATTCAGCTCTGAACGGAATTAATAAAATAGTTTTTGAAACAGTTTTGTATAAGAATTAAGCGATCCTCTGCGAAAATTTTGTAGTACGTCTGTGGTAGACGGCGCTGAAAATTCGCGGCGTCTCGCGTCGCCGCAGAGAGTTCGACGTCGAGACCAGAAGGAGGAAATAGAAAAGCACATGCCTTCTGCCTTCAACCAAAGCCAACATGTATTTGCCACGGCCTAACCAGCATACCGTCGGCGTCGCAACGCTCCGAAATCTAAATATAAGCGCCGTGGCGACTCAACGGACGTCCCACACTTATTAATAGCAATCCGTAAGTGAATCTCGGGAGTTTGGTGTTTCTCTTTCCTTAGGTCAACGACGATTACAGTCATTTGAGTCGCTATAAATCGAAAACTATGGTGTAGTTCGCACGCTGGAAGCAATCATTGTGATAGTCGTTGTCTTGAGCGAAAGAGAAAGTGGTGACGATTTTTTTTTCGTTTTCGAGTGACCAAAAAGTTTTTTGTGAGTGAACTTGAGAACAAATTAAGCCTCTATGATGGGAAGACTCTCGCATTCGGCCGCTATTCGGTGACGGTGACGTAATTGTGAGGAATGTTCATCCCTGACACGCTGCGCAGCTGCATGGTGGAACCCGATGTATCCTCATATCTGCAGACGCCGTCCTCGGGACAGGTGCCTACCCGCTGCTATCCTTCCCTCTTCTCCCCCACGCCGCAATCCGCGATGCGTGATATGTAATTAACCTGATTAACATGAGTGTTATTATGTTCTGTATACTGTTATTCACTGTTCAGTTTCTTGGCTCAGTCGGTTTTCCTCACAACTGCATGCTCTATCTCACTGAAAACTAGATTCATTATTTTTATTCTCCAGAAAATACCGCGATCCTCAAAAACAAATTAAGATACTTAAACTAACGTTTGTATCGTCAAAACACACTGCAAATAGAATTTGAATCTCACAAATATTACTTATTATATCTGTGCTTTGTGAACGCATCTTACAGCAATTAAGTCATAAATTAAAAGGATCCAAAAACAGTTAACGGCTGTGTGCACTTAGCTTAGATTAGCAATTAAAAACTTGTATTTCGTATGAGTATAAATATAGTTACAATTTTTAAAAAATAGCTCTTAGTACAATAACAAGAAAAAGGAACCCATGCTAACAACACTAACTAGGCCAGCATCTTTTCGCATTTCTAATGGAGGAACCCTAAAGCTAAGCGAAGGAATTTATTCGAAATCAACGCTTCCAGCATAAATTCAATTTATGATTACACTCACTCAATGCATTGGATTCACATTCCTTCTTTAACAATTTTTTTTTAACTTCGAATTTATGCTAGAGCATTGATTTCGTTAGCATTCATTCCACCACACAAGCTTAGCTCTAGGGTTCTTCCTTTAGGAATGCAAAAGAATGCTGGCCTAATCAAAGTTGTTAACATCGTCTTCTTTTTCTTTTTAAAATTGTAACATTTTCAAAAATATTTTTTATCTATTATTGTAGATACTTAATCCCAAAAGTGCTAAAAGTCATATGCGAAAATAATTTTTTTTTAGTATAGCATATAAGCAATTTATTTATAACTTGTTTCACCCTGTTTTATACCTCAACCCGATTCATTCTAAAACAGGCTTTATAATTTGATTTAAAATATTTTGATCTTAATTTGAATTTTTATATTTGTTAGATACTTTTTCACATTATATTCATTTTATAGCACTAATTTTTAATAGAAATTTAGATATATTAATAAATAAAATACAATAGCTCAATGATTAAAAAACAACTCTTTCATATAAAAAATACGACAGTAATTTTGCTTCAAACTCAGCTTCAATCAATATTTTTCTTTTATATAAAAGACGTAATTGAACAAAACGATTGACGCCAGAACAAAGATATGAAGCAAGATGTTAGGCAGGGTATCAAAGGACAAGGGGAACTGGTATAAGAATTTATGAAGTTTCGCCTAAATCTCGGCTGAAACTCCTCTCTGTGTTCCAAGCCAAGATCCAAGCAATTGCTGGATATCGGAAAGAGAACCTAGATCGAAAATGGTTTGGTAAACCTATCTAGGTATATGGTCTCAGTTATTCAGGCAGCTTTATAAAGAATAAAAGTATGAAACTGGGAATAAAGAAGGGTGGAGACAAAATGTCAATCAAGGTTAGACCTTCAAGGTCTATCGTTATGTATATGTATAATTCTACAACAAATATACTGATTGCATGCACCATTTATGTTGCCAAAATTCGAAACGCTATGAAGAAAAAACGACGTGGGAAAATGAAAAAGGTGAGCAACGGTTGCAATTTATCAAGTGGCTTTTCAAATGGAGCCCACCCACTGTATTCTAAGGATCTGGCCTCCAGCTGCTGCAGAATAAGAGTATACCTACAAACTATTTTAACTAAGTCTGTTGTAAATAAACAATTAAGTATAATTCTATGAGCTGTAAACCTTAAATAACCTCATGATGAATCAAATTTCAGTGACGATAGCTTTGCAGTTTGCTGATTGGGCTGACTGCGGCTTTCGATGTTGAAATGCTATTTTGATGTTTTAACTGATTGTTGTTTCTGTTGAATGAATTGTTTTGTTGTCTTTTGTCTCCTTTATGCACCAACTTATTTATAATTAATACTTATGCAGTATTTCTTGTGTGCTCTCTGCCCATTCTCTTTCTCTTCTCTAATACTATTTATAAATGTTGAATCACCAACCCGAAATGACGAATTTGTATCCTCTTAGAATTATGTTTAACCGACTCTGGGTCAAGTTCATAGATTTTAAGATACCACTAGTGAGTTTAAAGTAGGCACCTTTTGGAAGATTTATATTTTCACGATCAGGTGTTTTAAATTTAAAATTTTGGTGGAGGATCACAAAAGTTTATTTTTTTAACTCAGCCAGTTTAATTATTTTATTAAAGCATTAAAATTTAAGAGTTTGGCACAAAGTAACGTAAAACCTAAAGAAATTTCCATTAGACTATCTTCTTATATGCAAAATGTATTGTCATCCTTTATGTTTGGCAGTATGAAGATTTGATCATCTATTTTAGACCCTATAGTTGGTGACAAACCTACAAACCACTGGAAAATATTGGACTGTATGTCTGGAGACTAGCAGTCTTCTGCAAAGCTATAGATTGAGAGTAGTTCGTTGATAAGTTTTACGTAGGTCCAAAAATGTAAAATTATTTTAAAAAATAAGATAGTTGAAAAATTAGTATAAAATTTATAGCAATAAAACACCATTTAATTTTTCATTTATTGAACTTTTGTGATTCCATCGTAGAATATTTTACACTAAACGTAAATTACATTATTACTTTATAAACATGTAAATATTGTTTAAGACATATCAAAAAATCTATGAATTTGACCTTAAGGAGATGATATACTTTATTCGTCAGTGTTATAGGTATGCCATGCAAGGGGTGTCACTCCGACTTAAAATATCTAGTCTTCCCTAATTCGTCAATAAAGATAATATAGTTTTTAAAATCAAAATATTTAGTAATATTTAAACTACTAGTGCTTTTATAAGGTGTTTCACAAAAAATATCGTAATATAGTCGTACCTACCTATATCTGTATCTATAATGTGTGGAGGGTGGTTTAACCTACGGCATTTAGGCCTCACTAGGTCCATTGTACATCCTCCTAAGTAGATAGGCACCTCCTAGCTCGTGAGCCAGCCTACAGATTTGATGTAGTTGACAACGTCGCCAAGAGGTACTTCTATTATATCGGCCAGTGTTAGCCAATACTCACCGAACACAAATCTTTTAATAAACGAGAGAATCAAGCAATCGTAGAGGATGTGTTTCATGGTCTCAGCTTCTTGATCGCACCACCTACAAAGTGCTGATTCTGACAGCCCCTTGATATTAAGATGTTTCCGTACTTGGCAATGACCAGTCAGAATGCCTGTGATCAGACGCAGATTCTGTCTATTCATAGTCAAGTATTTGTTTGCTGTAGTACTGTCAGGATAACTTAAAAGTTCCCTGGCAAGTCTGCAGCTTCTTGTTTCATCCCATCTTTCCTTGAATTTCACAAGGGAATGTTATTTAATTAGGTTTGTCACTACCGAAGGGTCAGGTCCTAAAATTATTTGATTGGCTGCCTTCTTGTCTAGTGAATCAACAAGACAGTTATCTTTCGATGTGGCGTGATCTTTGACAAACATTGTTAATAGTTACTTCGGCCAAAGCTTCGTGGCATTCTAGTACTAACCCTGAGTAAATTCGTGGTCTGTCCAGAGTAGTGCTTGTCTGCTATCTGTATTGATGAGCATGTTCCTTCCAGTGGTAATATTTCTGGTGATTTGTTTTGCTGCTATGAGCTCGGTTTGAACTACAATGGCACTACTGTTCACAGCCAATTTTAGGTTTAGGGATCCGAATATATTCCACATTCTGAGCCGTGTTTTGTTTTAGAACCATCCGTTGGTGTAGATACGAATCGTACTTGCCACTTCCGGCTCTTCTGTTTGTTCTATTATAACTTTATATGGCTTATGAAAGATATATTTCGGTAATATAAAGTCCATGTTCGCTTGAAGCAGTATTCGACTCACCAGATCCTACATCAGGTTTTATTCCAACCGTGTGGAGACGTGTCATTGTCATCAGAGTGGTCCTTGCACCACTGTTCTATAATTTTGAGATCTACTTGCATTTTATGGCAGAGAATGTTCTCAAAATTCCCTGTTTGCAGAATGACCTATTTGCAGAATACGCTATTGTGTATGAAGCGGCTGATGATGGTGTCAAGGGCCATGTTCTACAGTAGGGGTGATAACACCCCTCTCTTATATACTCATCTTCTACACTTATGTTTACTGCTCGCTTTGAGAGCATGTTATGTATCCACCCACTAACCATCTGGAGAAAATTCTTGTTGGTTAGTAAGTGTATTATGTCTAGATGCTCCCCTATTAATTCTCTTTAACGTATGCGCTTTTCCCAATTAGGAGAAATTAAATATTTTTCCCTGGACCTACCTCTGTTAGGTTTCAGTTTATTAAACAAATAATGATTTCAAATAAGTATGTAGAGTTTTTAAAAATATGAAACTTTCAGTAAAGATATACATTGTAAGAATTAAAAAATGTATTAGAATGTAAAGAGTTTCCTTATTATATCGACAATAGTTTTTTAGAGTCTGGTTGCCATTACTACCATTCAGATAAAATATGACAACCCAGTATATTCTAATACAAATTTTTTAAGACCTATAATACACCTATAGTAAGTACTTTAAATGTCTATCTTTCTATCTGAAATAACGTCATCTCGTCCCCACACATGGGTGCCGTTCAAAAAATGTCCAGGGAAGGGCAAGTCTTATAGGCAGGGTCAAAACGACACAAGCTATAGTCGAAAGCCATGACAAAAAAATGAAAATTCACAAATCCAGGGGTCAGACACCTCCCTTTTCCCTCGTGTGGAGGTACCCATGTCCCCACATCTGGCTTTCGTCGAAAACCATGGTTAATTTTCATTACGCTAGTTACTCGTAATTTTATCATTATATTGTTTATTAATAAATTATTATAAAAAGCACTGACGTATATCCAAGGGTTTAGCGAACAATTTTTGTACCAAAAAAGTATATCATCTCTTTCTAGTGTATTTAAAATAAGTTTGAGCTACTGTTATCAGAAATTATAAGTTCTATAATGAATTAGGTATCTTCTATTTTCTTTCTGCTGCTCAAGCTTATTTTGAAAGTAATTTATCTAAACAAATGCCTTGAAAGTATAATTTGTAAAAAATAAATACGAAAAGTTTTAATCTGGTATTACTGAACAAGTCTGTTTGTAAATTTTAAAATGATTCACAATTTTGGCCATTTATATAAAAAATACACCACGCTGGATACTACATACAACACGATGTTTAATAAATAATTAGGTATAAATATATTTTATTTTCTGGTTAAAATTTAAACAATACACTAAACTTACTCTACCTATTCAAAATCATACAAAAATGATGATTGATTTACTGGTCTAATATCTGTTTTTTGGCATGAAGAATATCAAGCATGTTGATTTTGATGTTTTATATTATTACAAATGTAATTCGAATATGTGGGCATGAAGTATACTATCGATTAATTGTGTGAATAAAAAATAAAATGTTTTAGATACTATGTAGGTATGTGTCTCTTATAATTGCTTAAATACAGATTAATAATCATAGAAAAGTTTAAGAGGTGATTTATATATCTTAATGTAAGAAAAAAGCTCTAGTCTAAACTACTTAGATCTGATACTTTAATAAGGAACATCAAAGCATATAATGGAATATAATTATATGTATGTTCATGAGGGAGATGGTAATATGTAAGTGATTTGCATAATATTACAGCCAGACGCAAAAAACACTGAAAAAACTTTCATTACGAATTGCCTATAAACCCGTTACTAGACAGGAAGAAATCTGTAGGCGTAAGATCTGGTCAAGGAGGTGGCCAGATTTCTCCAAAGCTGCAATTTATATGTCAGAACAATTCTTTCACTCAACATGGCGACCATTCCATTGTTAACAATCAATCTATCCATAACGTCTTTATCCAATTCTCGTTGAAGAGGGCCCTCTTCCTAGTCTTATTTCACCTTATTTTATATTGTATCTCTTCTGACGTCCACCATGATGCTGGATTTATTTCGGCAATCAAATTAGAAAATTAATTTAACTTAAAAGTCTTATACCAGACGACACAACCCATTTTACAATTTTCTTAAATTTCATCAGTTAAAACCACGCGTTTACATTTTTTGTTTTCCAGATTTATACATACATGTGGGAAGATGTTTTTGTTGGAAGGTCGTGCTAATTTTTCCACTGCATGTCATGTTTTTTCATTAATATTCCACGGTTGACTTAAGTACCGTACATCTTGACTGCTTTTAATGAAAATAACTTTGTTTTTTTTTTAACAAAGGGTTTGAAATTTTCTAAGTTTGGGTGATTTGGAAAAACTTACAGAAGAAAAGAGTTTTGAAATCGAGATGTTTTCAATGTCAAAAAGAGCGGTCTTATCGTACATAATGTGAGATGAAAAGCTCTGAAAATCAGAAGATTTTAAAGTATACATTGATGTTCTAAATGACAAACTAATAAATCTATTTAGTGTTGTGGTGTTTATTTTGTTTGGTAATTTGCATGATTGAGGTTTAGAGATATTTCATTAAACCATATTCACGACTTTATAAGTGATAGCCTCTAGATCCTCACTAACAGTAAATGTTAAAATTTATTTTCTACAATACTAGTTTCTTTATAGACTTAGAAACAATGGATAGACACTGTCTTGTATATTGTATTGATTTGTTTATGAAATATTTTGATATAAGTAGATGAACTTATAATGCAAGACAAAAAAATACGTAGAACATAGAAAAATGTATCTTTTTACAAGCATTACAACGTTTTTCTGGCTTTTTTTTTAAATTATGGTATGTGACATCACTTCTAAAATATATAAATATCTGTTTATCCTACCTATACAGATCTAAAGATATCTTTCTAAACACAGCTAGTCTGCATCTTTGTTTGCTAAATACCATCTAAATCAATGTTGTCAAGTTAGAAACCAGCTTACACGACAAACCATACTTATTCTGAAATGAATGAATTATAATGGAATAAACTTTAGGACCAGTGTAATGTAATTTAAACGTTGACAAAATAATATGTTAAAATGATTGCTATATTTTTAGAACATACCTAACTGTCTTAAATGCACGACTTGAACAGGTGTATGTACTTTTAACTCTTATATTTAAAAATATGTGTCTACTGTAATCATATATCAATGTAGTATATTAAACATTTATTCAAAATAAACTTATAATACCTAAGGATTCCTATTTGGTCGATAGGCATGTTAAATTATGTGACCTTATCAGATTGACAATGTTGTGATTGTTACCGCATTTTAAATTATTGTCTATCAATCCAAAAAAAACTGAAATATTTACTCTTGTAAAAGTAACTTAAAAAATTATGCATTCAAGTCATTTGTTTGATTGCTCCTAGAGACCTAAATGTCGGTAGTCATTAATTTTATCTTCACAGACACACTAAAAAAACAGTAATTTTTTGAAGAATCTTTTTCTTGCAGGACGAATTCCATCCTTTCATCGAGGCACTCCTACCTTTCGTTAAATCTTTCTCTTACACATGGTTCAACCTGCAAGCTGCCAAAAGGAAATATTACAAAAAACATGAAAAACGAATGTCCCTGGAGGAGGAGAGACAGTGCAAGGAAGCTCTTCAGGTTTGTCGATAATTAATAACAAAACGCATATTCTTTATATCCTAAACAAAGTTTTAAAATTACAAAAATAGGAAATTACTACTGAAATAAAAACAGTAAAATATTTTATTTGATTTTAACTCATTGTGAGCAATGGAAAAGTCATCTCACTCACTCTGATTTTTATTTCCAATATTTAAAAAAATTGTGAATTAAGTAATGGCTCAATACTCAATTCGCAAATTTATTTGGAACCGTTATCTGTTTTTAGTCACTCTTCAAAAATAAGTTTGGTTGCTCGTACATGATATCCAGTTGTTGCATTGAAAAGAGCATGAAAAATAGGACAGATTTAACTGGATAACTCAAAATGCATGCACTAAGGGGGCGTATATATTTGAAATATTGGTTATGACGTAGCGGTTTCTTCTTATTTTAATCAGACTCTACAATTGTCACCACGTAGTATATAGCAGGAACATACGTTGGAAAGGCTTTTGGTAGGTAGAGAGGTGGTAAGCGTCAAACCCAGTCGGAGGACTACTCACAGTAATGTTTGTTCGCCATTGTCGTATCATAGAATAAAAATAATATCAAACATTTTAAATTATTAGCGACGGAATCGGGCGAACGTATTTATTTATGGGCTCCAAATAATTATTTAAACATGTAATAATATCCTAAATCATAATTTTACAGCTACTCACAATTTATTAAACTATTTACGTGAAAATTTTATTAGCATCTATAAAATAATTTTCTACGCAAATGTTTTGCGTTCACTTCGGTTAGCTCCGCGGCAAAACTGTCAAATCCTGTGTATGAAGTGGGAGAATTGGCAAAAGCCTTTCCAACTTCTGTCCCTGCTATACATTTCAGTAGTTGTTAATATAAGAAGTGGTTTTTACCAAATACGATTTATATCAACACCAACGGTTATAAAATAAAACAAGCCTCAGGATGTGGAATATATTCCAGATCCTTAAATGTAAACATAAAATGGGCTATGAGCATTAATGCCAATTTAGCTCAAACTGAGCTAATAGGGATTCTCATAGTACTAAAAGAAATTCCCAGAAACAATATCTGTGGAAGAAACATGCTCATTTATACAGATAGCAGACAAACAATTACCCTGGACAGATCACAAATTTACTCAGGGTTGGTACTAGAAAGTCATCAAGCCTTGGTCATCGATGTGGTCACCTTAAGATAGATCAAAGGCTACGTCAGATCGGAAGGTAACCGTCTTGCCGATTCACTAACCAAGAAGGCAGCAAACTAAATACTTTTTGGACCTGATCCATTCATTGGACTAACAACAGCGGTCGTGATAAACCTAATTAAAGAACATTACTTTGTGATATTCAAGGAAAGTTAGAATAAAACAAGAAGCTGTGCAGTTGACTGGAAGCTCTAATAAGCTACCCTGACAACACTGCAGACAACAAATACTTGACGAAGACTTACCAGAAACTGCGCCTAATCACAGGCATTTTTTTTTCTCCTGGGCTCGTCTGACTATGTCTCCGAATAATACTGAAGCCTATTGGCTTATTGTGTTTTACCCCATGTTAGTTCATAGCACCCACTCTGTCACCTTTGTACCTTGTACAAGTTTGTACAGATCCTTGGGTGAGTGGGTTCTATACGTTGTTGGATCAACCTGGGGTTGTCCAAAAAGGGCCTGTCTTTTGCGATCTAGAGCTTCGCATTCGCACAGTATGTGTTTGGCCGTTTTTGGTTTCTTGTGACATAGTCGGCACATGAGTTCCCCATTGTATATGCCAATTTTGTTCACGTGTCCCTTTACTGGGGCGTGCCCAGCCATGAACCCTGTTATCACTTTCAACTGGTTCCTATTCATAAAGATTAGTTCTCCAGTTCTTTTGGGACATGGTCTGCCTATGAAGGCTTTTCCATGTACCTGTTTTGGGGTGCTTCCCCAATAGTTAATATTTTGTTCCCGAATCCAGTCGTTTAGGAAACCCCGGACTGTACTTTTTGGTACTCCTGGGTTTGTGCCTGGTTCCGGTGTTTCTTATGACCCTCTTTTTGCAAGTTCGTCAGCTTTTTCGTTGCCTTCGATCCCCGGTCTGCCAGTGTTCTTAATTCTTCGATGCATTCCAATACCAGCCTCGACGTAACTTTCAGACTCATTATGATTTTAAGTGCCGCTTGGCTGTCTGATATTTTTTTTGAATATGCTGATTTTCGACAGCTCTTTCATTGTTCGTTTTTGCACATTGAAAAATTGCGTATACCTCGGCCTGAAATACCGAGGAATGTATTCCTATAGCATAGCTATGGTTAGTATCAGGGTTTTTGGAGAATACTCCCGCCCCAGTGCCTTCCGCAGTCTTAGACCCGTCTGTATACCAGGTTCGTTCATGTCGTTGGGCATTGGGCTCCCTTATGGTGATCTCCGCTCTTTCCTGTATTAAAACCTCAAATGGGGTATTAAAAGAGTACCTCTTGGTTATGTGGTCTGATCTCATGTCTAGCACGTCTCCTGTCACTAACCTTGAGATACTCATGTGACCTGGCCTAATGTCAAGATTTCCCAGTGTATTCCCTAATATGTAAGCACCTAATCTTGCCTCCCCTTGTATCACATAGTGAAGAGGTGGGAGTCCTATTAGTGCTTCCATTGCAGCAGTGGGGGTTGTTTTCATTGCCCCCGTTATTCCGAGGCAGGCAAGTCTTTGTACCTTGCTTAGCCTTGTTGTTGTTTTCCTTTGCTGTGTCTATGGCCACCACGCCAAAGCTGCGTATGTTATTATCGGTCTCACCACCATGTTATAAAGCCAATATACCATGTCTGATTTTAACCCAAATTTTTTCCAAAGGATCGCCTTGCCATCATTAACGAGGTTTCCGCTCTCCTTGTGGTTTTTTCTAGATGCTGGTTCCAGGTAAGTCTCGAGTCAATCATAACCCCGAGATATTTTACCTCCCTCTTGAGCTGGATGCTTGCATCTCAGGTTTAGAGGCCTTAGTCCCTCCAATTTCCTCTTGCAGGTGAATGCAATTATGTCAGATTTGTTTGGGCTAATGTTTAGTAACAGGCATTCTGACTGATCATTGCCAAGTACGGGAGCATATCCATAGCATGAAGCTGTCAGATTGTAACACCGGCCAACATAAGAGATGCAGTCATCACGCTGCCTACTACATTAAATCTCTAGGTTAGCTGACGAGCCTAGTGAGCGTAAGTGGCCTAAGTTACCACCTTACAGATACATATTACACATGACAAACGATAATCTATTAAAAACCAATGTAATTTTGTATTGAAAAATTAATAAAATTGTTAGGGGAATTAGTACACCGGTTACTTTATCGTCTTCAAATATTTGAACAAAAAATGCTTTGTTTTTAAGAAAAAAATCAGTGTTATTCATTTTTTATTGTAGAACGAGAAGGCGGAAGTCAAGCAAAAGTGGGCATCTCGTTTGTTGGGAAAGTTGCGCAAGGACATCACTCAAGAATGTCGCGAGGACTTCGTCTTGAGTATAACAGGTAAAAGATCGGCCGTTTGTGTCCTGTCAAACCCTGACCAAAAAGGGAAGATGCGCCGAATAGACTGCCTTCGTCAGGCCGACAAGGTTTGGCGTCTTGATCTCGTTATGGTGATATTATTCAAAGCAATTCCTTTAGAGAGTACGGATGGTGAGAGGTTGGAGAAAAATCCAGAATGCCAGCAGCCTGGACTTTGTGTTAACCCGTATCATATTAACGTATCAGTGAGGGAACTGGATCTCTATCTAGCTAATTTCATCAATAGTCACGGTAAGTTTGTATCAAATTACTATTGTTTTATTTTACATACATCCTCAAAAATTTACGACATCTTCACCAAAGTTTACGTTAACTTTACCAACATTTACGCTAGCTTCACCAAAATTTACGTTACCTTCACCAAAATTTACGTTACCTTCACCAAAATTTAAGCTACCTTCACCAAAATTTACGATGCATGCATGTTAATATCTCACTTCTTTATAAAATTAGATATTTTTAACGCCAATGAATTTTACAACTATAAAAAATTAATTAAAATTCATGTGTCACAGAATAGAACGAGCTACCACTTCCCTCCAGAAAACAACTACTACTCTGGCTTACACATTGATATAAATTATTGATTTTGCTACTAAGGAGAATGTTATTCATTTTTTTTTACAAATTTAGTAAAAATTTCCATTAACCTGAAAATTTTGTTGATTCAATTAATTTCTATTACTGTTTTGAAGCGCGTAGAAAACCAGTAACTTTGACAAATAAAAATATACATTTAATGATTCGGAATATTGTGTAAATCGTATCCCGAACATCTGGTGCTGGGCATTTTGATTTCAAATTTCTATTATTTGAATGAAGTATATAAATAACAGTTTACGATCGTGTTACCAAATCTGTGTCATGCGTAGAACGCCTGCAGTTATTAACCAACACTAAAAATAAAATACGAATCGCGCTTCCCGTCGGAAAATCACGGTTCTCGGGTCTCGGGCTGGATATTTGGGGAAAACACAAACAAAACAATAGAAAATAAGAACAGCAAAACACATTCAAACTGAAATATATTTGTGATGAAATCTGATGAAAAATATTGAAATATTTCTTGTTAATATTGTTGAGAGGACCGAAAAAAAAAAAAAAAGCAATAACCAAGACTTAAAGGAAAGAACTGTTTTTAATCAAAATCTGACGTATTACATATATCAGTCATTTTTCTAAAAAACCAAAAACAAAAAACATGTAAAACTTTGCAAAAACAAAAGCAAATCTTAATACTCCCACTTTTTGAAAAGTTTCATGTTAACCAAAAAACATCTTATTTAACAAAGCTTTTAGAAGTAATTCCCATTTTATTGCGGAGTTCTTCAAATTTCTTTTTATGCAGCCCCTTTGTAAAAATGTCTGCTTCTTGATCATCAGTTTTACTAAACATCGGTATAATATCACCAGCTTCATATTTTTCCCGTATAAAATGATATCGAATGTCGATATGCTTTGATCGACTATGGAATTCAGGATTTCTTATCAATTTTATAGCACTTTGATTATCAATAAATAAAATTGTAGGCTTTACAACCTTATCATCTTCACCAACATCTATTAAAAATTGTTGAAGCCAAATTACTTCTTTAACAGCATCCGATGCAGCGATGTATTCTGCTTCAGTAGTAGACATAGAAACACTATTTTGTTTTTTACTTGACCAAGTAATTGGAGCATTACATAATTTGAACAAATATCCACTAGTCGATCTTCGAGTCTTACGATCGCCAGCGTAGTCCGAGTCTGAGTACCCGACCAAGGTACTTAATTTATTTTGTTTTTCATATAGAATGCCAAGATCAGGGGTTCCAATTAAATACCTAATTAACCGTTTAACAGCATTCCAGTGCATTTCAGTAGGTTTACCTACATACCGGCTTAATACTCCCACTGCATGTGCTATATCTGGCCGAGTTACAGTGGCTAGAAATAATAGGCAACCTATAGCTTGTCTGTAAGGAACCTCATCTTCTTCTAATAACCTGCTTGCATCTAGAGACAAATCACAGTTGGGATCCATAGGAGTAGTGCAAGGCTTGGCATTTTCTAATCTAAATTTTTCTATTATCTGTTTAATGTAACTCTCTTGACAAATAAAAATAGATCCGTTAATTGGATTTCTTGAAACCTCAAGTCCAACATAATAGTTGACTTCACTGATTGTTATTTCGAATTTACTTTTCAACTCATCTAAAACTTCTTCAATTGCCAATTTTGACGAGGATATTAACAAACCATCATCAACATAAATGACAAGAATCACTTTAATATTATTGATGTAGCCATGATATACACATCTATCAGCTTGGGACCGTATAAACCCACATTTTTCTAAAAAATTGTTGAACGTCTTGTTCCAGCACTTGGGTGCCTGCTTTAAACCATACAACGATTTTCTTAATTTACAAACTGTATTACTTGTACTATTTACATTCTGTAAGCCTTCTGGAATAGCCATGAAAATTTCTTCATCTAGATCACCGTAGAGAAAGGCGGTTTTAATATCAAATTGCATCATTTTATAGCAATTTTCTGCAGCTATTGCTAGGAGTATCCTTATTGAGTCGAATCGTGTTGTAGGGGAAAATATTTCATTATAATCAACTCCTTGTTGTTGTGCACAACCTTTTACACATAATCTAGCTTTATAGCGCGAAATCTCACCATTGGGATACCTTTTTACCTTAAATACCCATTTTGAATGCAAAATATTCCTATCGGGTGGAATTTCCGTTATCTGCCAAGTATTATTTTTGTTTAAAGCAGATAATTCTTCATTTATGGCTTCTTGCCATTTTTGAGCATCAGTGCAGCTTATTGCTTCTTTGTACGTCTGAGGAATATCTGCTTCAATAAAATTTAACTGATAGTCTTCATATCTTACTGGTACCTTGATATTTCTTTTTGGTCGCAGATCAGACTCTTCATTCTGAATCTCAGGTTCAACAACATCTTGGGCTACATCCTTTGTGTCTATCTCTGGATATTCGGTGATATCATCTATTTCTAGATTAATTTTAACCATGTTATTTATATTTACAGTTCTGGAAGTCTCATTAAAAATTACATTACGACATATTGTTACTTTCTTAGTCATTGGGTCAAAAAGTCTATAGTTAGTAGAGTTTTTGTCATAGCCGACGAATATTAGTTTTTTACTTTTAGCTTCAAACTTGGTTCGCCTCGCATCTGGTACGTGTGCATAAGCATCGCAGCCAAAAATTTTTAAATGCCCCAAGAATGGTTTTTGTCCAGTCCAAATTTCGTATGGGGTAGAATCTGGCGTTTGACTTGTTAAAGTTCTATTTAAAATATAAACTGCCATGCTGACAGCTTCAGCCCATAAATATTTTGGCATTTGTCTTTGAAACATCATAGAACGAGCACTTTCTACGATTGATCGGTTGTCACGTTCAACACGGCCGTTTTGTTCTGGAGTGTATGGAGCGGTTGTTTCAAGAGTAATTCCTTCTTTGTCTAAATAATCTTGGAACTCAATGTTACAGAACTCTTTACCATTGTCCACGTGCAATATATGGATCGGTTTTCCGAATTTGGTTTTGACTTTTTGATTATAGATTTTGAAACACTCCAACGCATCGGATTTGTGTTTGATGAAATACACTACTCGATATCCCGAGTATTCATCTTTCAACGACATAAAATATCGAGTACCCGAAACTGAAGGTACGGTCATAGGTCCACAGAGGTCACTAAATATACGTTCTCCGGTATTTAGCTTTTCGTGCTTACTTTTTGTAACAAATGGTATTTTGTGCTGTTTGCCAAACGCGCATGCTTCACAAAAGAACTTGTCAGTGTCGCTGAAACTCACGCCTGTTATAAGTCCTTTCTTAACCATTTCCCGAATTGCGTTCACATTTAAGTGTCCAAGTCTTTCATGCCACAACTTTAAACTTTCGGGAATGACAATATTTGCGCTATTGATGACTGTGCGAAACATCATCTTATAAATATTATTATAGTCTTTCACTGCTGTTGCGATTACTCCGCTATTGTCCCAAATTTCTGCAAAATCGTTCTGTTTTAAAATTTTCATACCTTTGCCAGTGATGATGCCTTCTGAGAATAAATTTTTCGTTAAACTGGGTATAAATAGAACATTATTTATAGTAGCATTGTACCATTCTCCATTCAGCAATTTTTGAATGTTTACTGTTCCTTTTCCTTTTACAGATAGTCTTTCTCCATTACCAAGTACTACTATACTATTAATGTTTTCATTTAAACTGGCAAAGAAATCTTTTCTGTATGACATGTGAGCAGACGCACCACTGTCCATTATCCAGTAGTCATCCCAGACATTAGCAAAATTTACATCTACATTAAACGCAGTTTCAATGGTTCCTGTGTAAGCTGCACTACCATTATACTTGCTGTTGTTTCCACCGTCTTTTTCATTGTTAAAATTTAATTTTTCCTTCTTTTCTCGACAATTCTTTGAAAAATGTCCCCTTTTTCTACAGTTATAACATACAACATTCTTGTACCTATTTTTCTTCAATGAAACAGTAGCTAATGCAGTCTCAGCTTCTTCATATACGGTTAAACTTTTCTCTTCGTCTAATAGTCGAGCAGTGAGATTGGGAATCGTCTGCTTGTTTTCATCTAATGAGAGCCATGCTTGGCGAAAACTTCTGTATTTTAATGGTAAAGTACTTATGATTTTCATCATTACAGCTGCATCGCTAATTGACTCACCAGACTCTTTCACATGCTTAGCTAGATTTTCCACTTTCGCTATATGTTGAGCTATTGAGTCAGTATTACACATTCTGTACTGATAAAACCTTTCATGAACAATCATTTTATTTGTTTCACTCTTTTGTAGATAGATTGAATCCAATTTATTTACAATCTCTTTACTAGTTTCACAATTCTCGACTAGCGTAATTTGGTCTAGATTCATTGCCGCTGTTAGAAGGAACATTGCTTGAGCATCTTTTTTGTACCACTCCTCTTGTCCTGCTTGAAGTTCTGGTAACTTTATGGTTCCATCAGCTATTCCCCAGAGCCCTTTAGCTTTAAGAGCACACTTAAGCTGAAATTTCCACTGTAGGTAGTTCTGACCATCAAATTTACTAACACTGAGGTCAATTGACTTCTCCGCCATTTTGGTCTTCTAAATTCGTACACAACGTATCTCCTTTTTAAAATACTTAATGCCTTTTCTAGATGCGTACACAACGTATCTTCTTTTCTTAAATTATGCTTTTTTTTTTCTAGATGCGTACACAACGTATCTCTAGAAGAAAACCATACAAAAAAGCAACACAACTTTTAAATGTTTTCTTCTCTCTGCTGGGCTCATAACCTGTTGAGAGGACCGAAAAAAAAAAAAAAAGCAATAACCAAGACTTAAAGG